TCAAATCTCATGAGTATAGGTGAAGGAGGGAATGAAGATTACTGGTAAATTGAGAACTTTGCCTTTTGGCTCAGCTCCCTCTTTACCATAACAGTCTGATAGAGCTCTGACTGCAGACGCTGCTCCCTCTTCACCCAAATGATACAACGACCGCATCACTGCACACTCTGGTCCATCTGTCAATCTCACGCTCCGTCCTTCCCTCACTAATGAATGATAATACTCAGAGATACTAAAGCAGGTTGAAGGTCCTGCTTTGTTGGAGCCAACAGGACGACATTGTCTGCAAACAGCAGAGATGAAATTGTGGTCCCCAAACCGCACTCCCCTCTGGCTCTTGACTGCTCCCAGACATTCTAATTTTTAATTATCACAAATAATATGATATGATATTTCTTCTTTACAATAAAAATATATATTTATTGCTACAAAAACAATATAACATTTAAGTCAGTTTAAAAATATGTAAGAACAGTTGAGAGAAACACCAGGTCGCTGCATTAAAACTGTTCTGGAGTCGGGAGCTTATAGTAATTGTTTAAACTGAACAAAAGTAAAATAAAACATAAACATTGTTGTGATTCAGAATTGGTTTAACGGGCCCCTGAGCACCTCTCTGGCTGACACACGTTTACAAAACCTGACGACACCTCCTTGAGTTTTAATCCAAGGTGACTTTCCGTTTAAAGCAGAGTGTGATGTTGTGAAGATACAGAGAAATAAGCTTTGTATCGTCACTTGTCACTTCTGTAGGGCCAGACCGAGCAGCCACGCCACACTAGACGTGCGTTTGACAGCTAAACCTAAATACTTGGCCCAAACCGGCATCGCGCTGGAGTCTATGCAGCTGGAAGTGGATGCATCTCCTCATACATTATTCATATCTTCACACAGCAATAACTTCCTATTTGCAGCGGAGGCAAAAACATCCATCTGAGATAAAAGCTCATAAATCAGTGAAGACGTCAGAGAAGGACGTCGGATCAGTTCGGATAAGATTTGAACTTGGATTTAACAGCAGATGCACAACAGAGCTGTACAGCAGGGCACACAGACACAATGGGAACAGAACGACAGTCTCTTACACAGTTTTGCACTTTATTTGGAGCGTTAACAATTAAAACATCAGTTAACCACATTCGGCACCAAGGGACTAAGGACAATTTCAGCTGTTTATTCTGCTATTTTACGAGAAAATACATTGTAAAGATATAATACTTGCTTGTGTCCAGATAAATGTATTGTAGATTTTAGACAAGCGTCCTTTCTTAATACGCAAAAGATGTAGATTTGATTTTGCTTCCTTATTTTAGTAAAAAGTTATTGTTCATTTCTCTTGTGTTGTGTGCTCCTCATTCCCACTGTTCTGTACCTGGTGATGCAACACTGACATTTCCCCACTGTGGGACGAATAAAGGATATCTTCATCTTAATCTTGATTGAATGTAAACTTTTAAAATGTTCAAAAATGACTGTCAAAAGGCAAAGCTCTCGAGATACCGGTCGATCTACTCACCTGGTCATGAGCTTTGGGTAAGGGCGGAAAGGATCAGATGAGATCGCTGATAGAAGCGGTCGGAATAACTTCCTCCACAGGGTGGCTGGGCTCTCTTAGAGATAGGATGAGAAGCTCAGTCACACCAGAAGAGCTCGAATTAGAGCCGCTGCTTCTCTATGTCGAGAGGAACCAGTTGAGGTGGGGAAGTGTTCCGGGCTCGTCCCATTGGGAGGAGAGGAAGGGAAGACCCAGGACACGTTAGAGGGACGATGTCGCTCCGCTGGCCTGGGATTGTGATATTACAGAACTAAATGACCTGTAACATGCAGCAGGCAGGGCTGGACTGGGACCAAAAAAAGGGCACAGGCATTTTTGCCTCCTTGATGTTTTTTTCATGTTTTGTATTCACGGTTATTTATACAGAATGCAGAAGCGCAAACTGTTGAGGAAATAGGCAGTTTCAACTATTAAAATAAAGGGCAATGGTCTACATTACAAGAGAGTAATAAACATGTCACTACACAGAGTGAGGGAGATGGCACAAAACTATTGTGTGTTACAGGGATGAGAATGGGACATTTCAAAAAATGTATAATGCAGTCATTAAACCTGTTTAATTTGTTTACAACATGTTACTTTTGGGCACAGCCAAAATGAACTGTTAATGCAAGGGAAAATGTAGGTGCCCCAGCTTTAATTCAGCGAGTTTAGTTGCCCTTTGGGAGGAGACACAGGGGAGACACGGATACTTCCTGCAGAAGTGTATTTATTAACCCTGACCCGTGCACAGGTTACGCGAAGACACACACGGAACAAGCAGGGAATGGTCCTGTGCGTGTTTGGTCCTGGGAACATTACGGCCACGTTACGGCTACACGCTCGCCAGGTTGTTGTCAAAGTGGCTCATGTGCCGCTGGAGGTGGGAACCGCATTCAAGGCGGCCGCAGCTGCCCTGGGTCAGAACTCTGCAGCCACAGAGGATGCAGAAACCTGCAAACAACCGCAAGTGCCACACAGTCCTGCGCGCCCCCCTCAAACATTTCTCAACGGATTTACGAATTTCACAAAAATGACAGTTTCATCTTTTGTATAAGACAGGCAGACCGGCCCAAATAGGGGAGATTGAAGATTTTCAAGCAGTCATTACATTGTTAATTTGGATCCTTTTTGAGGTACAGTACATTCCAATCAAAGCAGTACTATCTCCAGGGAGACGTGCAGAAGGTGGACACATAGACATTTACCGTATAGTGCTCCTTTAATATGAATTATTCAGAAAGTAACAAATGATGTTATCTTTTTCTTTTTTTATATACGTTACATTTTATCATCCTGGTTCCTTGAGTTTATCATTGCATTGTGGTCTCCTCACGTTTCAGTTCTGATGTGATATCCCTCATGAGCACACATGGAGTAAAAGTGTAGGAAATGTGAAATAGTAAAAGGTGCTCGTGGGTCTGTGCACCTGACAGAACAGGGACAACGGCGCAGACAATGACGTCACTGTTCTGACAAAGAATACACGTGTCCGCGTACATCCATGGTTCAGACCTGGGCTGTAGAATACTGTATCGTTCAGCTGTGGGATCATAGAAACAAGGATAAGAAATACATACAACAGTCTACCAGCGGGATGTGGAGGGAGAGACGGTGCTTCACCGCCATCTAGCGGTAAATTTCAGTCAAATAAAGGCTGCATCCAAATTCAACAAAAATACACCCCTCCTTGTCCTTTCATGTGATTTAAATGGATATTTTATGAGACGGGGTTTCTCCTTTTTCCTAAATGTGTGTCACAAGGATGGACGAAGGATAATAGAGAATGTATTGTTTACTTCATTATGATAAAGAGAAAGAGAAAGATCAAGCTGTATTATGTATAGGACCTTTTTTGTTTCTTAGTGAGGAAATTCCTGTGTTGCAGAGCACATACAGGACAGTGAGGAGCACACAAAACAAGATAGCTGTGTCTTTAACTTTAGAGTCATGTAAAAGGCTTAGCTGAAGTATAAACCTGTGTTTCAATCAAGGAACAAAAATACATTGGTCATTTGTGTGACTGATGACCAGAGTAAAATGTCTGTGCCATGTTGCACACATGTTTATATTATCAAAAAAGGAGGAAATCCGAGGAACTCTTGACGGAAAATAAAAATCCTTTAGGAAACGCCTTTCCTAAATCCCTGTTTATTACGTCAAGAAAACCTCGGATTTCCACCTTTCTCAAATGTGTCCAGTGTTTTTCTCACTGCTGATCCTGATGAGCACCTGACAAGGATTGACCATAGATTGGCCCACTGTAGTGCTCATCTCTCTTGAACTTTAAATATGTTATTACACCATGATCAGTGAGGATCTCCATGCAAACTATATATCATTCATTTTTACTGTTTAAACCTCATGTTAAATTACAGGTTCCATACATAGACTTTCACCATAAGTTGCTAAACATGCTAAATATTAATTTGTTTTGTAAAATTCATGAGTTAAATATTTTTTTCTTATCAATCTGTGTCTTCATTTTGGCCACGACAACTGTTGCTTTAGTAAAGAGCTTTTGCTAGCTTTAAGAAATTGTCTCTTTCCTCAAACAGGTCTTGACGGTGGACACCATGGATCTATTTGGACACACATTCAACAGAATAACAACACTTATTGCAGTATTTACATGATGAAAGACAAAATATACTTCTATTCTATTCTATCAATGATTTGAAAAGTCAGAGATTTTGTGACTTACACTGCAAAAAGGGATGAAAAATTAATTAAGCAATTACTATCCCATATTTTATCTTTTTTGCAGTTTCAGGCTATACAAAATAAAAGTAATCAAATTAAATGGCAAAATACAAAAATAGTGATAAAACTGAGAGTAAATAGGAGAGGCAACTGCATGTGTTGAAATCCTTCTTGTGTTCTTAGTTGAATAAATAGACTTAACTCAGCGCATTCATTTTAATAACATCTGACTCAACATCATTCAGTGTGTGGCAGACACCTGTTCATTCACCGTTTACTCCAAACATATATCATACAAAGCAACTTCATAATAAAAACAGCGGGTGTGTACAAATACGGGCAAAATCAAATGCATTACTGTTTAGGTGCAGCGTAAAAAATATCCTTTATAGAGACTTGGTAATTATTGTAGCTGAGCGTGAGAAATCTAAGGCCTCATTACAGGCTCCTGAGAACAATCCTTGGACTTCATGGCAAAATAGTGAATCGATGGAATGAAAATTGTAATACTTTAAAATTGTCTTTTCTATCAGTGAAGGCAGAAACAGCTTATGGTCTGAAGTGAGCAGTAAAAAAAACACCACAAACAAATAATACAAGGGAAACAAGTGAAAAAATAGATACAGATTTAAACACACAGATAAAAAGGCAGTATAAGAAAACGTCATATGATACAATGCATACTTTTTGATCCAGCAACGGACTATAATCTGGTTTTCAGTGCAGCTCAAAGTGTTCGCTCGGCGTCTGCGGCGGTCACATTTCATATCATAAAAGACTTAGTTGGCTTGTACGTCTTGAGCTGTAAAAAGGAGCAGAAATACATCTCGATGAACTGTTTCCTGCAATTACCGTCTGGAGTTTATCAGGAAGTTATCAGCGCGAGCTAAAGGAGAGGCGGGTTCACAGCAGCACTGAAAACAAGGGCGGCCGTGATAACAGCGGCTTTGATCACTCACGTGGCGGGCGGCAGGAGGAGGGGGGGCGTACGGCGACGGGCTGCAACACAACGTGACAACACAACACTTCAGATGGAGAACAGAAGAGAAACGATGTCAGAAGGAACAGTCACTCACCATTTAGACTTTTTAGTTTCTGCGGAGAAAAGGGAAAAGTATGTTTACAGATATGACAGGTACAAATGAAGTGGCACTTGGCATAGACAAGAAATTAATGTTTATACACAAACATATTTACTCACACACACACATACTTACTTACACACATACATACCATTATAGTGTATATACATTCAGTACATACATATACATATAGACATACTACACACACACATGCACACGCACACACCTACCTTTATATATACATACATATAGACATAATACACACACACACACACAGACATTCATACACATATATACCGTATAAATATATATATATATATTTACTCACACATATATACATTCACACATATTTATATATAAACATTATTTGGCCTTAAACATATATGTATTAAGAATAGTTTCTTCCTGGTTGTTAAAGCTGACATCATGGGAGGGTTACTTGCCAAAACTGATAAGATCGAAGAGACAGAACATATATTTTGACAAACTAACTGACAAGATTGTACTTTATGTGTTGGGAGTAAATCATAAAAAGAAAGTTTTTGTTGTAAATTGTGAGTTGATCTCCCAGAACGCTGCTCTCTACTCCCAAATCTGTTCACGTGTGTGTGTGTGTGTGTGTGTGTGTGTGTGTGTGTGTGTGTGTGTGTGTGTGTGTGTGTGTGTGTGTGTGTGTGTGCGTGCTCATTATGAACTGTACTGTATGTATAGAGAGAACATGAAAAATGGGGCTGCATGGTTTTATTATAACTTGTACGGAAAATGAAATTGTAATTTCTGTCTGATAACAAATGGTCCTGTTTCCATTTACATTTGTTTCACAACGACCTGTTCAGGGACTACAGGTGTAAATTACCACTGCTGCTACAACCTGGTACAATGAATCTCTCCTATTGACTAATGTGACTGTCCCTGTAAAAATAAAAACAATACTAAACCATACATCATACATCCCCCGCCCCTCCAAAAATGTATAACCCACTATTCTTTATCATATCTTACTTTAAACAATTTGCAGATATGTGCAACTGCCAAAATGTACCCTTCGTCATGAGCATAGACTGTAAATGTTAATAAGTTGTGTTGTTGTTGTGTTGCTGTGTGTTGCGGACTCACTTCCACAGCATCCTCGGTGTCGACACACACACACACAGATGCAGCCGAGGAGCAGGAGCGTCACCAGAGCAGCGGCGCCGGCGATCAGGATGGTCAGGTTCAACGGGTCTGGAGACCAATCAGCAGATCAGTCAGAGGATGGACAACTGCTTCAGGATGCATTAAAGCTGAGATACCCGACTTTCAAAATCCAAATCCAACTAGTTAAAGGTCGCTCTTCGGACGATGCCCACCACCGTGTTGTCGCCGAGAATATATTACGGCTTTGGTTTAATCTTACTCAGTGATATATTCAAGCTTATGTCACATCTTTAGATCGGCATTTTCAGAAAGAAAAGTGAACATCGAGAAGACCGCCCTCAGTCAGCCAATCAGCTCCCAGTATTTAAAGGATTGGAAGATAGTTTTGGTCTGAATTGTTAAAAATAATAGTAAACAAGACTCTTTCTGTTGGGACAAACACATTTTTGTTTTGTTTTTTTATGTCCATATAAAAACGAAACAGAATTGTATTTATGTATTTATAAAACGATGCAATAAGGTAGGTCCTCCAACTTTTCTGTGTACCATATTTATATAGAGGTATCTTTGGGACTCAAAAATGTGATCTGTAATTTAACCATGTGATTCCATTCTTTGTCTCCAAACTAAATTAAAATAGTTTAGTGTCTAAATAGTGTCTAAAAAGGAAAATGTTTAAGTTTGCACGTTTACTTCGGTCTCTGTCACAGCTTTAGACCATAGACTGTATAGATTAACGGATGTAGTCACGCCTATCTCCGCCGTTCTAACTAATGGGCCAAAAATTGGGCTTTCGTGGAGTGATTCAAAATGGCCGCGGGGGATGGAAAATGTGAAAAAACGCATCTGCACATGCGTGAGCCGGCGCAAGCTCCATTCATTTAAACAAGTGACTTCAAAAATTCGAGTAAACCAGAGTGGTCCAAAAAAATCCACCCCCCTCAGCATTGACACACATGTGGAACAGAGCTTTGGGCCAAGAGCCAACTTTTGGACCATCCTGTAAAGGTGTTTTCGAGAGATAAGAAGATGCTATATGTTAGCATTGGCTAATTCTTACTCCGGGTCCCCCCACATCGGCCCGGGGTGGTGTTGCAAGCATGTCAGCACACGTTATTTTGTCCATTTTTGAGCCGGGACCCGCCCTCACTGCTTTAGACCCAATTGTTTAGACAGAAAAAGTCACAAAGATATACACGCACAGAAAATAACGGAATCTGTGTGTGTAGATTTCCATGGCGTTGTGAAAATTAAGAAATTAAAAAATTGCGACTCACTGAGCTCTTTCTTACAAATATGCAAAGATTAAACAGATTGAGGCCTGATTTGTTTCTCGGAATTTGACATTTACAAGGTTTTTTCTGTGCCCTAAATACTTACAATCAACAATTTGTAGTTTTTGCGCCACACAGCTCTTGGGCGCCCCCGCGTTGTTGGAGGACTCACAGCGGTACATCCCTTCGTCCAGTTTGGAGACGCTCCTAAACCTCTGCGTCCACACACAAGAACAGGTCAGCCATTGATCAGCCTGTGCACAGTAATGGAGACGTCTGCATGACCACAACACTGACCAGAGTGCCTTTACTGGGGTCGATGTTGTAGGGAGAGTCCTGTGCAGCAGCAGCCAGGCCCTTGTTGTCCTTGTACCAGCGATAAGTAGCAGGAGGAACGCTCATCTGGTCCTTGCAGTGGAGCTCTAGGCTGGAACCCACGAACACTGGACTGGGAACCTCACACGACGGGATATGAGGAGGCACTGCGGCAACAAGTGGATAGATTTAAAGAGAAAAAATTATTCATTATTTTTGGTCATTTAAAATAGTTAAGCCACTTTTTACTTACTGTCATTTCATGTTGTAGAATGTGAAATAGAAGCTTAAATTTGAAATAATAGGGTGAAACAAATATGAAGTGTAAAACAAGCTATCTGCTTGTAATTCCCTATGCCACCAGAGGGAGGAGATCAAGTAGTTTTGTCTTTTTCGAAATCTGAAACTTACCGGCTGCAAATACAGTCATGCAATTACCAAGAACCAGGGATGTCCCGCTCCTGACACTTTAAGTTAACTGCTCTGAGTGTGATGTCATAGTGGTACAATGACATCATACTACATACAGGACTGAGACAGGAGCTTTTTGACAGAAAGGGGAGATACATTTTTGTTCTTGATATTAGCTTGGATGGTTCTAAAAACAACTCGATGAGGGGAAAATGTTGTCACATGGTTAAAAAAGTATATATGGGGCCATTTGCAATTTTTATGTACAAAAGAAAGTGTATATTTTAATAGTATTACAGTATAATAAAAAATTTCTCTTGCACCTTACATTTCCAGGAAACCTCAAAGTGCTTCAGAATAAATTATAATACAATAAACAAATGAAAATACATAAAAAACAGAACATTTTCTTGTGCATTTGACCTTGTAGAGACCAGTGGCTGTATGAGTGCTCAGCATGGTGCCTTTACTTTTGATCACGGTCGTATCTCCAGAGCTCCAGGATCAATTGTTTGTCCGGGCCAGGAAAGCCCCTGGCCCGGACGGCATCCCACCCCGTGTCCTGAAACTGTGCTCTGAGCAACTTGCCCCTGTTTTAACAGACATTTTTAACCTGTCGCTAAGGAACTGTACTGTGCCGAACTGCTTTAAAGAGTCGACCATCATTCCAGTTCCTAAGAAAACTCCTGTGACATGCCTTAATGACTATCGTCCTGTGGCCCTCACGTCTGTTCTTATGAAGACTTTTGAGCGGCTTGTGCTGGACTTCATTAAGAGCCAGATCCCTGTGAGTGTTGACCCGCTCCAGTTTGCTTACAGACAGAACAGGAGTGTGGAGGATGCCATCTCCTTTGCTCTGAACTCTGTCTACAGTCACTTGGACAATAGGAAATCTGTTGCAAGAATGCTGTTCATTGACTATAGCTCTGCTTTTAACTGCCTTGTCCCAGGTAAACTGATTGAAAAACTCATGTCTCTCGGTTTAAGTGTTGCCATGTGTAAATGGATCTATAGCTTTTTAACTGACAGATCTCAGAGAGTGAAAATCAATGACTGTTTTTCAGATGTTGTTTCTGTGAGCACTGGATCTCCTCAGGGATGTATTTTGAGTCCTTTACTTTTTACATTGTACACTCATGATTGTGTGTCTTCCTCAGACTCTAACCTGATCCTTAAATATGCTGATGACACCACCATCATCGGTCTCATCAGTAATAACGATGAATCGTCTTATAGAGCCGAGATCCAAAACGTGGTTCAGTGGAGTAAGGCTAACAACCTCCAGCTGAACGCATCCAAAACATGTGAACTGGTCTTTGATTTTAGTCGCAATAGTTCTCACTTGCCTGTCGCAATCGATAACTCCCAAGTGCAGATTGTAGAGGAGTGTAAGTTTCTGGGTCTAACTCTGTCTAATGACCTGAAATGGGTTAAAAACACTGACCGGGTCGTAAAGAAAGCTCGTCAGCGTCTCTACTTCCTGCGGAAACTTAGAGAATTTACCACTAACTCTAAGATTCTGCTTAACTTTTATCGCTGCACCATTGAGAGTTTACTTGTTGGTTCTGTGTCTGTGTGGTTCGGTAACATCACAGATAAAGAAAAGAGAGCTTTAAACAAGGTGCTCCGCTCTGCTAAGAGGACTGTAGGCTGTGAACTTCCTGTCCTGGAGGCTCTTTATCAATCCAGACTTTTTAACAGTGCCCTGAGAATTATCAATGACTCTTCTGGCCACCCAGGAAAAGCCTTGTTCCAGCTTCTTCCATCTGGCAGAAGATACTGTTCTCTGAGATGCAGGACATCTCGTTATGCTAATAGTTTTTTCCACGAGCTGTTATCAGTTTGAATAGAGCACTTTAATGTTTTTGCACTTGTATAGATCTGTTTTAGTTGGTCAACTTCACAGTGACATTTGTTTACTGTTTTTAAAATTTGTTTTATTTTTGTCTTTTAATGTTGTTTTATGTCTGTACTTGTCCTGTGCACACTGGGAACTTTTACAAATGTATTCCAATGTAGTGTTACTGCAAATGGCAAATAAAATGAATCTGAATCTGAATCTGATTTTTTCTGGTGAGTGGATCCCAGAGAAAACCATGCAAAGAATGGATCCAACCTTCGAGGGACCGCTGCGATGAAAAGTAAAGGTACCATTCTCTCATTCTTTGCACATAAATAGTTGCATAAAGCACCTTAAATATTGCACGGACAATGTTTTTGTAAAAGTTGCAAGCGCAGATGAACGATGATACCTAACACGTTGAGAGTGACAGTGGCCTCCCCCAGGTTCACATGGTCCTCGCTGGCAGTGACCTCACAGCGATAGTCCCCAGAGTCCTTCTGCGTCACGGAGTGGATGGTGAGCGTGGCCCCCTCCATCTTAGAGCGAGATGCATATGCGCCTTTAACAACAGATATTACAGATATTATTTTCATTTGTGATCAATTATAATGAGACTTTTTACTTTGTACCTTCAGTAGAAAAAATATGGTAAAACAAGAATATACTATCACCTGCCCTACCTCTATTTTGTATGTCTTTTTTCCAAATTTGAAAATGACAGATTAACACGTCATGTCATTGCCAAAACGAATTACTTTAGTTTAAAAAAGCAAAAGCTCTAGGTGTGATGTCATAGCACTACAATGGCATCAAATTATAGTAGGAGTGATAACGCTTTCATGGGATCTCGGAAACTCTGAGATATCCAACTTGTCAAAATCAGAGCGCGCACACACACACACACACACACAATACAAAAATGTGCAGAAATGTAACCGTCTTTCTCGTTCATGAGAAAGCCACAGAAACCTTCACTGCTGTGATGTGAGAAATTCAGGAGCAAATATGTTGTTTCTTATAATAAAACGTGCTTTAACATTTACATTTTTTGATATTACTGCAAAGCTTTTGTTGCCATTATTCACTAATTGTGATTTTGTATCGATTGTGGACTTAGATATTACTACTTTTGCAACATAAAACCAACAGCGTGATGTTAAACCTTTCCCTCCAATCTGTCTCTATTCCTTCATCAACGTGTCACAGTGACGTGGATTCAGAAACCATTGAACCAGCCCGAGTTTCCGAGATCGCATGAACGTGACAAGAAACAGAAGCTTTTAGACAGAAGGGGCGGGGCTACATGTTTGTGCAAGAAGTTCCTGATAGTAGTGTGGATGGATCTAAAAACAACTCCAGGTCTGTTTTTGAGGAGAAACAATGTTGAAACATGGATAAAATCTCAAAAGTCCATTCAGCATGATACCTCACCATAATGTGTCTATGTGTCTCTGAACCTCACCGTGAACCTGGGAGTCTTTCAAACTCATGAGAACTTCTTACTTGTAAATCTGTTGTTGAAGTACACGAATGTCACGCCCTTTCCCTTCTTCTTCCACTCGATGCGAGGGTTCTGGTCCTTCTCCGTCCTGAACTCGCAGGACAGTACAGCATCTACAGACGCAGCAGTGTGAGTGTTGCAGTAGGAGCACAGCTGTGGTGGAGGAGGCCTGTCTCTCACCTGTGTGTTCATGGACCTCCACCTGGGGTTTGGTGCTGGAGACCGACACGGACAAACAAGCAGGACCTGAGGGAGGAGAGAACCAGCTCATCAACCACAGAAGACTGAGGAACAAGAACCTCTCCTCAGCTCCGTCTCTGAGCAGTATAGCATTGACCCTGGCGGTGCCTGGTGCAAGGAATGTGGGGAAGACGGATGACTCTCTGACAAACGCACTCACCTCGAGCCGATAACCTCCTCCAGGGGTCTGTCCCTCACCTCAGCAGCCACAACAAGTGGTTAACACTAAACCATGCAACCACTTTCAATTACATGTTTATAAATACAATTAATCAAAGGAAACTTTATCAATGTTTGAATGTATTCAACATATTCATATATATACCACATTATAACAATAGTGAACAAAGGCGATGTGTGTGACGGCAGTAACCCAATCCTCCTCAGCTGGCACCACTGCTATCATAACACACACTGACCACTGCTGCCCTGCTTGACCCTCTGCACATTTCACATTATAAGAACCATAACTGTTAAGTATTGTATATTTTCCCAACTAGACCTCTGAGATTTTCAGAAAAACCGTCAGCTTCAAGACTTATGCATTTAGCTAATTAGGTCCTAGAAATGAGTTTGTTCAGATAGAAAACAACAATAATGGTGCAAAGCATGTCTCTAACCTGGATCTTCAGACTGAAGGATCATATGTATTGATGAGTAAAAGCCTATTATTTGCATTGCCTAAAGAACGATCGGATTGTCTCAAAAATGTGGGAATAATGATGTAAACCAAACAAAGTTCAAACAGGCGGATTCGGTGATATCCCTTCAGAGTTTGTTTGGACACAGTTGTGGGGCAACATCAAATGCGTGTTTGATGAAAAAGTGGCTTTTAAATGTCCGTCTAATTAGCTCGGGGTCAGCGGGGGGCTATCTGCAAAATGAAACGAGGGGATCTGACAGCATCCTCTGTGCATCAGCTCCATCTCCGCCTCAAAGGCCATCAGCGGCTCCAATGTAAACAGCCCTGCGGTCAATCAGGCCTGGACCATAGGCGGCCTCTGCACGCACGGCACGGCACGGCCCAGGGGCACGTTCAATATGATCAGGACAATTCTGCTGCTTTATTTAACAACACATAAGCTTTACCGGCCGATAGGCCGCATCTGAGTCAGTAATCCTGAACAAACACAAAGCATATAGTCATTACAGAAATAGCATATTTTCTGTTTTAAGTTTGTAACATAAACAAAGTTGTTTGGTTTTTTTGTACTATTTGAGCCACAAAATATTCTAACGCGAACACAAACACAAAAGTGAAAAACAGAATGTCTCACAGAGCAGCAGCATGACGAGCAGAGGCAGGGTTCGCATCCTGCAGCAGAGGAGAGTCAGAGTCCAGGACAGAGGTGCAGCGTGTGGAGGAGTGGGCAGAGTCTGGACTCAAGGAGCTTTCAAACTTTAGAGGGTCTTCACGTTTGATCAGTGCGCGCACGCGCACTAGTGTAGTGTGCGTCCAGGAGGGTTCCATCTATGGTTACATAGAGAAACTTTCAGAAGTATTTCTACCACAGCTTTTTAAAGTATATTCTTCCAGATTATGAATACTTTTCAAAGTTTGTCTACTATTGAGAACTTGAGAAGACGCTTCTCTAAAACAAAATGCGCTCGTGTCACATGCATGGATCGATGACGTCACTCCTCAGCATGCCATCAACATCAGAACATATCTGTGCATTATTTCTATAACATCCTCATTTAAAGCCACACTGCGGCAACACGTGCGTATGATCCAGGGAAACAAGTATACGAGTCAGGTTTGTGGAGATGCAAGCCTGTGCAGTAAAACAAACGATGAGGGGGCGTGGTTAACACTCAGTAAGAACATAGAAATGAAAGAATAGTCAGTATAGTGGCAGAATGTGACAAACAGACTGTGAGAGTGAGTAAAGCTGGGTTAAAGTTCAGGGGTGCACAGTTGTAATGAGAGGTGCAGAGAGGACAGCTGAGGCCCGTGTCCTTGGCTCTGCGGCTGGGGCAGATTGGGTTTCTGGCCCCGGGGCCGCTGTGGGCCGCACACAACAGCGCATTGTGCGCGTGGAGCTGTGCGCCGCGCACGTGTTGACAGCTGGTGGCGCAAAGGCGCATACGGCTCCTCTCTGTCACATGTGCAGAAGAAAGAGCGCTCTCTGCAGCAGAGACACTGGCTCTGTGGCCTCAGCTCCACCTGTCCTCATCACGGCCGCAGCTGCCGCGCTCCTGTCCGCATTATGTCACTACTACATACACTTTACACACGGACACACAACTGCCACCAGACAAAGCAGCCACTCACAGGGTCATCAGCAGCAGTGTGTCTCAGCAGGTCACTGACTCTGATGCTGTCACTCAGAGACACGTCTGAATTATTACTATTCTTTCAGATTTATGTTTCAGAGTCTTCAGAGGAAACGTGTCCTCATGAGCACAACAGTGTGTATCAGTCAGTGCCCACAGCCTGATGATGTGAGACTGTTGACATGAAACACCCCTGATGTATTAGAAGCATACAGCACGTGAGCAAACTGTATCATGATCATAAATCTCTAATGCTGCACTTTGAGCTGCTTCTATCGTGAACTTCACTCAGGGAGAAGGAAATAGGCCATGTTTTTCTTGATCACAAACTCACGTTTCAACTGAGAAGACAGATGAACATTAACAAACCAGGAAATAAAGCCACAGGCAGATAGTGACTGTAAAGATAAACTGACCATAAACTCCCATATAAAGCTGAGGCACAAGTCTCTGTATGTATATGTGTGTAGAGGACCTCACTGATCGCTTGTATTTTCAAAACAATTCAGAATGAAGACGTTTGCCCTCCTCTTTCTGGGTCTTGCCGGTAAGAAATTATTCTGTATAATTCATGATGTCAGCAGGATAATCATGTATTGTATAACCAGACTAATCATCACTGATCATATGGACTTTAGTTCTGGCACCTGTTTTTATAAACTAAGTTTAGTTCAGTTTATTTAGTTCAGTGCAGTTTCAAGAAAAGTAAACATTTTAAATCCAAAAGGGAAAGGCTGGATCTTAATTAGCTTGTTACACTTATCCTTTTTACATGTCAGTGTTTTCTGAGAAAGTTGATGCATAGTACAAGAATTGAACAAGAACAATATTCAAAAAAAGCTTTGCATTTAAAACAAAAACAGACAGTGTCTATATTTCGCATCATCATTCAAAAGATGTGAAAGAAAACATAAAAAGTAAAACTCCTCAGGGGTGGAGCACAACAATCTTTGTGAAAATCTTTCTCTGTCCTTGGCCCCGGGGAAAGTAATCTGATACTTGTGCGTACAGTAATCATTAAAACAGGATACTCTGACTCTTTGCAGTTGCTCTGGGATTACCATTGGAGAAAAAGGAGACACTAGCAGCTCCTGAAGCAGACCAGCGCCCTCTGGTGGGAGACCTACTGCCTGCACAAGGCCATGTGGTGGTGGAACAACCAGCACCTCAGCCTGAACTCAGCAAACCACAACAGCAGCCAGCCCCACCTCCAGACGCAAAACAACAGATTATTGAAGTAGTTGAAGTTAAGCAAGAGTCAAATCAAGACAATGAAATACAACCAGAGCAAAGCAATCAAGATGAGACAGGTCTGTTGGGACATTTTGAGCCAAAAGCAGATATCATAGAGACTTTGGTGGAAGAAGAAGACCAAAAACAGCATGAAGAAACCCCTGAAGAGGAGACAGGCGAGTACGAGGAGTCGGTAATGAAGCCAGAGCCAATTAGCAATGAAGAAATGCAGAACGCAGAGTCAGCAGAAAACAACTTTAAGGACGATGAAGTGTATGAGGAACCACCTGTTAAAGAAGGAGATTCAGAAGGACTTGAACAACATCAAGACGAGGCAGGTCTGGTGGGATATTTCGAGCCAAATGCAGACATGGTAGAGACTTTGGTGGAAGACAAGGAACAAAAAATGAATGAAGAAACCCCCGAAGAGGAGACAGACAAGTACGAGGAGTCTGTTATGAAGCTGGAGCCAGTTATCAATGAAGAAATGCAGAACGCGGAGTCAGCAGGAACCAACTTCATGGACAATGGAGTGTATTCCGATGCCCCTGAACAACATCAAGCTGAGATGGGCGATCTGGAGACACATGCAAACAGTGTAGTGACTTTGGTGGAAAACGAGAACCAAAAACCGAAAGAAGAAACCCCCGAAGAGGAGACAGACGAGTACGAGGAGTCGGTTATGAAGCTGGAGCCGATTAGCAATGAAGAAATGCAGAACGCTGAGTCAGTAGGCACCAACAATGACGTGTATGAGGAACCAGAGATGCACTTGGAGCCTGAGAGTGAGGGATACCAGGGCCTGAAGGTGGAGGAGGAGGAGGAGGGGGCACAAGCTGGAGCCATGGAAGAGGAAGGGCCCATGTTGGATGCTCTGGGGCAGCCTCTCTCTCTAGATGGGGAGTTTATGTCACATGGTAATATGATGTTAGACTAATCATATATATTTACAGCCGTGATGAAAGCAAATACAAGCTTATAACATGTTTTCTGTGTTGTAGGCACCAACTTTATGGACAATGGAGTGTATGAGGAACCAGAGATGCACTTAGAGCCTGAGAGCGAAGGATACCAGGCCGTGAATGAAGGATATATGCCACAAGCCCTAGCCATGGAAGAGGAAGGGCCCATGTTGGATGCTCTGGGGCAGCCTCTCTCCATGGACGAGGGGTCCATGAGGCTGGAGCCAGAGGAACAGACAGAGACATCTATGGAGAGAGTGGAGCATGGTAATGAGATTGTAGAATGAGACAGGAGTCGTGACGTGTGTGTGTGTGTTCACGTTTTTAGACCTATGTGGTAAGTCCCATAATGGAATTTGCACAAATAAATTAATTAATTGCAACTCTCAGAATCAGAATTATTTATATAGTAATATACGCCTTTACTCATCTCACAGTGGGGAAATGTCAATGTCATCGTTGTGCACATTACAGCAGAAAATGGAGGAAATAAGAGCACTCAGATTGCATTCTATTATTCAAGATGATAGGTGATAAAATAGAAAATACAATAAAGATATTAAAATACAATAAAGTAATTACAAGTAGCCACAAACTAGACATTTGCATTGGCTCAACAAGTTATAAAGGTAAACAATAGATAAAAAGGCGTGCATACACGATCTTGACAACCATCTGCATATAAGTACACACTAAGTACACACAATAGACATTTAACAGTGCAGGTTACAGCGACAGTAGTATTTGGTGACGATTGTAATTGATTAATTGAACGAATAAACACCCAACTAATCGATTCTAAGCTCAAAAGGTTGGTTGTTGCTCTGCCTTTTTGATATATATTTTTTATATATAAAATTACCTGTGCGTGTGTGTGTGTGCGTGTGTGTGTGTGGTAGCTGGAGCTGCACTTGTGGCCCTCACTGTCAGTAGTGGTAAATAAATAACCAAACCTTTTACTTACGTGCTCCTTTCGTCCACAGGGGGGCGCTCTTGTCCTGGCATGGTACTTGAGGGCCAGTGTTTCCAGTTTTTCACTACTCCTAAGAAAGCGTCAGCCGCAGAGGTAAAGCTAACATAAAGTACATACCATAGACATAGAGTGTAAATATTAGAGACATCCACAGACAGACATCACTCACTAAACCGAGTCTGTGATCCTCAGTTTTTCTGCCAGACTTTCCCTGGAGGCCACTTAGCCGCCATCACCAGCGCACACGTACACGGCCAGATGATGGCGCTGATGAGGCAGCACGGAGGAACCAGGAGGACGTGGGTCGGTGGATTACGCTTGTTAGACGTAAGTACAAGACATCACACATACATCACAGCTTCTGAAAATAATAATAATAATCTAGTATAAAAATAATATACTGTAGTGCGTAAGGAATGGAGTCGGAGGCGGTGTGTCAAACAGTGGTGACAAATGTACTCGTTTTAATGTCATCTAACAGCCAGAATGAACATCAACTTTCCAAACTACTACAACCAAAAATAGATCCATAACCAAAACAGAGAAAAAGTGTGTACAGGTATAAACTGTCCCCCCTGGAACACCGTGAGGGTAACCCGAGTTCCATTGATGAATTATGTAATCCACCACAATACAATAAAAAAATAATATGCACTTAATATCAAATACAATAAAAAATATATATATAGAAAAACGTTTCATGTATGTGCTCAGGCACGGTGGCTGAGTGGTTAGCACTCTCGCCTCTCAGCAAGAAGGTCCTGGGTTCGAATCCCAGTCGGACCAGGGCCTTTCTGAGTGGAGTTTGCATGTTCTCCCCGTACCCCGTCCGGGTACTCCGGTTTCCCCTACCACTAAAAATATGTCCAATAGTTCTGGCATGTGCCTTCTGTACTGGCCCCGCTCCCATCTCTGTCTGGAGAGAGAGACAAATGCCCAAAAATTAACAATTGTAAACTCAGATCTCAGGTCTCAGATTTGAGACTCAGATCTGCAGTGAAAAGGCGGTATATAAATAAAGATTACTACTAATTACTATTACAAGTTCAGATGTACACACACATTTGATGAAATTACTCTACAGACACAATTAAATTAACAGTATTTGACCTTGTAGTCCCCAGTGTAAGAGTGGGCATTCCAAACAACTGATCCTAGAGCATCCTATACAGACCTCTGTGATCACTCTTACACACACTGGGTAACAATGTCAAAATACGCAAAAATATACCCTTTTTTTTCCACGTTAAAAGTTTCATGATGCACCTTTTAAAGTAATGAAATCTTCTATCAGAGCAATCGATTTCTGTGGTTGGATGGATCTTCGTGGAACTACGCTGACTGGCTGTGGGGAGAGCCAAACAATACATCCGGATTAGAAAACTGTGTAGAATTACTGGCATCTGGTAAGTGGACTGAGCATTTCAAACACACTTTGATAATATTGAAAAGAATTGATTTATGTATTTTTGTGATTGTTTTGTTTTTTTCAGGAAAGTTTAATGACTTCACTTGTTGGGAACCTCAGGCCTTTATCTGCTCCTACCCTTATCAGTAAATATGTGTGTTTACAGCCTGTTCCCTTCTTTGTGTTATTACTTTTTCATACTATAACTTGTAGATGATAATAAAAGTGTATTATTTGAGTCTATATTGATTAGTGATTGATTAGTCACTTTGCAATTGTTACTTTTTTACAGTATTTTGATATGTTAGATAAGTCGGAGTCAAACACCTGCTCTGGCAACAGTAGCTCAGTTGGTAGAGCATTGACCTTAAGCCCAGAAGGTTGTGGGTTCAATTCCCACCTCGACACCTTCTCCACCGACTCCCACTGATGACTGCTGTCGTTGTGTCCTTGGGCAAGACACTTAACCCCACTTTGCCCAAAGCCCCCACTGAAAGATCAAGGCTATGCTCACACTCAGAGAGCAGCCGTCCTCCTGTGGACTCACCACCTGCAGAGGGTCAGTGAGGGGCTGGTGCTATGAGACTTGGGTGGCATCTCTGACTGCCACCCCCCTGACCCAGAAATGGATTAAAGGGAAGAAAATGGATGGATGGATGGATTATTGTCATAAATCTTCTGTTGTGACTGCTACACACGCATGCAAGGAAAATATAAATGGATAGACCGTGTAGGCGCATTGCTGAACTTCTCTTGGGTCTCCTTGTGGTTTCCATGGAGATGATATGGCTTAGAGTCTAATGTACCAGTACTAAACAACGAACAATAATTACTGATTAACAATGTGAACTCTGACAGTGAGTGGAGTCGCCTCTCCGCAGACATGACTTGTAACTTAGCATTCAATGTACGTGGATGAGTTCAGCAAAATACTGTGAAACTTTCCAGGAATAATTATTTTTTGTCCACTTCATGTCACTTTATCTACGTTTTATTCTGCCCATATTGTGCTAACATTAAGGCAAGGCCGTTTATTTGTATAGTACAGTTCATACACAAGGCAACTCAAGGTGCTTCACAAAACATAACAGACAATCATAAACGGCACTAAAATCATGAATAATTACAGTACATTAAAAAGAGTGAAGATAAAATCCCTCAGATGTTTGCACAGCTAAACAGAAATGTTTTGAACCCGGATTTGAACATTGTCAAAGAAAAAAGCCTGTCTCAGATTTTCAGGAAGACTGTTGCAGATTGTAGCTGCATGAATCTGAAATGCAGCCTCTTCATGTTTAGTCCTGACTCTGGGCACCAGCAGGAGGCCAGTCCCTGTGCTCCTCAGAGTCAGAGTTGGTTCATATGGGACTAACATGTCACTTATGTACTTTGGTGCAAGGCCATGGAGAGACTATTGTTTTATTAATCATTTCTTTATTTGAATGGGACAGTGTATGTCAATGAACAGACACATTAAAACAAGAATTTAAACATTCCAGATTATAGCGAAAGGCTAATTTCCATCTGTAGTCCCATAGGGTTTGGGTCACACGGGTCAAATACAGCAACATCAACAGAAACAAAAGAGGAAAATAACAAACAAAAAACAGCTTGAATTCCCACACAGCCCACACATTAGTAGTCCACCAAAATCTACAATCTTAGAGTCCACATCATTGCACACATACAATTGCTTCTTCACAAGCAGCTGTAAAGTCTTTTCTCTGAGCCACAGGAAGCCAGTGTTGAGACCTGACAACTGGACTAATGTGGTTGTACTTCCTGGTTCTAGCCAGTCAGACTCAAGCTGCAACGTTTATACTTATACTATTCACAACTATGTAAGAAGCAATCACAGCTACTTATCTCTGTATTTATGTTGTGCTCCTTGTGTGGGAAACTTTCTCGTGTGACAAATGGCAAACTGAATTTGAATCTGGATTTTGAAAATAACTGATTCCTTATGAACGTTCATAGAATACTGCATATTGTAAGACAAGTTTTAACATCCTTTCCCCATTGCCTTTTGTCCTTTTCTCCTTCAAATACTACGTAATGAACAAACAAACAAAAAAATCATAAGGTACAGAACAGAATGAGGAACACACAACACAAGATAAGTGAATATTAAGTATGGAATTACTAGCAAAACTCTCTTTAGCTTAATAAAAACAATAAACTGGTCCAAAACTCCAGTGTAAAAGAAAATATATTTTGACAAAATGACAAGAACATACTTTGATTTAGTGGAAAGAATCGTTTATGTTTGGACAGTGATTGTTGTTAAGCCACGCCAAACTTATTGATGAAAAATGAATGGAATTTCTTGTGATAACCTCAGTTCTCGCTCTACTTCCTGTACATATCTCCATATTCCCCTATTTTTCTCACAAACTGTGGCTTTAACAGTGTATATCAATATTCATAACATATACATATTTCCAGAAATATCACAGACACAAGAATAGAAAATAATTACAAACAATCACCTCCTTCTGTTTGCTTACATTTGATGAATAGCTCTATAGCAGCTGGATCTATCGTATGCCACTTCACACCTCACTTCTAAATAGCAGAAGTTTAACACCTATTAATGGCTGTGTGGACAAACTGGACTTACACGTAGCCTCTTGTAAATCTGTGTGAGACACATGTGCAGAAGGACATTTTCCACAGCTACACACAACAGCTCTAGGAGGATTACCAAAAGCAGTGGCAATATGGAGCTCTTTATCTGCCTATTATCTTCTCGGCTGCTTCCAAATATATATAACAGCACAGATGCATATTGATTCACCCACATAAAACAGACCTGCCCCATGCACCGACTCTGCACTGCTTTAAAAACATGCCCTGGGCGCGGGTGAGCCTTTAAGACTGACTATTGTTCTTTTACCCGGAAAGGTGACTTCGGTTGGAATTAAGAGCTCAGGCCGCACTATGCATTCTATTCTTAGTTATATGGTTACAAAAGCTTAGAAGTATATCATATTCATAAGTCTGTTTATAATTAGGTCTTGCCAAATATTAAAAAAAATCTTGCATACTAGGAAAACATTTAAACTATGCACATGGGGGGTCTTTGCGTGTTTCTTCTTCCCACTCCACTGTTTGTAAATGTATTGACACAACCATATGCATGACTGCTTGCATGTATAGCTGTGTGTGTGTGTGTGTGTGTGTGTGCACTTGTTTTCAACTCCTGGTGGGTTCCATAACCTGAGATTCCACTCACGTCATGGGGACTGGTTTTACGTGGTGGGGCCCGAACACCGGACCCCACTGGTCCAAGCTTAATAATCAATGGGTAATGCTTTTCTACCGGTCCTTATGCAGTCTCTGTAAAAATATGGAAAGGACCCCTGGAGGTTTACTTTCCTGAAAAAAGTGTGTTATGTGTCGGAACCCTGGTGGTGGGTTGCGGGATATCAAGGAGGGGCACACTGGGGCAATTTCAGTCCAGCAGGCTGGAGCCAATCATGGAGCAGCACAACAGAGGAAATCAGGTGTCAGGCTAGAAAAAGGTGCAAGTGTGTGGTTCATTAGGCTGCAAGAAATCATGGAGGAGCACACTGAAGCGCACGCTTACAAACCACTGGTAAGTGCTGACTACAAGTCATGACTTCAAATTGTTATATAGAATGATTACAAATTATTTGTTGTTTGTGCAGCTTAGTCAAGAGTCCCTAATTGATGAAGTCGACTCAGATTCTGACGATTTAACTGTCAAGAAGAAACCTGTAAAAAAGTATGGAAAAAGAAAAATCAAAAACACTTTTCTTCAAGACTCGGAAAGTGACGAACCAAAGGCAAATAAGATTGTTATCATGCAGCTGCAAAAGAAGAAAAATGGGGGGCGAGTATACAGCAAGAGACACTTCTGCCTCTACTGTTCAATGTCCTGCCACAAAATGTCCCGTCATTTGACTAGAAAACATGGAAATGAAAGTGACGTAGCCAGAGCATTGGCTCTACCTGTGAAATCTAAAGCACGTAAACTTCAGTTTGATTTGATCAGGAATAGTGGAAACCGTGAGCACAATTTTGAGGTTTTAAAGGCCGGCATTGGAACTTTAGTCCCAGCTAAACAGCCAAATTCCCCAGTTAAATCCAGTGAGTTTTTGCACTGTATAGACTGTGGGGCATTGCTTAAGCGAAAGTTGCTGTGGAGGCATGTGGCCAGGTGCCGGCTTTCACAGAAAGATGCCCAGGCTAAACCAGGTAGAAGTAGGGTCCAGTCCCTCTGCTCCCTAGCCCAGCCTGTACCGGAGGGCATCAGCAAAAAGCTGTGGTCTTTAATTTCGGCAATGCATCAGGATGAGGTCACGGGTGTTGTCAAAGCAGAAAAGGGGATTCTGAGACTCGGAGAGCACCTGTACTTAAAACACGGGCATGATAAGACTAAGCATGATTACATTAGGCAGAAAATGAGAGAAGTCGGTAGGTTAATTAACGAAGCAAAAACCGCAGGGAAACTGAAAACAATTAAGGATTTCTTTATTCCTTCCAACTTTAACCATGTGATTGATGCAGTCAGGTCTGTGGCTGGATATGATGAGGAAACAAATCAATACAAGACTCCATCCTTGGCCCTCAAACTCGGCCATAGCCTCAGAAAGCTAGCAGATATTCTTGAATGTGACTCAAAAATGGAGCATTGTGTTGATGAACTATTTATTAAAAACCTCCAACGAAGCCGGCTGCTTTTTGAGAAGAGGTGGGACGTCTGTGTTTCTTCTGCTGCCCTACAGACCCTCCGGCAAGCCAAGTGGAACACTCCGGACCTGCTCCCTCTGACTGAGGACGTTAGAGCCATGCATGCACATATTGAGGTATGTCGACCTGAATATGTGCAAACCCTAATAAGTGAGCCAACGTCTAAGCATTGGTCTAAACTGGCAGTTTTGACTCTTTGTGAGGTCATCATTTTCAATCGAAGAAGGGAAGGTGAGGTTTCAAAGATGCCACTGACAGCCTTTACCTTAAGAAGTAAGACTGGGATCCATTCTGACATTGCTCTGGGACTGTCCCAACTTGAGAAAAAGCTGTGTCAGCATTTTCAACGCATTGAAATTAAAGGGAAAAGAAGTCGGAAAGTGCCGGTTCTTTTGACTCCTGAAATGATTGCTTCGATGGAGGTGCTGGTGGAGAACAGAAGGGCCTGTTCCATCTCTGACCATAACCCATACTTCTTTTCCCGCCCGGGCGCAGACACCCACATCAGGGGATCAGACTCCCTACGCCAGGTAGCCAAAGAATGTGGTGCGGTGCATCCAGAGATGCTATCCTCAACCAAACTTAGAAAGCACATAGCTACTATGTCTACAGTTCTCAATATGAAAGAGAATGAGATGGACATACTTGCCAACTTCCTCGGCCATGACATTCGCATCCACAGGCAATATTACAGACTACCAGAGGGGACACTGGAGCTGGCCAAAATCAGCAAAGTGTTGATGGCCATGGAGCAGGGAAGAAGAGTGACGGAATTCGAAGGAAAGAGCCTCGACCAGATACAAATTGAGCCTGAAGGTAATTCTTGATATTATTAAAATATGTATGATTTTTTTCCCCTAAAGGCCACTTGTATTTTTATTTTCTGTGCGACAGGGAGAGCAGTAGAGATCCTCTCACAAACGGACGGGCTAAAAGAAACTTCAAGCGGAGAACCTTCAACCATTCATCCAGATGCACCCCATGGTAGTGGCAGTGCCCCTTCTGGTAAGTGTACCAGGTGGGGGATTACAGCCAGGCTGCTTGGTCCTCACCCTGGGAGTGTATATTGCTAATATATTTTTATTTCTATCCCTAGAACGTGTAAGAAAGCCATGGTCTGCATCTGAGGTGAAGGTTGTGGAGAAGACCATGACACCTTTCATACAGACTGGAAAGGTCCCTGGGAAGTCTCACTGCCTGGCCTGCATTAATGCCTCACCAGATGACCTTAGACATCGGACATGGAGTGGCATTAAATTCTATGTCAAAAATAGAATCACTGCAATTCGAAAACAAAATCTAAAATAAAATTCCTTTAAAATAGTTGTTTGGTTTCTATTGACTGTTTTGTATTACTTAAAGTCTTGGTAAAAAAAGATTATGTCTATGGGTCCCATTCTGAACGGCCCTGTCAAAGGGACCCACCAGGTAACAAAAACGTGTATGTGTGTGTGTGTGTGTGTGTGTCTGTGTACAGGGGCAGAGCTACCATTAGGCAAGCGGGGGCTCCTACCAGGGGGCCTAAAGAATCCAACATTGGTTCCTGTTTTAAATTAATTCAATGTATTTTTGTACAGCCCTAGATCCCAACAGTAGTTATCTCTGAGGACTTTACAAGCCATTGACTCGCCAACACAGATGAGAGAATCAAGCCGTTCAATGATTAACACAAACACATTGGGCTATTGGTCCATTAGGGGCAGATGACTGATGTCTATAAATGTTGATAAAGTTCATGAATGTTGTTAAATGTTGAGTGTTTTAAATAATAATATATGTGTAGCTTTACTACCAGGACTTACAAGTTTCTTTAGCCAAGCCACCGATAATGAGCTGGTGGTTCTAGAAAAAGGTGAACAGGAGGTGACGCGCCTCCTCCTCCCTCATTTAGCTGAGTCTCCATCTACACCAGTGTTCCTCACACAGACCCATTGGCCTGAATCCAACAAAAAAGTTTGCCTTTAGCCCCAAAATTACAAAGTTTGCCACTGTAGGTATATGTATATTCTGTATAGTAAAAACAAAATCATGTAAATACTGCAAAAACATGGTTATCTCTACAATTGCATGTGGAAAAAATGTCAATAATGTAAATTATTTGTGAATGTAACAAATTCTGTTCAAATAAATTAAATCAAAATCAATCAATCTGTGACCAATTTGTGACGTGGCATGCATTGATTTTTAAAAAGCCTGATATACTTTGCATGTGAATTAAAGTGTTCACATCTCACCCTAACCCCTCAAGTCGCCCTAACCCTAACCCTCAGTTGATGTAAAGTATTCGCTGTCTCCATTTGCAGCGATAGCTGGGGCTCAGCACTGCAGGCATGTCTGTGTAATCCCAGGTCCAGCACATGTCGGTGGCCTGCTGTGCACAACCAGAATCCCAGCCATGTCTATTATCCTTTTATAGAATGTAAAAGAAGTTCTAACCTCTGTATTTTTAGTTTAAAACACAATAGCTCAGATTAGGATTAGCCAAAGTCCTCAGTCTGTGTGAAAACACATAGTTTTTTTGTGTGGTATATATTTGAATTATTAAACTATTAAATTATTATTGTTTGTGTCAAATTCTGGTGAAACTCGTACAATTCGAATATTGTTTATTTACTTCTTCAATGTGAAACCAATATATGGCTTATTACACGCCTTTATTAGTTATAATGTTGATAATTGGCACAAAGCTTGAAAATAGACTGTAAATTCATCCAAATTCTAACAAAGACTTGGCATAGGTCACTCGTGTGAGAGTCTAAATCATATGTAGGTTTCACATTTTGAGTTGAAATACAGAAATAGAAAAACAGTATCATAATTTTACAATTTTCACATTCAGGGAAAAAGTTATCACCCCCGACTTAGTGTTTGTCGAGGATTTCACGACGCTAAGGAGTAACAAGTAGACAAACACTACGCATGTCCAAAGACCAGTCCAAGAGCCAATCACAGCCCTCGGTGTCATGTCAATAATCTAAGAACTTCTTTAATCAAGACATTGCAGAGGACAAAGGACTTCAACTATACTGTATTTTTTTGACCATGGCACAATATTTGTGCCAATATTTTAATGTAGCTGCTGAGAAAGTAAATATTGAATTCAATGGGAATTAATACAGATATGATGTTATACCTCTTTTTAAGTCCTTGGACCCCCCTCCCTCAAAGCAGGAGGGTGTAAGGACAGTGGTGATGATCCAGGACGCTCAATATTGAACGACATTTATGGACATTGGTCATCCGCTTCTTGCAGACCAGTGGCTCTACGTGCTTTTATCCTTGTATTTCTTGTGTTTGAACGGTTTGATTCTCTGATCTGTGTTGGCAAATTCAATGGTTTTGTAAAGTCCTCTGAGATAACTACTGCTGTGATTTAGGGCTGTACAAAAACACAATGAATTGAATTGAATTGAATTGAATTCGGGCGACAGTGGCTCAGTTGGTAGAGCATTGGCCTTTGGGCCTGGAGGTCGTGGGTTTTAGCCCTTAACCCCACTTTGCCTGAAGCCCCCACTGAAATATCAAGGCAGCTCAGACTAGAGCAGCCATCCTCACCACCTGCCGAAGGATCAATAAGGGGCTGGTGCTCCGTGGATTGGGTGGGATGGACCTAAATACTAATTACTCAAACACAAACGTATCAAAGTCCATCACAAGAGCCTCAACTTTAGAAACAAAAATCATTCTTCAGTTGAATTAACTTAAAATAAAGTTTATTGTAATGCATCATCGGATTATAAGCCAAATAAATGTGTACACTCACTCAACAGTCAACAGAGAACAATAGCAAAGCAATAAACTATTCTAATCTATACTGTTGGCAGTTCAACAAAGAGCACTCACCACCCTAATCCAAGAAAACAAAGTATTGTCCTAGAAATTCCCTCTGTCCAACACCAACCGTTACATTTGATGAATACAAGAGACATATTTAGAAGATTGAGCTATGGTATTAGAGAGTGGGTATGGAACCTATTGGTCAGGGGTGTGTCATGCACATGTCTGGGTCTAAAAACATCACAGGCAATGGCACACCAAGAAGAAGGCAAGCAAGAGAGAGTTGCTATACACAGGTAGGACTATTCTCATGTCTTCAATGCAGTGTATCTTGTATCTATCTAAAGGGCAAAGATAGTATATGAACAAAGCAATCTCTGTTCAACAACGATTTGCAGTCAGAAGTAGCTTTTTGTGCTAATTAAAAACACTCAACAATAGTTGAGTTTACAGACAACTATGAAGACTAATTCAGTCGTAAATACCATCAGTGGTACAGTGTTATAAAACCTTTTGAGGACATTTCAAAAGATATCTTGTTTTGAATGATTAATTACTATTGTACGCCATCATTCTCAAATCCCCCCATCCCTGGGTCTACTTTCATCACGGCACATAAGCATTGAACCTCTGATTGATGACCCCAAAACTCTCTCATGACAGTGAAAGAAAGAGTGGCCATGCAGGACATACTGGATCAGGAGAAGCCGGCGGCTGATGAGGGTATAAAACTACGTTGTATGTCACAGGTTGCTGTAGTATTGTATCTGGCTATTTGTTTTTCAGACCAAAAGCTTATGGCTGTGGAGGCTCTGGACCGACGGAACAACTGGGAGCCGAGTGTCTTCTACTCATTAGGAAAAGAATCATTCTTTTTGGTGGGACATGACATCGTAATCAGGGAGTCTATGGATACATATGGTGCCTTGATCTGGCCTGGGGTAAGTGCAGCGAGCCGGTGGGTGTTATTTGCTTGTTTTCTCACGTTTTAACTTGATTTTTTTTCCTAGTGCATTGCTCTGAGCCATTTTTTAGAGAACAACCAACAACAAATAAACCTTATGGATAAAGCAGTGCTTGAGATTGGTGCTGGGACGGGGTTACTTTCTATCGTCGCCAGTCTTTTAGGTAAGATACGTTACGTGATGAGAATGATTTGTTTAGAAGCAACATGAGGAGATATAATACATTAGTGGAAATGATGTAGGCATGCCTAAAGTCCTATTGTCATGGTTACACAGTGAGGGATTGTGAGTATCAAATTACTTGAGCACCCTAGTTACTTAGTTATTAAGTGATCTTTTCTATTTTTCTACTAGAACAAATAGGGGCACTGTAATTTGATGGCCGTGTTTCTGAGCCCTACACCTCAGTACTTTTGTAACTGATCATAAAATAAACTGACTTGCGTTTGATTTTGTGATAGGTGCCTGGGTGACAGCCACTGACAAGCCAGACATTTTATCCAACCTGACATTTAACCTTTTGCGAAACACGAAGGGCCGTTCGCGGTACACTCCTCAGACGGCTGCTCTGACCTGGGGCCAGCACCTGGACAGAGACTTTCCCCACCCAGCCTTCCACTACGACTTTGTGCTGGCTGCAGATGTGGTGTACCATCACGAGTGTTTGGAGGAGCTGCTGAAGACCATGCATCACTTCTGCAGACCGGGCAGTGGCACCACTCTGCTGTGGGCCAACAAGAACCGCTTCCAGTCCGACCTGAGCTTCACCGAGCGCTTCAAGGATAATTTTAATGCCACGCTACTGTGCGAGCTGCCACAGCAGGAGGTCAGAATATTTATGGCCACAGCAAAGAGCCGCGATGATGTGGTGTAGTGACAGACGGCATTTACTTTCAACATCAACAATATGTTGAATGAGTGTTTCGAATGACAAACATTTTATATTCTAGTCTTGTTCATTGTGTCTGCTTTTGATTTTTTACTCCCGAGGTTCTTACTGAAAGACAACCACTGGTTGAGTATGGCCTTGTTAACATGTTTCTGCTGCAGAACTGTCCTGCGCCTTGGTGAGTGTCATTTATCAGCTGATGTTACTTCCTGATTAGGCATGGTCAACCTGATGGACGCCCTTTCTTGCCTGATGGAGGAGGGTGTGTGTGTGGCACAGGAAGAAGGTGTCACGGTTGATGGACATTCAGGCTGATCACAGCTACTCAGGAGGTAACATCAGCTGATAAATCACTCTCTGAGGCGGGTGACAGTTCTGGAGATGGCTCACAGCTCTGCAGCAGAAACATTAAGTCACACATCTTAACCAGTGGTCGTTTTTCAATAAATTCATTTTATATTCTGCTTGACATTCCAAATGTGATTCTGCTACATCAGTGAACTTAGTTCATGTTTGTGAAACATTTGATTAACATAAAAAAATGCTAAAAAGTTTTTAGCATATTGATAGACAGACAGCAGGCCTGGGACTGTACCAAACCCACAGATGGACCATGTCTTTGTACCTGCTTGTTTCAATGGAGATGTGCCGCTTTCCTTGGAATGTTCCTTGGCATTAATAAACCAATCTTTGAATCATTCAATTACAATAATTTCATATGGAAATGATCTGCAGATGTATAATACAATAGGCTCTCTGTGAAGGTGGCATAGCCCAGGTAAAAATACATTAAAAAAGACCTGTAAAAGACATGTAAACATGGTTTTAGGACACACTGCAGGTGGAAGACTTTGCAGGTTGCTCTAGTATGGACTCCCGGCGGAGGTCATTGGGAACTGTTCCATCTGGACCCCAAACATTCAGCTCTCCATAAAGGCCCATTTCAATCATCTCTTCCTGCCATGGAATGGCGATGTTGCCAGTTGAAAACTCATCAAAAAAGGTCTTGTCGGCATCTTCCACAGCGACGCCTTTCACAGAAGAAAAAGCCCCAACGTCGTCCAAACTCTTAGCATAGACCACTCTGGGGTCCGGCACAAAAGGAGGAGGCAGGATGCCTGGACAAAAGAGGGAATATCTCATATTTTAGGACATCATCATGTTTTCTAATGTGTGTTATCAGTACCTGCATTCAGCTTCCTCCAGTTGATATTCTTAAAAAAGGGATGTGCACGGAGTGCATCACAGCTTCCATCTTTAAAGCCCAGTCGCTGACTCGCTTCTTTTGCCAACAAACCGTCACAGAGAGACTTAGCATCCTCACTGAAGAGCTCACTGTAAGTCACCTGTAATGTTAGCATGCGCTCCTTCATCTCCTCTTTTTCCACCTAAACAAAAACATGTTTCAGTTGTGCTTCTTACACATTTCAACAGAAAGCAGTTCAAATCCCAACCTTCTCTCCGCGGTTCCTAAATGGGTTTTTAGCAGCAATAAACTCATAGAGCGTCACACCAAGTGAAAAGTAGTCACAAGAGTGGTCATACTTCTCTCCTTTCAGCATTTCTGGAGGCATGTATCCTGTGCACAGCAGACAGACATCATGCTCAAATGAAGAATATATTTTTAAGTTGAATCGCTTCTTTATTAACACCCACCTGGAGTTCCAGCATAACCCTTTGTCATAGTCTTCCCCTCTTTCAGCTCTACTGCCAGGCCGAGATCAGAAATACGGACGTTCCCTAGGAAAGTGAAAGTGAATTAAATAAATTGCAATATCAAATCAAATACATCAAACAAATGTACAAGACAACCAATTATGAAAATTACCATCATTGTCTAGCAACACGTTTTCAGGTTTAAGATCTCTGTATATGATTCTTTTCTGGTGAAGGTGTTCTAAACCCTGGATTATCTGTGCCGTGTAGAAACAGGCTCTTGGTTCCTCAAACCCTGGATTGTTCTCATCCACCAGATAGATGTGGTACCTGCAAAATCAAACACACACAGTAAAGATGAATAGTTTAATCTCTTTAGATCAATGAGATTTTTCCAAACGGAGATTGTTTTAGTAGGCTTACATACATATTTGGAGGTGAAAAGTCACAGGTGAAAAAATTAAAGATGAAACGTGAAACATTCCAAAATATATTAAGTTCAATCCCATAATGTGGCAGCCAAATAAACAGGTAAGACATATGTTTATATCTATACCGGATCCTGGTAGATCTCTTATGTTATGCAGGACATGGTCTGGTTAGTGCGATGATGGGAGAATTCCGGGAACACCAGGTGTCCTTAGGCAAGACACTGCTCCCACATGGCCTTGTATAAGTCTGGTGTGTGAATGATTGTGGTGTATTATTCTTGCGGTCATAAACAAAACAAAGCAGTAGTATGTTTTGTTTCTTTTCAGTTTAAAAGAAACTAGTTACATACTGGGACTAAGACATAAACTGTGTTGAATTGAGGGACACAGTGAAATACATGTAGTAATGAACACGTTACTTGAGATCTCCTCCATTCATGATCGTCATAACCAGACACAGCTCCTCTTTGGTCTGAAAGGCATATGCCAGCGACACAATGAAGCGACTGTGGACCCTCTCAAGAACGCGCTTCTCCACCATCGCCCCCTGTTGGACAGAAAACGCACACACACATCAGATATTAGCCTTTGACACTTGAACACTGGAGTATTCCATTATATGAAACATTAACTATGTCTACCATGGACTAATGTGATTTGATTTAATTGTATCTTGAAAAACTCAATTCTAGTAATAGTAAATGTGACCCCAATTTGAGACATTTTAAGTGCTGATTTTTAACAGAAAAACACATTGAGGTAAATGTTCCATCAACTGACAGAGAAGCTAACAAACAAAACATGTAGAGGCAAAATGCAGCTTCTACATGACTTAGCAGCATAGCTAACCACTTCAAATTGCCAACATGACGTATGACAATCTTTCTCTTGCAGCTTTGAGCTTCATACTTTTATGTTGTGTTGTCTGCTGCAAAGTACAGATGTTTGTGAAAATAAGTAATAAGTAAAGTTGTCTGGTCATACTGGGGGACCTTTGAGCTTTCAGATGATTTTCATTTGGCATTTTCTGTAAACCCACCTTAGAATACATGTGCTATTCCAATGTGGTTTTACAGAAAATTGCAAATAAAATGTATCTGAACCTAAAGCACTGATATAAAAGTCTAAATAATCAATTATCTCTATTGTAACCCAAAAGAAAATGCTACTTCAGCGCTCTTTATGATCCTGAGGTTTTTGTTAAGATATTGACTTTGTATTTTCAGACATGAAGAATGATTTCCAAGGGAAACTCCACCTTGACTGAGCAACTGTCTTTTAGCAACACGTGTGCCGGTTACAGCGCAACCCTAACGCCATCTGAACAAATGCCCATATAAGGACATCCGCCGCTCATTCATTAGTGCTGCATGGGCCATGTCTCTAGCTCCAGAATCAATTACATTTGTCATTCAACATCTCCATAAGAATATTTTTATTTAATTGTTTGGGCCTGATCGTTCTGATGCTTCATGTTTAACTCTGACCAAAACTACAGTCAAAAGATGTGATCATTTAAGGAAAGTATAAAGAATCAGTGTATTTTAGACAATCTTAAACTTGCTAAATTAAAGCTGGGGTACCTAACTATGCTTTTTTCATATGGCCAACATTTTGTCTGACCAAACAGCCTTTTCCAGAGGTGGACAGACAGTAACAAGTTTTTTATGAATTAAATCAAGCCATTAGTTATTTGTCTGATTTTAAATACTCAATGATTTTTAAGTTGCATTGTGCTGTACTTTTAATCTGTATAAAATTATGAGACTTGAGGGTTGAGAGACTTGACTTGAACTTGTGTGGTGCAAAGCAAAAAAATAAAAAATAAAACACAGAACGATCCCATAACTTCACTCGTCATTGAAGTCCTGACAAGTGCATTGAGATTATTATGCAAACACATCTCCTGCTCTGCAGTCATTCTCCCGTATTGCTGCTAAAGAGAAGTGATACTTCGTCCCTCATGCATGTGCAAAATTAAGGTGTAGGGTGTAGGGTTAAGGCTAAGGGGTAGAAAAGATATTCAGCCTCAAGTAATCTCATCTTTAGACCTGTAATACAGGATAAAGACAGGAGTAGATGAGACAAGATTATAACACAAGAATATCCCATGAAGCAAATACGTTGCATACATTATATTACTTTTGACATGGCTTTACTGCATTGATATTCAACGTTTTGCTCACCTCGTATCCTTTCCTCTTCTTCAGTCTCTTCTTGTTAAGTTTTTTACAGGCATATAGTTTTCCTGTGGCTTTCATTTGACATGCAGATACCTCCCCAAAGCCCCCTTTGCCAAGCACACGGAAATCTAGGAACCAATCTGCATCCATGGGCTGCATTTCAAGCCACTTCCACTGCAAATAGCGCTTCAAGTACATACTCTGTAAAAAGAACGTATACGGGGCTTCTCGAAGATAGTCCAATGTTGAAGCCAAAGCAGCAGTGAACAGATCATCACCTGCAGCTTCTTGAGATTCTTTCACTTTTGCGATGAGCTCCTCAGAGAGAAATGGGCAATAATGCTTGGCAGAAGAATCCATGTAGCGCTGGACAATCTTCGAGGCTTTCTTCACTCTTTCAGAGTCCTCTGCCATGTCATAGTCCTCAAGGTCTTTCCACAAGCGACAAGCTCCATGATATTCAGTCTTGGAGTCAAGAAATTCTCTGAACAAGCGCTTGCCAATGGGCTGTTCTACACATGTAGAATCAAAAGACAAATCCAAGGTGTCGGCCAGGTCTTCACAGACAGTGATGTGGGGTAGTTTCATGCGAGCATGGTACTTCTTGTCTCGTGCTGCTGTTGGATTAGAGCCATCGATACTTCCACGAGCATTGATGTAGGCTGAATTTGCCACTACTGTAGTTAAACCACCAATATCCATGCTGTAGGATAAATGACCATCAATCACCAAAAAGAAAACCCTAGGATCTACTGTGTAGATTGGAGAGGTAGCAGACCTCTGCAGACTGCAGTGTGAACTAGTCGCAAGGACAGTACCAGGATTCCCCCACACACCTGAGTCAACATCTTTCAATAATCCACTAACACCCTGATGCCCCAGACTCAAAGCTCTTGTAGGAACAGGACGGTCGACATCACAAAGGTCAAATTGATGTACATAGAACCATGTGAAGAGTCATCACAGATTACATCTAGTGTGCCCATTTAATTGACCAAACTAGTAGATCAGTGTGGGTCTACTTGGGAGCCCTGTAGCACTTGAAAGGAAATTATATCTAGTATTAGGTTAACTGACCAAATACCATTTTTATTTCCAACAAAGTAATAACACAACTACTTCAGAATAGCATTACTTGTCATTGGGGGGCCCCGGAGTCTGAGATGGTCAGAAGATAATACATCACTTCTAGCATTCCCATCAAATACAGTAAACAAAATACATGAATGTAATAATGAAACAACTTAAAACAATCTATATTTAATTTGCAAACTTATATTAGATTACACAAAAAGTATTTGGAAGAGTCAGTACGCATTGCTCAGTTTAAAAGGGAGATCTTTGATACATTAAGACCTTTACAACCACATGTTACAAGTTTTGGTAGGTCTATTTTACCACTGGCCTCTACAGGAAACTCTACACTACAATTGTCAAACGATTCTTACACATATAAACAAATCTTATTTACCTATCAAGACTCTGTGATAAAAGGGTGTTACCTTGCTGGTGCCATAATTTTGCAAACATTACACTATCAAGGCGTTGCTGGGAAATGTAGGAAAAGTCTTGACATAAGAATACAAAACAAATCTAACAAACATGACAACAGCTGCCTACCCAACAGAAGGAAGCCAGCCCAACACAAACAAGGTCAAGAAACAATTTGTTGGAACAGAAACAAAAACAAAAACAGTGTATAGCCACGTCCCTGGATGGCATGGCAGCTATATAAGGCTAATCAGAGTCCTCGGTGTCGCATCATCAGGCCATTCCACACCTTTTGATCATTTGGTCTGCCGTGTTCATCAAAACAAAATGAATTCCAAGAAGAGCATTATACATTCTCCAACAGCAGTATTCTAGTCACCAATGTTCTAGTGGATGGCTCATCAAGATGCAGACCAGACACAGTTTGCTGAGCGACATTTCCCTAAGACAACACCTGAATTCATCAGTGCAGGTGCTTGTGATACAAATGCAGAGCAAGGGGGACACTACACATCTTGTTTTTGTTTGCGTATTTCTACTGAACCTCACCCCTGAGTAATCCAGAAATGCAGGCATTAAAAACTGGGGAAAGGGGAAGGGAAATCCCACAGTGGAGGTGATTTTAAAGGACTGTGCTTGTTGGAGTGAAGAGGTGTAGATAGGCTAGTCTTCATCATCGTTTTCGTCATACTCATCCTCATCATCATCATCCCCCATATAAGACACCGGAGTCTCCACACGTGAGCCGCTGTAGTGAGAGTCGTTGGAGCTGGAAGCCATGGTGCCATCAGTAAAACCATCACTGTCAAAACAAAAGTACAAAAAAAGGTAAGAATAATTTTGTTAACATTTTAAAACTTTTCTTTAACTCTTTAGCGTTCCAACCTGGCAGCATGGTATTTGGCTCCGTTAGCAGAAGATCCAGTCATGTAAACATTAGTGATGGGACCCTTGGCCATCTCTGCAAGGAACGTTATAGAAGATTTGAGAGTTGGCAATAAAAATCTTCATAAAATCTTGTTTTGAAGTGATTCCTCTTAATTCCCAAACAATTATCCAAGTAACACACATTTACATAAGGAACCTTAAAACGACAAAACATTTAAAAACATATTTGAGACCCAGGGAGAGAGTTGAGGCTTTAGGGTGATTTCGTAAAAAAATACTTCTATCCTGTTTTACCTGTAAATCAATAAACTAGTCATTAGAAGAAATATAAAGAGAAAGTATGCCATTTCAAAGCTGGAGTACCAAACTTTTTTGTTTCATAAATTCATTTTGTTGGTCCCAAAAGTCTTAAGTGACATTTTGTGAAAAAGATCAGACCACATTTATCTTAATAGAAAATATTTGATCCTTTCCTTACCGAAAGCTAGTACACTTTTTCCACTGAAGAACCTGATGTGAAAACTTGGCCGAAAGGCCAAAAATTCCCACTCATGAATACTTATGATAGAACCAAACTGTTTTAGAGACAGGATCGAGTTACATGGATTTTATGACATTGTGTTACTGGTTTGGTTTAAAAGTCATGTGCTCAAACTTAATATAAATGTATTCAAATATTTAGTTTTGTCGTTTGGCTATTCACATATATTGCAGCGTATAATCCCACAATACTCGTATCAGTACAAAACAAAATATTCTTTTTCAAGTTCAATGCAGTCTTACTTGTCCTGCACATTTACTCCCGCTCACGAGTGAGACAAAGTAGCATATAGCGAGAGATTATTTATATAAACATATCCAGCTCCATCTCTCCAGCAAACCCAACGCTACACTTCCACCCTCTACCATTATTTTTTGTCTAAATGAACGAAAATCCTGGTTCACTTCAAACTTTCTTAAACTCAACACTAGCACTAAAACAGAACACATCTTTGTAGGCAACAAATCCACCCTTAACAAAATCAAGAATTTCTCCATCACCATCAACAGCTCCCCCATATCTCCCTCCTACAGGTCAAGAGTGTCGTACTCTTCTGCTCCCACAGTAACAATGGCACTCGTGTCACTGTCTTTCACCTCCGCAACATCCACAACCTCCACCCCTCCCTCACCCCAGAGTCCACTGCAGTCCTGGTTCAAAGTGTCGTGACTTCCTGTCTGGATTTCTGCATTTCCCTTCAGATTGGTCTCACAAAAAAACTCCACAAACTGAGTTGGTCCAAAACTGTGCAGCACGCATCATCTCACTCCATCAACCACATCACCCCTGTCCTGAAAGGGCTCCACTGGCGCCCCATCACCCCCCGCATGGAGTACTAAATTCCATTTCTCACTTTCAAAGCCACAACCTCACCCCACCATATCTCTGAGCTCCTCCACATCAACACACCTGCTTGCCCGCTCCCTCCGCTCCTTGTCATCAGAAGGAGCAGAGCATTCAGCCCCTCGGCTCCCCAGCTCTGGGACACCCTTCCCCTGACCTCCATAACACTGGCACACACTTAAAACACATCTATTCAGGTGGTGTTTACACAGCGGCGCTGCAACAGTAAACCATTAAGAGTTGGGTATCGGTTTAGCCATTCGTTTACACAAAGACAGTGTTTCAGGGGGGTGAAAGTGCTAGCATCAAGAAACAGCCTCCAGAATGGAACAGAACAGGTACGCTGCGCGGCGGAGAGTTGCATCACAGCCTATGTGAAGAAAAAGATCTGAATTCTCTGCTGTAAGGGCCTCACCACTTCCCCGCACACACATTTGGACGTGCGCAGTAGCCGAGAACAAACATAAACAACAATTGCGGCGGTGAATCGATGCTGACGTATGCTTCGAACGTTACACGGAGGAGCCATTCTACTTCCGTCCAAACAAAACCACGTAACACAGTTTCCATTTCCGCTGCTACTGTTAAATGAAGAATGATATTGGTGCATTCTTTAAAGTCTTTGCTATGGCCTGAGGGTTATGTTATAGTTATAATGAGAAGAGTGAGGTTCTTACGTGGCATTCATTGATACTCACCAATAACATAAGGCTCCAGGGCTTTTGGCACCAAACTGCGTGCAACCTTCAAGTCCTCTGGAGAACATTTTCCAACCTCCAAGCCACAAGCCATATTCATGCGCTTCAACACCTCAATGTCATCATGGATTTCAAACATGCTATCAAAGTTGAACAAATACTCAAACCTGTAAAAAAAAAATTAAAAAAATAAATAAGATGGTTTGAATGAAGGTAAATGATTTGTAGTTTCTACAAAACATAAATCAAAGAAAATACTTGTCATTGGAGATGCTACAGTCAATCACAGTCTTTTTGCTGGTATTGACAATAATAAATGGAAGATGTATGATTGAGTTTGGAGGTGGAGGCCTATTTGCCTGTTGTTCAGTCTGTCTGTTCCGTTGCACCAAGTTCTTGAAGGCTATTTGCTGCAAAGAGACAGATGTCAAGATGTTATCGCATAAACCATTTGACCAATAAAAAAAGTGAGAATTAGGCAGAACCCAATTTGCTTTTGCATCAATACAATTAAAAGTCATACCTGTAGAATAAGCTCCTGAAGCTGTGACTGTTTCTGCTTAATCCTTTCCAGCCTCCTTTGTCTTTCGACCTACATTTAGTTAAACAAAAAAGAATTATATATGCATACATTTTTAAAATGCATATACAAACACCTGGAGGTTTACGCATATAAAAAGACAACTATAGTTATGTAGTATTGGTTTTTGGGTCTGTTCTTTTTATCAAAATTATGATTTCTACTGTTGCAATGGCACAATATTGAGTGTTAATTCTTTAGACATATTTACATTACCAAGTCAGAAGTTTAATTACCAGCGGGGGAAAAAATCTTTACATTCTATGTAACCTTCTAGTTTCCCAAGAATTTGTTAGGAAAGGATAATCCAAAAAAAGCCATCAAAAACATACAAAACTCCAGCATAAACATATTATACCTTGAGGTATTCTTACCTCAAGGTTTTGGCACTCCTGAGCAGAGTTGGTAGGCAAACCAATCCATTTAATTTCTTTCTTTTCTTTAGAGATGATGTTCATGGCCATCAGCACATTGAGAGCATCATACACACGCCGCCGAATGTTTTTTTGGTCATACACATGCTACAATTAAGTGAAACGACAACAAGTCATTGCAGGCATCTGGTCCAGATCAAATAGTACAAATCTAACTCACAGCATCATTGGGCGACATGTGGTTGTCAGCAGCAGAGCTGAATTCTGCAACAAGTTCATCGGCCACTTCATTGTAGGTAGTGACTCCTTTCTTCTGTACTTTTTCGCAGACTTTCATTGAGAAGTGCCTCAGGCCTTTACCATTCTTCTCCCCTTTCTTGCCACGTTTACTGTAGACAGTAGTTATCAACTTTTCACAGAAAAATAGTTTTACAAATATTTGGCAGACACTTACCCAGATGACCAAGGAGAGGCATCTGGTGGTTGGCTCTGTGTAAGGAACTGAGAACTGGGAGTATGTGGACTATTTACCAATATTGTATTGGATACAGTTGGCCTCTGTGGTGTTCCGATAACCTAATAGAGACATATAAAAGAAATATTATCTAGCATTTTCCTAAAGGGGATATACGTTACTATAGCTTGTATATTCACAGTCCTTATACATAATCAGATGACAAGTATAATCCTGCTGACTGTAGCATTGATAAGCTTAGGATCAAGTTCCTTTATCTTTTCTTTGTCTGGCCACTGCACATGCATTCAGTAACCCCATCAATGACCCCACTGAGTGAGCAGTGAATTACCTGTAAAAGAACCCTGCAACCACAGCTGTATAGAACTTACCATGTGTGGTATATGTTGCATATGTGCAGCAATGTTTACATTTGATGGCCCAAGTGTTTTAGGTAATAATTGTTTGGCAATAGGGGTAGCTGTGGGTTGAACAGTAACCAATGAGAGGACACCTGTTTGAGAGAAATACAAATTAATATTGATGTGAAAAACACTATTATATTCACTGTTGTACTACGGATTATTGGTTGTATGCTTTCCATTTATGGCATAATGTACATTACCTTTACTAGGACTCAGATTCTGATTCTGTATAAAAACCTTTAGTTCTCCATTGGTTTCAATGAGACCAGCCTAACAAAAACAGAATGTATGAAAACATAATAATGTATATCAAAAAGGTTAGAGTCACTAATATCACTTACATCTTTAGCCATGATCCCAAAGGACCGAGGGTGTTCAGCTGCACTTTACAACTAAGACACTTGAAGCCCTTGAAATAAACAGCATAGACAGGTTAATTTTAGACAAAATATCATCAGATGGGCTGTTTGGTTGGATATAAAAAAAAATATCAATTTCCAAGACAAAACATGACAACTTTTAACATATCTGAATGTCGTAGGGCCTAGACTAGATATCGATCTATTCTGGAACTTTTGCTTCATGTCAATGGAAACATGCTTTCAATATTCGCCATTTTGACGTGGACATAAATAACCCTAGTTTAGAGTAGACAAAGATAAAGCACCATACTCACCAAAGGCAACACTATTCATCTCTAGACAACAACATTCAATTAGTTTTCGTTCAGTGCAGAAAGCTAACTGTTCTGCTAGCTGTTAGCTGAGTAAGCTAGCGCACGTTTTGCACGGGGGAGAATGATCACTCCAGTTTAACCTCTGTGAAACTGATTCGTGCAAATGTACCACTGACCATTAAAGTCCGTATGCTTTTCTGATTCATACAGTTTCAATAACTCTAAATCGGTGTTCTGAGCACTTACGAGTGCACTGAGATGCTTCTTCGACGGCTGTTTTTGTTGGCATTGAGTTTGGAGGAAGAGGAGGTCTAAATCCCTACAGAAACAGGAAACTACAATAATAGGCTTTAAAGCAATTTTAATGCATTCAATATTTGGTTAAATACTTAAGATTGCGGCTCAAATCCATATCATTTCAAAATGTTTTGAAAATTTGAAAATAGCGTAGCAGAAATTGATGTCAAACTTTGTATTTCTCATTTGACAAGATGCTTATATGTAATGCATCCATTAGGCGTACAGTAGTAAAATAGTAACTGCAATCTACTGGAATATCTCTGGAAATTATTTAATCTGATGGCCATTTTACAGCATTTATGAGATCCCATTTATTCAATGTAATGGCGCACAAATGAACACAATGAAAAACGATGCGTGTATCATATTCGTAGAGTTTGTAGTGCAATATTAACCTATATGTAATTCGCTCCTATTTGTTCATATAATAACCACTATCGTTTACAATGCGTATTATACTTCACTGATTCAATATCTTGATGACAAACAGGCCAATGTTATCCTGATGTCAAATAAGAATTTCCCCACGACTCAAATTCTTTTCCTTATGTCTCTAACCAACTCCTAAAGGACGCGCTCATGTGTTTTCATATCTAACATAAGGATCTGTAAATATTTGCACTTTTAATAAACCAGTACTTCCACTTTACTCCGAAAGTTATTGCAATGGTTTTCCGATAAACTGATGAATATCTCCCATCGTGCAATGATCATAGAGATATTGTTTTGGACATATCTATGCACTTGTCGCATCTCTCTGCGCTTTGTTAGCCTCGCGGCGTTCATGATGCTAGAAGCTAACAGAACCAGCTGTCACCATTCACAAATATGTAATGCTGTACAATCTACATGATCCACAACAAAACAGATCGTGGCCGCCATTTCCTAACAAACCGAGAGTATTGGAGGACTATGTTTCATTTTCAGCCATTAAAACTTGTGATACAAGATGATATCTTACCGGGTCCGTGAATACACAGTGTGCTAGCGGCTAGTTAGCGTCTGTACCACTGGAGGCTCGGCTACACAACAGAGCAGTGTCTCTCAGTCAGATCTTGGCGGTGCCTCACAGAAGCCTCTTGTGATTGGGTCGCGTCAACGAGACGAAAGCAACAATCCTTTCTGTCCAGAGTGGGGAGACAGCGCCCTCTTCAGGAGAACAAAGGATGAAAACAAATCTAACAAGAGACCAGAAACAAAATGTGCTATTTAAGTGTTGTAACTGTGGGCACCAAGAACCTGCATATAACACCGCTCCAGTGTGTATGATTTACTTCAATGAATATTTCTTCCTGCGAACCCCATTTTACCAATGGGTGTGTTGATGTAATAAATATAAGATAAGATGTGCTTTATTTATCTCACAAAGGAGAAATTTACATAGATAGAGACACTCAGACTGTGCAAAAGAAAGAAATGTGCAAACATGTTACATGCAGGATAATTATGTACAACAACAAAAAAGTGTCAATTGGAAACAGTGTCAATAGTAGTGCAGGTTTTCACACATCCATAAATCCATCCATTTTCTTCCCCTTAATCCATTTCTGGGTCGGGGGGGGGGGCAGTCAGAGCTGCACCCAGTACACAGAGCACCAGCCCCTCACTGATCCTCCTGCAGGGGGTGAGTCCACAGGAGCTGAGATCTTTCAGCGGGGGCTTCAGGCAAAGTGGGGTTAAGTGTCTTGCCCAAGGACACAATGACAGCAGTCATCAGTGGGAGTCGTGAAATAGGTCTTACGGTGGGCTCGAACCCACGACCTTCAGGCCCAAAGGCCAATGCTCTACACCGTTTTCACACAGTGACCATTTAATGTGACTTATTGTATTTATTGTGACAGCGGTGGGGATAAAGCCCCTGCGCTAGCGCTCCTTCCTACACTGAGGGTGCCTCATAAGAACAGTATTAGCAAAATAAACCATTCATTAGCCAGGCTTATCTTTTTGTTAACCCTATTTCCTTTTTAGGATGATTAGCTGTAATAGTCTGCCTTTAATTGAATGTATTCACTATTTATTGAGTTATTTTGGCGGGGAATGTCCAAACATAGGGTGTTCTTAGCGCATAGCGCATTCTTAGAACATCTTGCCAAAAAGTTTTGAGTTCAACTCCCAGTTTACGCAACTTTCCTGGTGTAGGATCCACTTTTTGCTTGAGTTCACCTAAATGTTGCTTTGCCCCAACGGTTCCACAGTCAAAGTTTAGAGTTGTGCAAATGTAAAATATGTGAATAGGATTCTGTGAAGATCACACTGAAGATTTTAAGCAAACCTTCACGCTTTTATCTACATGACCAAAAACTTGAATTTGAGCAATTTACAGAAAATAATTTTTACAAAATTGTTAGAAAATCAAAGAATTCGATGAATGAAACATTTCAGAAACTATATTTTTTTAGGGTTACAGGTTCTGTTTTTAAATAGAGTTAATTATAGGACACCACCTCCCTCTGGGTGGAAAGCAATTAATTCTGTGCATGTCTGCCTAGAGCTGAAGAAGCTCAGCAACTTCAAAAATTAAAACTGTGATGAACTCTGTCCACATCCTTTGAAAAATAAATACAATGTCTATTGAAGGGGGCCGCACATAACAAGTACAGTGTACATATTGATTCCATAAGGAAATGTGTCCGCTACATTTCCTCCTACCTTCAATGCCACTTGGCGATATAACTGTCAGGAGCAGATGCTTGGTCAAACTAGAACCTTCTTTCTTCTGTGAGGCCTGAGTGCTTGCCCATCATTCTGTTAACCCTTTATTTTGAGACACACTCTTGGTAATGCTCTGCCCGATCAATGTAAACTTATGTTCTTCCTTAAATGCAAATGCAGATGTTTGTATGCAATCATTGAGGTGCTGAAAATAAAACTACAAACTTGAAAGAGGATTCATGTGATCAAAGAAGGAAGTGAACAATAGAAGTCTTTAAACCATAATTAGAAGTAGGTATACGTCCAAAGATGACACAAAAAGACCATACATAATGCATATTTGAAATATTATAGATAAGGCACTAAGACAAAGTACTTATTTATTTGTTTGGGACATTGTGTATTGATGAATGGTATGCACCAGATAGCCAAAAAATGTATTATCTGTAGAACATGTATGATGCCATTTGAGAATATTTTTCCCACCTCTAATTCAAAGTTAGAAAATTATTTTTGCTTAATTGAAATGAATTGAGATAATGTTTCAATGGCTTATAATCAGGTAACTATATGTTACTGCATGCATATGTCCAAGCTGGTTTAAACTACTTAACTACAAAAGCATCAAGAGGTCCTTCTCCTCACCTACGGTTTGGGACTTGGAGTTCTTTGAGAACTTTTTATTTATTTTATTTTTATTGAAAAACAAATCAGACAGGATTACATATTTAGTACTATTTCACACATATATAAAAAAACAAAAACAAAAAACAGAAAAAGAACATAGAAAGCCAAATTGCTAAGTCACAAGAGTCAGAGGTAGATTCACAATATTTTCATATAACCAAAGTACTTTCTTTGAATTACACAGCCTCAAAGAATCCCTAAAGATTGACAATTCTCTTAGAAATATACTAAACAAGGGTTTGGAATTACTAAATTTGCATTTGTGAATGAAAAATAAAGCCATGATTCAGATTCAGATTCATTTATTTGCCATTTGCAGTAAAACCACATTGGAAAAACTGTGCAAGACTACCCCAGTGTGCACCAGACAGAGAGGACGGCACACACCAGAGCTCTTGCCATAAAGTTGTTAATTGTAATTTTTTTGTTTTTGTCTTCGAGTTAGACTCCAAATTTTTTGTCGTGATGATTGAAGTCCATAATACCTAAAGTATTGCTAAGAGACCAAGCGCAGAAACTATCCCAAAATATTCTTGAATGCACACATTTTTAAAAAAAAGGTGTTCCTCTGTTTCAATGTTGGTATCGCAAAAAACACACACATTATTGTCAATATTGAATTTGGATACGGATATACATTGTTCAGTAATTTAGATCTAACTTCTTTAGCTTTAGGTAGGAGAGGAAATTCAATGTAACTGCATCTGAAAATCTTAACATTGTGTTTAGTGAGATCCTTCATAATATATTGTCGTCTTAAAGGCAATGGGAAATATTCATTGGATAATGCTGATCTTAAAAAAAAATTTATTAAATTTTTTGTCCACAAAATTACAATTTTGAACAAGTAATGGATATATTTTTGGAACCAACCGTGTATACATTACAGATCCCTTAATTGCACAAACAAGAGCTTGTGGAATAGCCTTGACTACTTGTGAAAATTGTTTCCTTGAGCTCTTTGAGAACTTGCCCCAGAAGAATCCCCTTTAATATCCACTGCCATGAGTGTTCTGGGCGAGCACTTCCGCGCATGCGTACCACGAACAATACTTGGGCTCTCAAACTGGTCAAACAGCGGTGCGAAAATGGTAGGTAACCAAAATAAACATTAAGCCAATCGCAGGACTTGGCTCACTTAAATGATCATCCCAATGTGGTGATGGTACCCGACATGCACCATGCCTTCCACAGACTGAGCTGGTGGTGGATAGCTCTTTGGTACACTGCTGTTATAGGGAAGGTCAGTGATATTTTGAGAGCAGCCTAGCTAGCTCTTCGTCCCGTTTTAGTCAATCTATTCATTTCGTTTATGAAAAGTGTTAAGAATAACACGCCGTACGCTTCACCGCAGTATCCAATATTTTATAACCAGGCTGTCAGGTCGTGTTTGTTATTCTATTATCATAGATTTTTGTCAACACGCTCCAGCTAATTTGCTAACGCTAGCTAGTGTCTTTCTAGCACTGGTTACACACAAACGGTTGGAAACTGTGTATCTGCTGAGCTGTTATCGACACCACTGTACCTACAGTTTTGTAATGAGAAGAACTACTTGAAGGTGACGCTTGCTCAGTAATAACTGTTACTTTACTAAACTCTATTACAATTTTTAATGAATAACCAGCGATGTCTGGTGTTTTAAATTTTATTTGGGTATGGTTTAGCAACATCTGAGTTTACCTTCTTCATTAGTTGGTGACCAGAAGCGTGTTTGGTTTAATTTTATATTTTGGAAGAGATTTCCAGCCGTCCACGTTCTTGATGGTGGCATCTCATGTTTCTACTCGTGTTACGTCTATCTGTAGTCTGAGTTCTGAGGATCATTTCTGAAAGTGGGAGGGGGGTACAGCATGTGCCATGAGAATCCACAACAACCCCCTTTCGAAGTGTTCATGCTGCCTCTGAGTTTGCTATAACCGGTGGCATGAAATGAGCTGTGAACCTTTACAGATATTACAGAAGTATAATTTTCAGAATCATTTGGTCAACTTTTTCCTGAATGTGCATAGATCTATTTACCTCGTTGTGTATTTTGTTTTTTGCATTGCTGTGTCTTTTTCTGCTCCTGGCTCTGATTTCAACCCCAGTGCCTGACAGCCCTTGTCCTTTGCTTCTACAGCATAAGCTGAAGTCTTCGCAAAGGGATAAGGTTCGGCAGTTCATGTCCTTTACCCAGGCTGGGGAGAAGACAGCTGTGTACTGCCTAACACAAAATGATTGGAAACTAGAGGTTGCCACCGACAACTATTTTCAAAATCCAGACCTATACTGCAAGGAATCTATGAAAACATCTGTAGACCGCAAAAAGCTGGAGCAGCTTTATAATCGCTACAAAGGTAAGTTTCAGGTTAGCACCATGCATTCCACGGTCAACTATTTTGACACTTGCATCTCTTTTCAAAACAGATCCCCTGGATGAAAATAAGATTGGTATAGATGGAATTCAACAGTTTTGCGATGACTTGTCATTGGATCCCACAAGCATCACTGTACTTGTTGTTGCCTGGAAGTTCCGTGCTGCCACTCAGTGTGAATTTACCAAAAAGGAATTTATAGATGGCATGACTGAACTAGGGTGAGTATTACCATCGCTAGTATCTGAAGTGGCCCAGGGATGTTTACAGTGCTCAGGGTATCTATGGATGTTCTTTTTAGTGACTTGGAGGAACGGCTTCTATTTATAGTTTTGCTAAACTGTGGTCCCACTGCTTGGAGTGCTTCAAACAAGTAATTGGAGTAGCTTTGTATGGGTACATTTAGGGTTTGTTAGCTATTTAGTTTTTAAGGACTAAGCTAAGGCAGAGCTATAATTTCCTACAGAAATAAATTGAAATTTGATATTTAACCAAATTAACTTCAAGTATTTCTACTTGTGTATTTGTTACCTGTATATATGTATGTATGTGTGTATACGTATATTATATTATTGTATACTGGTAGGCCCTAATACAATATAAAAAACAATTTAAGTGGCAGTGACAATCTTGGTCAATTTTTGCCTTTCATGCACCAAAAAACCACTTGATCAATCAAAAAAGACAAACTAATTGATGTTGACTATTTTCAACACTGATGTCTGTGGTGCAACGACTAAACCTGGCTTTGTTTTCTAGATGTGATAGCCCTGAGAAGTTGAAGGCGCTTTTGCCAAGATTAGAACAAGAACTAAAAGATAGTGGAAAATTTAAGGATTTCTACCAGTTTACCTTTAATTTTGCCAAGAATCCAGGACAAAAAGGACTTGGTAAGGACAGTCATGTGAATGCAAATTTGTCTCTAGATATTTAAAGATAATTGTTATTTTTTGTTTTCCTTTTTTTGCAGATTTGGAGATGGCTGTAGCTTACTGGAAGCTTGTTCTTTCAGAACGATTTAAATTCCTTGACCTTTGGAATAAATTTCTATTGGTAATCACAATAAAGATTACTGAAATCCATAACATATTTTCCTCTTAAAGTAAATTGTCTTTCTAACTTGCTCTTATCTCTTTATAGGAACACCATAAAAGATCCATCCCAAAAGACACATGGAATCTATTGTTGGACTTTGGAAACATGATTGCAGATGACATGTCCAACTATGATGAAGAAGGCAGGTTTTTTATTTTTCAAAATGACAAACCTTAAAATGAACGCAGATAGTAAAATTCTGTTTCTCTTTTAGGAGCGTGGCCTGTTCTTATAGACGATTTTGTGGAATTTGCACGACCTATCGTAACAGGATCAAAACGCAAAACACTCTAATTTATACACCAACTCTGGACGACCAGGTTGTCTTCTTTTACAGTGACTTCATAGTTTTTTAAGACTTGTACAAAACTTGTAAACTTCACCATGAAAACAGAAGCACTTGAAACTGTCAGGAATCCACGTTAGAGCTGAGAAAAACTGGCTACATACCTGTTCCAATCTGAGGTGTGGGTTGGACATAACCAGGGACACCTTTTCTTGTGGTGGAAGCTCATTAACTTGGAGTACCTTCGCTTGCTTCTGGAGTAACGCGCTCGCCAGGACTCCGCACGTTTGCAGAGATGAGCAGCTCTGAGATGAAATCCATTGGGTTTGCCTGAAAGAAAACAAGGCGAGAAAGTTGTGTGTTTTAGGTTCTTCTAAGTCATCTTGGATATGATTGCAAAGCTCTGAGTGACCGTGCAAAGCTCTAATGTCTTATTGTTAAGACCTAGTGCTCACTACACCAGCACAAGAACTGTTGCAGTTTTTACTGTACATTCTGTATCTATTGGGACAGTTTACAGAGAGCTATATGAAGAATAATATAATTGTCCATTTATAAACACACAATTCTTTTATGTACAGTAAATGCTGAGATCTCATATGGGATGCCTCAATATTTGTGGATAATGCTGTTATTGTTAGATGGATTCGTCATGTCAAGAACTTGTGAGCCTCTCAATGAAAGCATGTTAAAGACGTTTACATAATTCGCGGATGATTTCAAAAATAGATTTTTACATCAGAAAGGGCTTTAATTTGAAATTTTGGGTTGTTTGTGATGTATGCCAGGCTCGTTGGGAACAGGTGTCATCACACCCTATTTTTTCCAAATGTAAAGAATTATAATTTTATACGTAGATTTGCCTAATATGTTAATTTAATCCAAACTGACAAGTTTAATAAATTCAGACCTTTAGGATCGCATGATGCATATCTGTTTGTTATGGCATAAAGGCAGGACATGAAAGAGAGCATAAATATGACAGAGTATGCCTTAACAACACTGTCAAACTGTACTCTGTTTGGGCCCATCCCCAGTGTTACTGAAGGTAGTGAACATTTGAATATTGTTAATACATCATGTAAGTAGCTAAGTATATTGTTCATTCAAAATGAATAAAGCATGAGTTTTTCATTATCACAAATCCATTAGGTTTTTTGTTGAAGAGTTTCAACTTAGATTCCTCGACTCTACAGGTGGTATGAAGTGATGGACTTCTCAATTCGATACAATGCAGGCTGTGGCCACAATGTCAAGTCTATAGTATAAAGAGAAATTAAGACAAGGCAGCAGCAATTTAACCTGTACAGTTTATGTTCAAGTCACTCCAGATCGAACAAGAGGAGACCAGGCTTTTTATATGAATTGTCTCAATGTGCAAAAAAACATGTCATCACTTGAGATATAAATGACTCATGCTTAAGATTCTGTAGTAACAATGTGGGCAAAACAAAAACGTACAGTGCTTCAGATAATAATGTTCTACCAGTAATACAGACAGAACAGAAGTCCACAGAACAAAATATGTATGTTGGGTTCCCCATTATGGATGGTTAAAGTTATTCTCAGGCAACCCTAGCATCACAAACATGTCCACAACTCCTCAGCTTTATAAGGTGAATAAAGTGTGATAGGAAGGACTTCAGATTATCCAGGAGCTCAATGAGGCTCAACCAGGCTTAGATTGTGTTTTGGTCTGTTAATGAAATTGTGTCTCCAGGGACTATCACTTTGTATTAACCACTAGCCTCAATCATCACCTAAATCTAATGATTCTAATAATCCTAGTTTGTTGTGCCTTCACTACATGAGCACATGTAAAACAGTGCTGTAAGCATCCTCCACTCCCTCATGCAAATACAACACTCAGGTGCAGCTCTTGGGCGTATCCTACAGTAGCCCCTCCTCCCGTAGCCAGGTAGTGTACTCAGTTAACATTGTTATTTGCTCAGACCAGAGGCATTTCTTCAAACAAAAAACAGACACTAATGCCCGATGCAACAAGAGCAAAAAACTGATAAAGATATGGAAATGGAGCCTCTTTCAGCGAATGACAACGAAGAGTAAGCAAAGACTTTATCACTTAATTTTCCCCCAGATGCTTCTATAATTGCTTTAAGAAACAGGTTAAGTACATCCTTTAAATTCCACATCTTTACACAAGTTGAATGGTCTATTTTTTGTAATTCTGAAAAGCATTGATGGTAATTTAAAACTTGCATGGCCATTTGATCTCCCGGTTTGAGAAACCCTACCCAGCTGAAGCTGCTGTAGTTTTCTTTCATCAGGGAATAGTGTTTGGGGATGAAATTCTACCCACTGTGGTTCTATATTAGACATGTATCAAGAGAAACGTCAAAACATTCTTTATTGTGCAGCAGGACTGATCCGTATGGATTTGAGAGACCTCATGATTTTGATAAATACAAAGACATGATGGATACGTATGCCCCAGTCCTCAGCAGGAGGTCAAACAGATGGACCAAACTGCTTCAGGAGAAACCACGTCTTGAGAAGAATGTGACAGGTATTACAAAACATCTATTCTATTGTATATTTACATAATGGTATACTCCTGAATGCATTTCCCCCAACCCCTTTTCTGTAAGTAAAGAGATATGTGCGAAAAGGTGTGCCTAATGAGCATCGTGGCACTATCTGGATGGCAGCAAGTGGTGCCCGGGAAAAACAAGAAAGTAATGAAGGGTATTATCAGTCTCTTCTGGCAGCTGAGCATGACAGTAAACTTAAGGAGACTATTCACACAGGTACATCTTATAGTTTTGTCTGCGCATATCTATCTTCAATAGTTTATATATAATTCTGATTCAATGTTTGTATTTTATAGACATGCATCGAACCTTCCCTGATAACATTCTTTTTAAGACCCAAGCAGAGTCATGCTTGCAAAAAGCACTGTTCAATGTGTTGGTGGCATACGGACATCACAATAAAGATGTAGGATACTGTCAAGTAAGAATCTCAAACTTTATGCTTAAAGGTGCATTGCACAACTTTTCCAATAGTGTCTGCTACCCGCTAGTTATTTCTTTGCTTGGAATGTACCTCAGTATGATACAAAAGATACCTAACCTAAAGATTTTAACGATTTAAAAACCTGAATTCTTGAAGTACATTGGGTCAGATAGCCACCCCGCAGATATGATCAGTAACTATAGTAGGACCTGCCTAGGGTCTCTTGCTGGTCTCCAATCTCGAAAGGCTATGTAATACTGTATTGCAGATTCCAGGCAAAACAAATGTTTGATGGACCCAAACAAAATGTGGACCCGCCCAAGTTTTCATATACACCTTTAACTGTTTTTAAACATATATTGTATTAGATTAAATGTATAAAAGGCAGGTCAAGGTAAAGCTCTGTTAGAAATCAGAAACCATTAGAAATCGATCCTGATTGTATTGATATCAAGCCACTTTTTCATCCTGGTATATATTCATACCATTATTGTGCTATCCCTAGTCCAATGTTCATTTGAATGTTTAATTTATTAGGGAATGAATTTCATTGCGGGTTATCTGATTTTAATCACCAAAGATGAAGAGAAATCCTTCTGGCTTTTGGAGGCTCTGTTGGACAAAATCCTTCCAGGTGAAAGATTTTAAGTAATGCCAAATGTATACTGCCTTGGTATCACTTTCATTGTAATAAACCATTGTAGACTACTACAGCCCTTCCATGTTGGGACTGAAGACTGACCAGGCGGTTCTTGGTGAACTTGTGAGAGCCAAAGCTCCAGCAGTGGGCCAGCTTATGGACCAGTATCCTGGCATATGGACGCTTGTAGTCTCCCGTTGGTTCATTTGCCTTTACATCGACATTCTTCCCATAGAGGTGAGAAAACCAATTTGTCAAATGAATCGTTACCCAACTGTTAACCAGGGGTTGTTTGTTTGGCAGACAGTGCTACGAATTTGGGACTGTCTATTTTATGAAGGCTCCAAGGTGCTTTTCCGTGTGGCTCTGACCCTGATCATTCACCATCAGCCTGAAATCCTGAGAGCCCGTTCTCTGCCTGATGTGTGCGAGTGTTTCAAACAAATAACCAAGGGAGTTTTCACTTTAGAGTGCCACACCTTCATGCAGGTGAGTCCTGTTCCCATCCTTTTGCAGTGTTTATTTTGGAAAGTTTAATGTCAACACTTCACTTTCTTTTACAGAAAATATTTACTGAACCTGGAAACCTTTCTAAACTAACCATTGAGAAATTAAGAGAAAAATTTAGAAAACAGGATACAGAAACGTCTCATAGGCCATAAGAATATTCACAATGCAGCAAAAACATTAGATGTGTAAAAAAAAAAATAAAAAAACTAATATCTTGTTTAGTCACTTTTATTGACATCCCTTTTAGAAAAAAACAGTAAAACAATATCAAACCAAAGCATGAGGAATAAACAAATTATTCTACATACAAAGGTGGTACAGTAAATTTCTAAAATGCCCGTTTCTCCTGTTGAAAGGCAACATGTTATGGCTTTACATACAACTGTAAAACATTTATCTTCATCATTCAAACTACAGTAAACAAACGTGTACATTTGTAATAAAGACACTTTTGAAAGAGTTGGTTCAGAATGTCGATTACATATATTTAAATGGAGACAGTTTGGGGTCGAATAATTCAATAAACAGCACCACGGCTTTGAGAACTTTAAACAGACCTTCAGTCCAAACCTGTTCAGGACTGTGGTCGTACGTAACAGACATGCACAGAGACAAGGGTGGTCGCTTAAACAATAGTGTTAAATTGTCTGATATCCTGCATGACTTCTCTTTCTCCCAATCAGGTAGGCCAATAGCACAATAAATACAAGCCCTGCCAAAGCTACACCAACCACAATGGGAATCACCAAGTCATCTTCATCCAACAAGCATTCAAGCGCTGAAATAATATCCATATTAGACGTTACAATTATATGGTCATGGTGAAATGAGAAAGATATGAGTGAATGTGCATTTACCAGATCCAAACACATCTCCGGTCAGGCCAAAGGGCTGCACATGTAGCAGGTATGTGTTAAGAGAAAAATCTTGGGTCACCACTAGCGTCTGCTCAGACCTGCACCTGTATGAGAAACCAAGCCTGCCTCGGAGATAGTCCAGGCTGTCATTCTCGAAAGAGACAGGTTCTGCACAGTAAAAGAGAAGTCAGTTAAAACACTGTTTACAACCAATTAAAATTATATTACACTTACCCATCATGTCTGGCAAGGTTGCCAGTATAGACAAACCCTCCAAATTGTACTTATTAGATGTAGTATTCTGAGAACAAGTTAATAAAACATTTGTATAAAACACCAGGACTGAGTGAATGAGAATATGTGTTTATGTGCAAAAACGTACAATGGTAAATCTGAACGTAAGTTCAGTCCTTTGGCCAGAGTTGAGTTTCAAAATTGCACTTTCTTTGTCACATGATCCAAAGCTTGAAGTCTCATTTGGAATAAGGTTGAAAACGTTTTGCACACTCTGTAGAATAAAAAATTCAGACGCTCGTCACACACACACAAAAATGGCTCATTATTTCTTACCGCATTTTTTGGAGCAGACGGGAGGCTTATATTGATTTGGAGAGCCATATTTGCTTTCAAGCAGACTGTGCCATTCTCATTTTTGACCCTGTAGTCTCCTTCAGCAGGTATGCCAGGGCCCTGCGGTGGAGGAGTCGTTGGTGGAGGTTCAGGTGTAGATATCAAATCAGATGCACCTTGGTGTGTAACAGCAGCTGCAAAAATGTAATTGAGTTAATTGAGAATAACATACACGATTCAGTAGATTGAAATGTTATAGAAAATACAAACTAAACAAACAAATTATATAAAAATTATATGTACAATTTGCCAAACATTATCCAGTATACACAGTTGCAGTTGGTTTAGCCGTTATCGGTTGACTTTTATAACTAAATAAAACTACAACTTACCAACAATGATATGAAGTATCAACCCCATGTACAATCTCATACTAATTGGAGCCATTGTTGACAGCTTGATCAGAAGTTTTACAGTAACGCCCGGGAATCTACAGCTTAGCCAAAAACGTCACCCTTTGCACCACGAATAACATAAATATCTCGTTACATTTGTCAGCGTTATATTCTCAGTGAAGTCTTCCTCTCTGTAAATGTGTTAAATCAACAAAGTGATGGAGGAAGTGCGGGCCGTTCTGCCTCTCTGTAGCTGTTTACCGCCGCAGTCTCTCGTCCCGCGGGTCACGTGACGCGATCTTTAAGCACCACCAGGGTCACGTGATCCAGCATCTGTGTGGCGGAACCAATAGATCCATGGGCGGAACATAGTCTATGGGCGGAACAGAACAGAGGCTTTAGCGCCATCGCCAGGAGAAATGCAGACAACAGCTGGGCATTAACACTGGACATATTCAAGCTACAGTACACGCTCTCAAAGCTGGTTCAAGTACCAGTTTTCACATGCATGTATTTTCGGTCTCTGTCGCATCAAATTGAGTACCAGCCCTCATTCAGCCAAGAATAAAAAAATAAAAATAAAGAATACATTTAAAAAAGTAAGTGTATCCATTTGTGAGATTGTGGGAAGTTTTATTGTATCTTATCATTATCTCAAACTGCATCCCAACCATTTGGTAAAAAAACTAGGGGTTCAAAAATCTAAAAACAAATTATTTATGTTAATAGTGCTCCTATATCTTACAAAATCCAAAAAAGAAAAACATATATTCTTAAAGTACATTAAAGAGTTCAGATGAAGACAGGATGTGGTGATCAATGTGACAATTGGGACAAACAATATGTGTGTGGGTGTGTTCAAAGTAAAGTGTCAATGGATTCATAAAATAAAAAATAAAAAATCAACACAAATTTATTATATGACCCTTGAAAAATGTGCAACTGACGCAATGGTTTCCGTCAATTATTTTCTAAAAATTGCTCGGGTTTTGCGTTTAATTGGTTTACTATATGAAAGTAATCACTTTGTTTCAAAAAAAGAATCTATGAATCAAATGTGGACATCGGAAAATATCAAAGGATCATGTCGCTGTAGAAAATGTGACTAATGTATAAAACCGTATCTTTTAGCAACTACTAATGGACAGAAGAGGTATTTGGATAAATGAAAAACATATATATATTTTCTGACTATTAAAAACAAATTTTTGGCCTTCTGTCACACTTTTGTACCCTTTAGTGTGAACAAGTGCATTTATTTGAAACAAATAAAAAGTCAGGGACTGTAGCGAGAATATAAAAATTTACCTTTTCAATGTTTACAAAAAATATTGAGAACAAATGTAAAAATATATGGATAGTATAACAACATACATACAGAGTTTTGGCAACTTCCTGGCACTGTTCCTGGAGAGTGCACCTTTTCCTTGAGTCCTGACAGTTTAGCTTTAAGCGTTTCTATCTGAATGGAAAAGAAGCAATTGATATTGCTTAGTTTTCATGCTGTGAGGGGAGATAATAATTTGAGCATAAAAATCATCTGAAATTCATTAATGAACCAGTTTCATATCAGACTGAGGCATAGTCCAAGCCAAGAAGTAATATGAAGCCAAGTCAGTCCATAATTCAAAAAAGGACTTTTATTTGAAAGTGCCTTGGACCATTTTTGACTGAAAACTGCTGCACTCTGAAGTCCTTGAAGAGTACTGTATTATACAGAGAAATGTATTTACTTCAAAAGTAATGGCACATTCTTTTCATTTTTTTTTCAAGTTTTGTTAGGTGCAGTAACGGGTTAAAAATTAGGCCTTTGGGACATTTTTTCAGCTCGGTATCTGGCAGATTCTGAAAATAGATGCTTTCCACCTAGACTACTTACAAAATCGTGTACATTCTCTGATCCCCGATGCACCCACCTGCGTCTCTGTGGCAACGAACAGGTGTCGGGCCCCGTCAGGAAAGTTGCACAACTCTCCTGGCGCCTATTTCTGGGTTCATCTACATATTTGTTTCCTGTCATCGGACACAAGTATGTAACTTTATACAGCAAAGTTACAAGTTATAGACGAGAGGTGAGTCTTCTCTTTTATTTGAGGAATGTACATGATTAAAACCAAAGATTTCAAGCAAAGCAATATCTTTACATATCTGTTGCAAGAAGCAGGTATCAGGCCAATTCACAAAAAGAAGTCCCTATGGTTCACTGCTCCCTCACTCAGCCAATCAGCTCTCTGTATGCAAAAGATAAAGATATTGTTAAGTAGTAGTGTTAGTAATATATTTACTTTGGTATAAGCACTGCTCTAAAGAAAAGCAAAAAGTCTGAATTTGTTTGAAAAAAGGGTTATAGAGTGTGTATGTGTATATCTCTGTGTTTAAACAAAAGTGAATATTTGAAGATGGGAAAGTGATGCACAGTATAAACACCAGAGTGAAGTGGTTGCGCCTCCACGGACAGGTAGTGAGGTCCGCCACTTCCTGTGTTGTATCTGAGTTTATCTAAAGCAGAGACAGTACACGTCAACACAGCAGCAGAGGAAACCTGAAAGATGGACTGCATCAAGAGTGCGCTGTATGTGATTTTCATCCTACTAAACCCAACTTCATGCTACGGTGAGTGTTTGTGACTTTGATTAGAAAACAAGATGGTTATCATTATTATAACAGAAATATATTAACGTATCTTCAGCTTTAATGCAAACCAAGGAACAAGGCAGTAGCTTTCACACACAATTGTTTACATTTTTTGAGTATTATTTTCCCCAGTATAGTCGAGAATAAAAAATAAAAATAAAATCCAATCTTGCCCTCACTCCACGGCAACATTATTACTCACTATTATTATACACTAATATGTACTAAAAGAGTGATCCTATTTTTAACAAATTTATAAAGTTTATTTATTTATAAACTTTATACATTTTTATAAAGCAGAATTTATCTTTTGCATACAGAGAGCTAAATTTATAACGTTTATTTATAAAAATGTATAAAGACTTACAGATACATGTAAAACAAATCACCATGGCCATATTATATTAAAATTACTCAATGAAGTAAACATTGTTTTTGATTTTTTTGCATCATTGAGATCTTAGTTACACCCAAACCAAGTAATCCGTAAACTATATTATACTGACTATAATATACATAATGATACATAGAATACATTTTAAATTATTATTTAAAAAAATAAATTAAAAAAATACATGATTTGATAAATAACTTATGGATCTAGCTGTAACTGTCATTAATGTGTGTGTGATAGATACATTTTTTACACAAGCTGTTAATTTCCTTAATGAAGTATTTATATTAGTTTTACACCATTTATGTGAGTTTGTGGCCAAGAGAGAAAATGCAGCAAGGAATGCGTTCTAAAATGGAAACCCACAACCTGTGATGTTATCGTGAACTCAGCATTTTGATGTTCCTAATAATACAATTAGAAATGTTCTGTTTTTCTCTGTTTAACAAAGCAAACCTGTCAGCCAACAGCTTGTTAACCTCACATTTAGCTATTAAAGCTGTTTATTTGAAAACACACATCATCTACAATTTATCAAGCTAATGGCGACGTCCAGTCCCTTCAGTTGTCCTGATCGGTTTCATGAATGATCAGAATAAACACGGAAAACTCTCAGAAATAGCCACGTTTAATCAAAGTCGGTGACATCTAAACACAGACAATTTTGATTATACTATTTACATATTTTTTGACATCACATGACGAGACATCACATTTTAGAACTTACTACTTTCTCTGTATTTTTAAAAGTACTCACCTTTTTAGCACAAACTCTCTTGACTGTTGTAAAACTAATCAACTACTTTATAAAGAAAAGTAATCATGTGTGCAAAAATGTAACCATCAAAACACACATTAAAAACGGAATGTCAAACTCAGGCTCGTGGCCCCTAAAAGGATTTTCAATTACTATTATTAACTTGCAGCACTGATGGTAATGGGCAACCAAGGCATGTTAATACATCACCTATTTTTTCAGGAAAAAAACAAATGTTATTCATAAAAAGATAAGTTAAATAGCTGAATATAAATCAATGTGTTTAACTTTATATTTGGTCCAGTTTTGGTTAAATCTAAACAATAAACACAATGTTTTCAGAAATACTAAACTATTTATTTCTGGGACTCATGTCACATAGAAGTCATGTCAAAATACCTTCACAATGTAAAAACAATTTATTTTATTTTATTTAGGGAAAGCCCCTTGAGATGCAGCATCTCATTTTCGAGAGGGTCACATGAACGTAGAACAAACACAATGATAGAAAACAATACAAACCATTAACAATTATAAGAAAAGGAAATTCCTTCTATTCATTTGGGCCCTGAACAGATCCTACTTTTTTATACCCTGACCAACATGAGTTTGACGCCTCTGCATTAAAAGATAAATAAGATATATCTGCTGGTGTTGGTCCAATAATATTTAATATGTAATATTTACAGTCTATGCGTTGGTCGCTTTCCTCACAACAGGTGACGCTCCTTTGTGGAATTCAGGAAGTCATCTTGGCATTTCGCCCGCTGCTGATCGAGAAATAGCAACACAATATGAATAATAATGACGTCAGCACAGGAGGAGATGCCAAGATTTGAGTGAGTCCAGTTAGTGATAGATCCATGGTATTATTATCCATGGGTCTCGATTTCCCAAGTTGTTTTCTGACATCCCCGAAGTGAGGGCGGCATCTGGCACCAGCAAAGACAGCTCGGGTTCCATAATGAGTAAACTAGACAAACTTTTGTGTTGCTATGGTAACTCCCTTTATTTATGTCACATCGGATGTTAGACGTTCAACCACGAAGCACCAATATTCAACTTTTACAAGCGATAAAACTAAGCATGATTTTCAGCTACATTAACACCACTTTCTACATTAATATTAATTATAGCTAGGGGAACAAATATATATCGATGAGAAGCACATATCTGGTTTATAACAATTAGTTAGATATGTATAAATGAGAAAAGTAAAGTTCGTTGGCCCCGCTTTGTTGGTGGTTGGAAAAACAAGCTAAATATGCATTGCACTATAAAGTGTTGTCTCTGAACAGTGTGCAAAACGTGGCTACTGTTCCAACCACGGAGAAGGGCCTCAGATGATCAGACAAGACTTCTGTGCGCCCTGAACACACGCAACTCTCTTCCGCTGTCAAACCTTTAACGGCATAAAAAAAATCTTGAATACGCATACTATTTATTGGTTTGTGGAGATAAAAAAAACATACTACTATTGAATATAATTTAACCATAGAACCATTTTTATATATTTAAATATTGAAAATGTATACAAAGGATATAGTAAATAATAGCTATACTTTGTTGTGTTCAGGCATTTTCTTCCAGTGCCTCGGGCCAGGTCATGTTTGTTAATGAAAATAATTTCTCAAACATTACTTGGTAAAATAAATATGACAAAAGATGCTCTAAACATTTGAACTTACCCCATGAAAGCTTTTTAATTCATTGCATTTGAATATAAAAGCTAGAAAATGTATACAAATTGTTGACATATTTACAGCTTTATCCGCCACTGATCCAATGATATGTTACATCCTGGATGGGGTTCTGATCACCTACTGCATTATTGCCACAGCCTTGTTCTTCAGAGAAAAGGTTAGTTCTTACTGGTCCATCACTAACCCAGATTTTGTCATTATCAACTAAAGTTTGTATTTCTATCAAGTTTTCACATCGAGGTCTGACAGCTGAGAAGACTGTAAGTACCATTGTATTTATGTAATAACTTAATGTAACGTACATTCACGTTTTCCCGCTTGATAATTAGGAACCAATTGGTGGGATTTATCAGGTATGTAAACAAAAGACATGATATAAATATAAAACGTTATCACTCCGTATTCAGTCTTCAGTTATACCCAATTTCAGGAGCTTGGACAGTCCAAAACCCCAGACCCTTATGAAGTGCTTCAACCATCCAGGGTGAGTGCGAACATATTTTTAAAACATTGTTATTTTTTGGTCTGATGCAACTGACAGACGTTGACCTTTCCTAAAGAAGAGACAAAAGAGAAGAAAGAAATCAACGGTATGGATTCACAAATCAGTCTCAAAATGAATCAGTCATTAGTCTCCAATGTGATAGTTCTCATTTCTCTCCAGGCCACTCCGTCTGACAGCGAGAAGGGCCAAGAGCCGGCTCCTGGGACGTCCTCCAACTTTCCTCCTTGACACTGAGAAACTGCATATTCTTGAAACTTATATTATTCAATAAATGAGACTAACATAGTTCAAAATACCACTGGGCATTTTAGATCACAAATAAAAACAATATAACAACAAAGCACTTGGAAACAAATGTTTAATGATGTTTACAACAAAAGATAACTGTACAGTTACAGTAAAAGATTATCTTAAATGTGTATAAAAACAAAATACAGCAGACAAATGCATCAAAATCTATCCTGATTCACATACTCAAAACTACACAATCTTTCAGTTGGAGGCTTTAAGCTTGGCAGTATTTTACTTTATATTTTGTATGTTTGTGTACAATCAATGTTGGTGAAAAACCACAACTTCTTACAATTAAGTCCTGGTAATCACTCATTAATTGCAGTGTTTAAAAATGGGGGCAGGAAGTAGGAACACATTCCTTATAAACATTGTGAAGTTAACATGTTACAGAAAGCGTTCATTGGAGATACACAGTCAGTATGTACATAGTTGGCATTTCAATTTGTTAAAAGCAATGGTCACTTGGACTAAACTGATATCACACACACAACACCTCAAACATACAAAAATACAAATATCTTCAAACCTACTAAGAGTAAGACAGTTCTGAAATTAGTTCCATGCTGCGACAGAAAAAGGAAAACAACAGACAAAGTTCAACAGACAGTCTCACACAAGTAAATATCTCAGAAATATACCAAAATATACATCTAAGCTTTGGAATTACTGAGGCTAGGACAAGAGCCAGTGCTGGGTTTGTCTCATAATACACATGCTGCAGGGCAGAAAGGAAGAAAGACAGACAGAATAAACAGGAAGGATTTCTTTGGTATCTGCATTTGTCAAAAGTTAAATATTTGAATTTTTACTTTGGGATAGCGCTCATGAGATTAAACAACCTCACTTGAAATAAAGCATTAAAGCGTCACTGAAGCCCATTGGCCAGAGCCGGCGGGACCATAGACGCACCTATATAGTCTATGGTCGGGACCGTGATGCATAGTGTCACAGCTAATCAGTCTGTCATGAGATGCAGCGAGTGGAGACAGCCATGGAACAATTACGTTTATATTTAACCTTGAGACAACAATGTCCAGAGACTACAGTGTACAGATGAGAAAAACTACAACCTACAAGTCCAAAATCATGGGGGAAAAGTGGATCCTACAGCGATGAAGACTGAAAGACTTGAGTCCTGAGCATGTACAGTGTGCACAGGAAATAACCCTCAGTGTGTATTAGCAAACATCACCCAGCGTGTAGCGGACTGCTTTAAATACATGTGTGAGTCCTCTCAGCCCGGTCTGACGTCACCCAACCCCCATCCACAGGCACTGAAACCACCACCTTGCTGTGCACCACAGAGTTTGGCCTGGTTTAACAGTTTGTTTTAGGGGACATTCACATGCACACAAAGCAGACATTTTAAATGAAGAACTGTGGTGAGCAAAGGCAGCTGGCATTTGATGCTGAGCAGTGTGTGGGGATGGGCGAGGCAGTGTCACTCATATACAATCAAGTTAGAAGTCTTTGGTTAAAATGTTGTTACCACAATGGAACAAGAGCAGGCTGAGATACTCACGTAAAGTCACAAACCTACCTGTACTTTGTCAGAACTAAACAATATCCATAAAAAAAAGATTGTCAAACTCAAATGGCTCTCAAAAAAAACGTGAGAAGCACATAAAATAAATAATGAATGCAGTAAAAAATAAGGCAAATTGAAATAAAGTTTTCTTCAGCAATATCCAGTTTGTGTAGCCTGTCTCCCTCTTGTGGCCTTTTACAAACAAGACAAAGTACAGGTGGGAATGGGCTATACTTGAATCATTTGTGGATACTAGATGTGAATTCAGAGATTTAAAACCTTTTTTGTATTTTATACAGATTAAAGCAGGTTTAACTCTATCTTGAGCATTAAAAAAAATGAGGTATACAACAATCATTTGCCTTACTGGCCCTCTACACTACAGACTGCAAACCAGTGTGGTAAATGTATTTACCCAGAGCTAGCATACTGTAAAAACTACCAAAGCCAATCAGCCTTAGAATACATCAAAGATCCTGTCTCCGTTTTAGGGTTGAATGAAAGCAGCCTCTCAAATGGTGTCTTTCCACCGTCTAACGAAACCTGCTGGAAGATGCAGATTTATAGCTTGCACTTCCTATACACAAAGACTGACAAAAACGCGCACACTTGCTGGAATTTTTAGTATTTAGTAAAGCTTTTCTTACAGAACCTCACACAGGTAGCCATATAATCACAACATAGGAAATGCCCAGCACACTGTAGTGTTTCAGTGATACACACTATCAAAGTTCAAAGAGCTCAAAAATAGCTCCTTTCCCTTTGCACTCACTCTCGCAAACACACACACACACACACATACATACATAGACAACAATGCTACAATGCTCATGTCTTTGTAACAATAAGGCATAAATGATAAGTTTAAATGTCGAACTAAGAAAACCAGTGATCGAGTCCTTTCACAAAACAAAAAGGCATGTTAAAACTCAATACAAGAAATGACAGCAAATTGTGTACACATCAATTAAAATCATTCTCTTGCTTCCTTTGCTGAGATTGACCTGACCCACACCAGTAATCTCTATGTGAGGGGTAGAGAGGCTTCCCCATTCAACATGAAGAGGTCAAAAGCCCAATCCACTCTGATCCTTTTTATTATTTTTGGTCTAGAGGTTTCATTAATAAAGAAATGCTTTTTTTTTTTTTTTCGCAACAAAAACTGGATTTTTTTTGTAAATATAACACTACATTCAGTCTTGATAACATACTTGTTAGAGTATAAAATATGAATATCTTACAAGTGTTTATATAATCATATGTATATTAAGAAAAGGTTTATCAATTCTAATTCCACAGATAGATATTTCTGTAACATCCTATGATGGTAATGGCAACTCAACTTGTGAGGATAGGTCACACTACAACAGAAGTCCTAAAAAAAGGAAAACCAGCAACAAGAAACACCTGCCCAACTGCAAAGAGAAAGGCTCCAACTTTGGCAAGAAGGATTTCAAAAGAAAAAAAAAACAATTAGTCCTGCAAATATCTCATAAATAGTAGTATTAGAAATAGCAGTAGTCGATTATCATACAGTTCCTATGGTTCATGTGTGGTTTATCAGAATAGGCCTTTAACAGCAACCCGCACCAATACATTCTACATGATTCAAAACACAGAAATATCTGACTGTGAACCTTAAATGTAAATGCTGCTGAGGTATATTCAGTCAAAAAGTAGTACATAAATATTCAGATATTTTTCTTACAGGCAAATGCTATCCCCACTACAGTTTACCTTTGGAAAAGATAATGCTACTTTAGTGTGGGCTTCAGCACAATTGAAGGTGAGATAATTTGGCAGGTTACAGAATCGGTAAATCAAACATTCAGGTCACATGCTGGTATTCGATGGTGGTGTGGTAGTAGATGAGTGGTAGATATGGATTTACAAATTTGAGTTTCCTTAAGAGGGGTCTGAACCACCAAACCTGATGTACAGGACGTACTCATAAAGCTATCATCAGTGAGCATGCAGACCTCTCTACAGCTGTGTCAGAAGCTCCAGCCGCACGTTGGTAAAGCTTAGGTTCTGCGACCGTCTTTCAGCAGCACCTACTGAGGACATGGAAAAGAAGAGCTCCTGTGTGCTTGAACAGGCACAGCAACAAGAGGGGGACCACTTTGGTTTAAGCTGTTTATGGCTGAACAGTAGAAAACTTATTAGCAGAACCACTATCTCCAGTCAAAACAGCAAAAATAAATAAAAAAAAAGGACAAGAAGCTGTAAGGGTGAAAATAAAAAACAGATTCAGGTTCTGGAGCTCGGAATTGGAACTAAAAACTTCAGTTCACCGACCCCCGACTTTTTGGTCATTTTGGGCTGAAAAATTAGGTACGCTAAAGGAGACACTCACTTAAAAAAAATCTTTGGAAAATCATCATAAAAATATTGCATTTCTATTTTCAATTGACAAGGAAAGATTCCGTACTCATAAATAGACAAAACTAAGCTACCCCAACTAGAAACAGCGGATATTTGAACAAATATTTTTGGTATATCTTAAAAGCACATAAGCCAGTCACGTGGCTGCAGAGGAGAGTTTGTTCCACCCAACAGACTGCAGCTCATCAATCCAGTTTTTTGGTACAGATACTGTGCACAAGTAGATAGAACGGTACTACCATCACAAAGTAAAATACAATACATCATCTGCTAGCCCCAGAACAGTTATTTGACTTCTGGTGATTTTCCAGGTTGAAGACAGCATGTTAGGGTTGAATTCTAGAATATTCTACACCTTGACAGATGGCCACCATTCAGCACAAGTCACCCAGTAAAAAAAACACACTGCTTGTTGCAGTTTCTCTTAAAGCTCTTAGCAGTCCAGGTTTTACAAAGCTCAGTGGAAACTCTACCACAAAGGCAATGTTACCGTTTCTAAACAGAGAGAACCAAGTTTGGTCCTTCTGAACCTTAAAGCAATGATAACCTTTATATTAGCCACTTATTACTTGTTTTTAAAGCCTTATAACCACATTTTAAACAATTAGATTACGACGTGATGAAGATTTAAACTAAATAGGCATGGTATTATATATAACGGTAAATGTATGGGGGGGGAGAGTCACAAATGACACCATCAGTAATAGAAGGGCTGGGGGGGGTAATAAAAATATGAAATATATTAAAAAAAGATTTACAAACACAAATTTCCAACCTAAATATCAATTGAGGTTGTTTTTGGTGGCAGCAAAGGTTAATTAAATATAATTAAAGAATCTGTGGTGGTTAGTGAAGCAGATTAAATCAAGGGCCTCCCTATTGCCTAAAGTGAGACAGTATAAGTAATAGGGTGTGGTTAGGGATGCAGCTTGGCCGGCTTCACTGAGCTTTGGAGGCAGTAGTTATAGTGGAGGCTTGCACTGGCACAGCTCCTGTGTCAGTGGTGACCTGCAGCCCTCCTGCCCCAGTGGACACTAAACTCACTGGATTGCCCTGAGTGAGCAGCGACAGGTTTTGGGGCAGGAATAGGTTGGTTACCAGGTTGGGAGTGTTACCGCCGCTGGTGTTGGCAAACAGAAAGTTACTTCCATCCAGAGACGTTATGGGGATTGTGCTGGATGCCAGGGCTGCTGGAAGAGAGAAACAGCTTTCAAAAGTCTGCTGAAGGGCATGAATGTTGTTTTCATTTAGAAAGTTGCTTTAGTGCACGGTGTCAAACTGGTCAAACTGGTGGCTCTTGCTCAGGATGGAACTAAAACCTGCAGCCACACCGGCCCTTTGAGGACCAGTTTAACACCCCTGCTTTAGAGTATTCTTACCTTGTATCGTTGCCAGCGTACTGTTGTTCATGAGTGCACTACCAAGGCCCCCAGGACCCAGACTGAGAAGAGCTCCCCTTTAAAAAAGACAAAGAAAACTTTAGGATGAAGCGTTGTCATGGCGAAACGCTTAAAAACTGACCCTGGTGCAAACTGCGAAGACGCCATCAGGCCAGGGTTGAATCCCGCCGCGGCAGCCATGGCAGCAAAGCTCGCGCTGGTGGGCAACTGAGCCGACTGCAGCGGCGAGAAGCCCTGGGTGGACAACATCACCTGCCCCCCCTCCAGAGACGTGGCAATGGAAGACGTGGTGTGAGGGGCTACGCTGTGTGCCTGGGACTTGCTCTCGGTGGTGGTGGCCTGGATGGTGGGGGAGGGACTGAGGGACGGAGAGCTGGTGGCCGTGGTTATTACGGGTGCCGTGGAGATGACCGACGCAGTGTTGGTGACTCCGCCTGTAGTGGCTGTAATTATTATTTATTCATATAAAAATTGTATTTATATACAGTGGGGAAATTTCAATGTCATGGTTTGAAATAGGAGCTCTCAGATCCTGCTTGATGTGTGTAGCTAATTATTTGAGTTTTTTTTATGTATTAACTGGAGCTATAATTGCACTTGGTTCAAGAATAGTTTGGTATGGTTTTTATTTTTAGATGGACAGTGTACAATAAACAATAGCCAAGAGGAGAGATGCATTGTACCAGGTTGTAGCAGCAGTGCTAATTTACACCTGCATTCCCTGAGCAGGTTGTTGTAACAGTGTGTAGTCACCAATTAAGAAAGTAATCTTTCACAAAGCGCTTCACAGTGGGCATTTGTCTCACTCCACACAGATAGGTGCGAGGTCCATACAGGAGGCACATGCCAGACCCATTATACCTGTTTTAGCGGTGGGGGAAATTAGTGACGATACACTGTAGTTAGCAGCATCATCATAAGGTATTTACAAATGTTTATATTGTGCTTTAGCAACAGAGAATATGACCAGAATAAGTAATAGCAATAATAGCAGCAGGTAAAGTGACTAGAGCAAGTATAGTGTCGTCACTTTGCTAGCGCTAGTCACTTTACCTGCTGCTATTGTTACTATTACTTATTCTGGTCATATTCTACTAGATTTAGGCATTTAGATTTACAACATGAGCTATATACACTGTGTCTGGTGCAGTGTAACGTACAGACCTGTGAAAGGCAAAGAGGACACACTGGTGCTGGTGAGGGGGATGACGGAGTTCACGGTCAGAGTGGTGGGGGTGCTGATGGTGGGGCTGCTCACGAGACTGGCCGTGCTCGCCACCTGAAATGACAGATTCTATCAAACATTATTGTGACGACTGTCCGCGAGGCATGTGTAAAAATCCTCACCAGGGGGCTGTTGGGCGTGAAGATGGTTTTGATAGGGGTGTTGCCTCCCATATTTCCACTGCTCGGGGGGTTAATCCGCTTCTCTTTTTGTCTACGATTACAGAACCAGACTCTGATGACCTCCTTCTCCATGTTCAGCTGGTCAGCAATCATGGTGATCTCCTCGGAGGTAGGTTTTTGGTTCTGCTTGAATAGGCAAAGAAGCCAGATATTTCCAGTCAGTGCAAAGTCAAATGTACACAATACACACACACATAGACCATTAAGGATAAGAAAAGATAATTACATAAAACACACTCCTCCCCTTTGCTAAAACTGAACATTTATAAAGAGATCGAGTTAAACTATTAACAATAATGACATACATACAGAATACAGAACATCAGTGACATAAGTAGTTTTAAGGAACCAAAATAATTCTAACTTAAATGACTTAATGGATCGTATGGATATGGGGAGTTCAGCAAAACTATGCAACTCACCTCTAGAAAGCTCTTTTCTAAGGCCACTCGGATGTTGGTCTCAATGCTCGTCCTCTTCTTGCGCCTGCGGTTGATGCCCTCTAAGCCCATGCCCGGAGAGCCCAGCGCACTGGGGCTCGACAGCGCCTGGTCGGATGTCAGGCTCTCTGCACAAACAGCACCGGAAAAAAACCCAAGGAGAGCCAGGTAAAGAAACAGCCAATTGTTTTAAACTGTTCAAAGCTAATCAACAAGGTTTAGAGGCAAACCTGCATCGTTCAGCCACTTTTCCAGCAGTGGCTTGAGTTTGCACATGTTCTTAAAGCTTAGATTCAAGGCCTCGAAGCGTGAGATGGTCGTTTGGCTGAAATCATTTCCGTAGAGCTTCCCCATTGCCAGGCCCACGTCACCCTGAATCAAGAGAACATTAAATAATGCACCCATTAAAGAATATTTATAGCCAAACACATATTTAATTTTAAAAACCCAGAAATCTAACATGGGTCTATTTCAAGTGTTTTAATTTGTGCCATTTTGTCATAACTTATGGCATATTTTCATGAGTTTGCTTGCGTGTAAAAGAGGTTACCAACATTGGGGAAAACAGTTCTTATACGGCCATAGAACTAAAAATTGCACCTAAAATTTTACTTTGCGACACCGCTTCACAATTATAGTTTGGAGGACACTTGTTCCTCGCAGAATGTATTCATTAATTTGAACAGGACAGTGTATACTCATGCAAAATACACCGGAATTAGCAAAAGGCTAGTGTAGTCCCTTTGATTTTAGTGGTGAAGGAAAACAGGGAACCTACGCACACACAAGGAGAACATGCAAACTCTACTCCTGGGAGGCAAACCCATCCCCTTCTTGCTGAGAGGCGGGAGCTCAAACCCCAGCGACTCAAACCTATCAAGAGTTCTGATCTGCTATAGTAAAAGGTCAGTGAGCATATGTTATTGCTCACATAAAATAGTTGGTAGTCTACAGCTAAAATCTGCCCATCTGTCTTTGTGACAGGATCAGTGGAGTTTTTGCATTTATCAAGGAAAGCATGTATAAGTTTTGAGTGAACGCAAAAAGGCTTGTGATATGTAGGAGTCAGTGAAGCAGAAAGAGACAACAAATAAAACAATAAATTAAAATATTAAATTTGAATAAAATGACTCATGTTTCTGAATGAAAGGGTAAATATACACACCTGTGTAAAGCCAAGTTTGATACGTCTTTGTTTGAAGGTCTTGGCAAACTGCTCCAGCTCCTCCAGATCACTGGGCTCCTCGAGGGTGGGGGTATCTAGTCTCTTTGGGGGTGTCTGACTGTGGACAATATTAGGAGTAGCGGTTGTTGTGCGGGTCGGAGTAGCAGGCTGGAAAATACATGAACGCAGATGATTGACTGGGGCCAAATCGAGAATCCGGTTAAGAAAAGGTTTCATTCCTCACCTGAGTCTGGAGGGAGATGTTTGCTTGAGTAGACAGGAGGTTGGCTTGGCTATGAGGTAGTTGAGTTAAAAGACTTTGGGCTTGCAATATGCCTATAAGAACAATACAAATGCAAGAGATAAATAAACAACATAGACAAAGTAAATTAGTCTTTTTATGGATCATACATTCATTCAAATACAGACCCTGCTGGCCCGGCTGTGTAGGAGACAAGATAAGCTGGGTGGACAGAGGCGTAGTGATGTGGTGGCCAGGTTGGACCAAAACAAACTGGGGTAAAGTTTGTAGCTGCTGCCAGAACAAACAGTCACACATTTACTTTCACACACAAGCAGTCGATTTGAGCCACGTTGGGCTTTTTTGCAACACAGGGCTTACAGGGGTGATCTGGATGGGCTGAGATAAGGGCAGTTGTGTGATGGGAGTGGCTGCAGACGCCGAGATGCTGGCCCCTGTGGTGCTGTTCTGCTGGCTGGCCGAGTGCTGTCCTGCCAGGCCTGCCAGGAGCTGGGCCTGCACCTGGGCCTGCTGGAGCAACAGCTGCTGCTGCGCTGGACTCAGGGTCAACTGGACAGTCCACAGGAAACACACACCGTCAGATTATGCACAGGCTGACTTTGATTTGACGCTGCCATTCACATTAGAGGACTTAATGTTGCCACAATACACAAAGGGCTCTCATTGTTTTTTTCATCATGGGTTTAATGCATCTATAAATAACGTATGTGCTACAACTCTTAGACATGGTTGTTTTGGGGCAACACTAGCAAGATGGTTCTCGACAAGTGATTAGACAAGAGCTGATGCAGACACAATGGTAATGCTGGAATAGATTATTATATAGTCACAAACACAGCACCACATGCAAAGTACACACTCTGCTATAGACTGCTAAACAAGTGCACTTTCAAAAACACTTAGATCTTATCCTGGGCATACGGCTATACATACAACACATGACATGTAAGGATGAACAGGCATGGATGAAAGATCATTTAGTCTTGTTTGGCACAAGTTTCGCTGTGTTGACTCAAAGCCACTTACTCCAGCTATCTGTCCGCCGGCCAACATTAGCTGTGTTTGAGGCAAGACACTCTGCTGAACGGAGGTCGGAAGAGCACTCGAGTCTCCCGACTTAGACTAGAGATAAAACATGGAAGCTTAGATAGAAATATAAAACTCAATGATAAAGAACATTGAAGAGTTACCTGCTGAGATTTATCCTCAGGAAATTAATTTGTTGATGTTTTTTTTTTTCATTTTTACAAAGAGGAATGTAAATGATTCGGAATTTCAAATACCCTGCAGCGCTCTGAGGGGAAGTGCACGGCAAGCTGAGAACGGCTAATTAAAATAACTGTTATGCAGTGCATGTAAATTCTGCATAGATTTGCATATTCTCCACCATCTGTTTCCGAGCAACCGCAGAGTGCTAATTAGCATACAGGGTTGATTAATCTGCCTTGTTGCCAGGCGACACTAGGAGAGCCTGGCTAATTTAAATGAACTTGTTCAGCTCGTGTGCGTGCCTGTGTGAAGTAGGCATGTGTCACATTAACTTCAATCAGTTAGTCTTCATACTTCTGTGGTCTTTTCAGATAATTGCTGTTAGAGGAGAAAAGGGAAAGGACTGACCTGTTGCAGGAGGGCTTGTGCATGAGCATTTGTGAGTGCACTTGTATTTGGCAACGTCTGCCTTTGAAAGTCCAATCCATTGTTGTGGATTCCTACAGACAAGATTTAAACATATTCACTCATCTGATAAAAATAACAACAAAAACCAATAAACATTAAGGCAATTATATTAGCATCAAGTAATTCATTTATCTTGGCCGAACATATCAGAACCAGTCACGTAAAAACCTACAAAAAGCAACAAAAAAGGAAAGAAACATTTAAAAAATAAAATATCAATTATCTTACCGGTATTATTGTTGCTACTGTCCATTGCACATTTGGTAGTTCCTGACTGATTATTCACTTTAACATCTATAAAAAAGGAGCACATAGAAAACATGCAGAACATTACTTGGTGTCACAAAAGAAACATGAAATCAAAAACAAATACATTCAATGCAATTAAAGCATAAAAATGAACCCCGTCTAACAACTCACCCATTCTACTTCCACCTGTGTTTTCCAGCATGGCTAAGGAGCCCTGAAAGTTAGCGGGTGAGCCTGCCAACAGGCTGTCCCGCAGTTCCTCCTCCCACTCCTCCGGCCTTCACTCTCCACTGGTCAGCGAGCAGACTTAAATACAAGCTGGGGCTATACACAGACACACTGGCACTGTCCAGCTCACGCCTCACCGAGCAGCGCGGAGAGATGCACACTGGGAAAGCCAACAGGGTTTAGGCAAACAGAGCGCCTTCCCTCTCCATTTCCTTTTCTTATAGCTTGCCCATTTCCACATTGCCGCCTTCACTCTCTCTCCCTCTCTCCCTCCCTCTCTGGCATGCTAAGATTGTCAGTACTTCTGAAAAAGTTCACCATCTCCCTCTCTTGCTGGAATGAAACAAACGACAAGAGCAGCTGGCGGCCTCCACCACCTCCCCTCCTCAAACTCCATAATGAAGCATAATCAGTATTCAACTGATTAAAGTCGTATGCAAATCTGCCTCTGCCTCGTTAGCAATGCAAGGCTTTGAAGTCCTGCGAGCAACGCATTTCACACCGAGCTCTGAAAGCTTTCTGCATAATTTAAACCCCTATAAATATTTATCAGCTCATTAGCATATTAATTGGACGGCTTTTGGAGGACGATAAAAAACAGGGGAATAGGAACGACACAGAAGGGAAAAAGTGCTCAAACTCAGCGAAGGTGAGGGAGGGAAGGCAACAGCACAGGACCAATTATTCTAAAAGTGCACAGTATAAAGTAATTAACCGAGAGCAAGGAGGACTGCGATAGTCCAGAATGGGAGAAGGGACTGTCAGCGGAGATCTGGGCATGTTAGCAAGGCTGACTGTATATCCTTTAATGCAACAGACAGCTCAGTGCAAGCATCTCTGGACTAGCATGTGGGGCCAGGGACCAGGGAGAGGCTGTCGCTCAAATGTAAATAAATAAACATTAATCCAGTACGAGGCCATCATTACTGGACCCCCTGTGGTCGCAGCATTCCTCTGTGATGGCTAAAGAGTGGGTGGCGGCTGTTGCTGCCAATGTTTATGAAGTGTTAGTGGATTAGCATATTTCGATTAGCTTTACATTCCATTAGTTCCATTTCGAGGGGCGTTTAAATTAATTCCCCCATGTGCTCAGAGGGTTAATATAATGGGACAAATATGTCCTGCTGGTGCTACACAGGTGTCCTGATAATATAAATGTTTGGCTATGTTGTAGGGAAACTGTTTTTTTTACTTGAAGATAGAAGTCCAACAAATTTCAGACACACAACGTAATCTTAGTCTTATTGTTCATCTAAAACTTAATCTGCTATACAGAGATATCCCAATTTGTTTTCAAAATAATTTGAAATGAAGAGCAAGTATAAGTTTTAATTATGAATAAACCCAACTAGACTTACCCATCATACTAATGTGGACTAAAGTTAAATGGTTGACTGGTTTGCCAATAATGCGGAGTGGAACAATGCTCCATCTTGTGCACTGAATTTAAAATATGTATCTCATTAACTGCATAATAACGGCAGTCTGGCTAAATTCAGCAGAGTTAGAGGGAGCTGGGACATCCAACAAACTTAATTAGCACATCTACATTCAGCACCATCAATTCTATGCTAAAGACTAATCAGTCTTATCCAATTGCAAAACTGTGGCGAGTGTCCCTTTGTATGGACATTAGGGTTTACTGCTCTGTTTGTTGCAATAACGCATGAACAATTTGATGAACACCACATTTCCAAAGAGATAAAAAGTGCTAAAAAATAACAACAATAATAAAAATGAAACAACTTAAAAGGTATACTTTATTGTCCCCATCGGGAAATTTGTCATAAGACCCACTCAAAGGCCATGAGGGCAGGACCCACAACAAAACTAAGTGTTATTTATACATTAGTAATCATTGAACTGCTCCCTTTACAGACTAACACAGATGAGTTCTGTGAGACTGAAACAGAGCAGTAAATACAATGCAAAAACAAATGCACAAATGTCTCAATTTAATAAAGTATTTTTAAAAGTAAACGTATTTACTTATCATGAATATATTTAAAAGGTCTGGGCCAATAAGGGACTGAACCCACACGATTCTTGCTGTGAGGGTTGATTGCCACCCACGCTTTAGCCACCTTGTTCCAGAGTTGTCCCTGCAGCCACCGTACATTCTGATACCCAAGTTTCCATCTACAAGTGATCTACACAACCTTTTTTAACAAAGACATGTTAGGTGGATTTGATTCCGCAAATAAATATAGGGGGTAGGTGCTAATGCTTGTTAGCAAATAAAAGTATTTTTAGGTCATAACATAATTACATAGGGCATATTTTGAACAAAGTATTACACTTGCGGCATGATTTTTTTTTTTAATTTTTTAATGAATTATTACTTGTGGGATCATTATTTAGACAAAATTGTAATTTTCCTAAGCATTTCAAAAACCTAAATCCACAGAAAGATGCCCAGTTATCATAAGTATAAATCTAACTTTCTTTCATCCTTAAACTTCCTTTGTGGAAAGAGTGAGCCCAGACTGCTTTGTACAATGACTGGAAAGAAAACAACTTGATGGAAGATGCTAAGCAAAAAGAGAGCAGCTGCAATAGCTACTGAACTATCTGCAGTTACAACATGTATTCATTTATTGGAGGGAAAAATCAACGTCATTGCAGTCCTCAATACAACTATTGCATATCATCCTCTTTTCCAATATTGTGCAGATCTATATATAAGAGTGAATATGTAATACCCAAACCTTTATATATTGCATTTCCCATGTTTAGGTCTTCTGAGGACTGCTTATGAGATTTAGGGCTATAAAAAAGTGAATTTAATTGAATATCCAAAAGCGTTATTTCATACAAATATTGTGTATATTTTCTAAGTACATGTCTTTTTTTATGAATAACAAATAAAAGGAACATATTTTCGTGGTATTAGTAGCATCGTAAAGTTCTGTACACTAGAGGTACAATTTTCTTCAGCATTAAAAACAAGCAAAGTAATAAGTGAAGTAATAGTTTAGTTTGACGGAAGCTTTCACGCAAGAAGCTGTCTCTGTATGCAGAGACGGCATGTCTTGAATTTATTACGGAAAATTATGCATTATTCATAGCAACTGTGTTTACATTAATGAATATTCATGATTGAAGTACAAGGCTGGAAAGAGGGAGGCACTGTAAAACTGATTAAATGAGAAGCCGTAAAATGAAGGAAACTGAAAGATTTAGCTATTTTACATAGTTTTTTGTTTTACATAATCAAATGTATAGGACAAAAGTCACTTAACCTACAGAGGGTATAGTGAATGCTTTAGTGCAGATGCGAACAAAATGTTCCATTTACCTTGAACTTTTAAATAAAAAAGCATAACTCTCATGAAGCTACAAAAAAGTTAATTTGCTGATGCCTTCTTTGTTCTAAAAGACCCTGCAGAATGTGCAGCTTCCTTCACACATATTCAGCCTCATGTAACTAAAAAGAGCACAAGCTGTGTCTTGCCCTGCCTTGGATCCTGCATATAATATGCCCTGCCTGTTATTGTGGCTCTCCGGAAGTGGGCCTCTGCACCCCTCCCAACGCCTGGGGGAATCACAGGTAGAAAACTTCTGTAGATGGTGTTCCCGTGAGGAGAACTCAATAAAAATGTAATCAATCATAATATTCGGTCGTTTGGCCAAACATCTCCCGTATCGCTCTAGTCTGCACATGTTAATGTAATCATTTAAACCATCTATACTGAAATAGTTTAATATACACGTCTGCTCACGACGTGACAAAACAGACACGAGATTGTGTTTTCCTCTGCTCTCACATCACGGAGAAAGCGTTAAAAGCCGCAGATGCAGAGTCGGTAAAAGGCCGAGTGTGCACCGTAAACATGCAGTCACCGATCAGCTCCAGCGGACACCGGGAATATGCTGAACTCCGCACTCTCCTTTAGCGGCCCGCATGAATAACACAACAGGCTGCTGTAGCACAAAAGAGACTGGGGAATGCTATGCCCCAAAAGCCACACAGAGAAACATACACTGGTGAATGTTGTTTATGTCTCGCTCGTTTCAAACTCTTAGTAAACAAGCGCATCCAGTGCGCGGCTCACAAATATGAATATGCAAAGCTCCTTCAAAAGCTCCATGCCCGAGTGAGCAACAACACAAAGCCCAGTGTTAGCAGCGAGCTAACGCTAGCGGGCTAGCGTCTTCATTTCAGTCAAATTGCGTTACCGAATCATCTAAATATGACATGTATGGATCCCAGTCACGTAGCCGATTACTAATAAAATATGCTAAACTGTATTTGTCGACAGAGGTATGAATATGCAGCGACGTACAGCCATCTAATCACACAAAGGGGGAGGCATGTTTCCATGTAATTTGCCAGCGTATTGCAATAGCTCGTTTCCTCCTCTGTCAATTTAACTAGCTAGCTCCGTCTACACCAGACATCTAACGGTTGCCATCAAGCCCAGAGATGCGATCTCCAATCCATCTGCATCCCGCTAATTGTACAATGTGTGCAACAAAGTTTGAATACGAGTATGAATATGTAAAATGCTGTAATCATTACCTGGTCCTGAACTCTCATCTTGACTCGCTGCTCCTCCGTCCGCCATTTTGAATATTTAAGCCGAAATCCCAGCCCCGAGCCTACACCTACATGCGCTCCCGAACACAGGCTGCAGAGCCGGGGTCCTGATTACCGTACAGCCTCCGACTCATGGGTCACATTACTCAGAGGCTTAGTTCAACACTTTCTCTGTATTTCAGCTAAAAAGACACATAACAGTTCGATTGCAGTCAATTAGTGAAGCATCAACATTACTGGGAATAAGTTGTAAAGTTCACAGTGAGAAGGGTGTGACATGGACACACCAACTTTCAGCTCAATTGTATTTGTGCAACCCTGCCTACAAGCAGACACACGGAGACGATAACAATACTCTTGTTGGCGGGGTAATTAGAACCTCAGACCAATACTGCCTTCTGCAGGTATTTTTTTGTACAGCATAAAACAACTTTTCTATTATGTGAGCAGTGAAGCCAAGAAATATATAATATAGTAGATAAGTATATGTTTTTAACAACCTTTCCCCCTTATTATTCTCACTATTATCAAGTTGTTAAAAATACATACTTTTTATTTTATTTTTGCCCGCTGTGTAGCACTTGGCAGATCAGGTTTAACATGGAATGGGGCCTATGACCATGAGTGTTCAAAAAAGCGCTATAAGTTTGATGTATTATTATTGTTATTATTATTATTATTATAGCTGGAGGAAAATGTTGGGTCATCAGTAATAGAGCACAGTTTTATATATATATATTTATATACATACATATATTTTTTTTTACATATTGTGTGTCACATATATCGTATAATTCCATGCCTTTCAGATCATGTTGGCATTGCCTTGCTTCTCTGTCCACATAGAAATTATCCTGGGTACAAACAAAAAATAATAACTATAAAAAAGTGTTAAATACTTTAACTTGTACTTTTACTTTCACTTCCTCACAATTAATGAGTGAATTTCCAAGTTACCCAAACTTTAGGCTTGTTTTAAGATCTGCCTCTACTGTTTGTTTGTAGTGTCAAATGCACACAGTTCAGATTTTAAGATTACATTTGATTTCATTTAATTTAGAATATATTTTTTTAGGCCAATTCCTTTTTGCAACCTGTTGGTTTTTATGGAGATTCATTCATCGTTATTGGTCTTTCAGTGACATGTGATTTTTATTACCTGACCACGTCACCCCGTCCTTATCAGGGAGTTTCACCGTGAAGGTTAGAAGCCGCTCCTGTTTCAGGTCTAACAGCATCTGTCAAAAGACTGTTTCATATATTTTCATTTATTCATATATTTTCTAAAGATGACTTTTAAGTTTCTTGGATGGGTGAAGGTGTTCTTGATCCTCTCAGGTAAGCTCATGGTTATAGAGAGAGTTACTATACTGCAACGTTTGCCACACCTTAAAGCGTAGAATGTATTGTACAGTTGTTAATCATTAAACATTTTCCTTCGTTCTCGCAAAATGAAAAAAATGTTGTGGAAGGATTATTTCTGGATTAATGTGATTTGTGTTTTTCAGCATGTTCCCACTGTACTTGTGTAGAAGTTTCTATTCCAGAGAAACAATATGAAGTGGCAAAGGGAAGCGATATAACTTTGCCATGTTCATTTTCTCCTGCCAGACCAGACTACGACATGTTTATTCTGAAATGGGAAGTAGTTCAGGAAAATAAAGCGGTAAGAAATTTAACTAAAAGTTGGGCATTAACAGATTAAGTTTTGTTTATTAATTAACACTTTTTTTCTTAGACTATAATTGCAACTTTTTATTCTAATTTAAATCGAATTGACATATCACCTACTTATGAGGGAAGAACGTCTCTAGATATTGGTACTTCGAAACAAGCACTACTGCACTTGACAAAAATGACAATGGCAGATAATGCAAACTACCGGTGCACCGTCTTGATTCCTGGAGATGATGAGGGAACACCATCTGCCACCACTTTTCTTTTGGTCCTTGGTAAACTTTTCACCATAACCCTTTTCCTCCTATAGGGTCCTAACATTGTATTATCTTATTTTTCTGTCTAGTCGCACCTTCCCCCCCAGTATGCAAAATTCAGGGAACAGTAGAGTATTGGCATGATATTACTCTGACCTGCATGTCTGAGGAGGGATCTCCCAAACCCCTTCCTGACTGGAAGAGCTACAGTGTTGAAAATGTTCCAAGACCATTTCCACCCAAGACCACTGAAAGTACACATTATTTTGTATTTAATAATGTTTTCAGTCCAATATCTCTCGTTTGATACTAGTGTGGGGCTCTTCTGTTGCAGAGGATGGAGCATTATCACTCTTCAATATTTCCAGAGAAATGTCGGGTTTCTATGTTTGTACTTCAACCAATCGCATTGGTTCAGCTAGCTGTAACCTCACGTTATCTGTGTTTCCAGGTACGTTATATTCCCCACTCATTCATTGACTTCTGCTCATTGAGGTCCAGCTTCCTGAGGCAGTTACATCCTACATTGTGTTTCATTTGAGGCCTTTATTTTTATCATTTTTTTAAAACATCATGCATTTGTGTTTTTCTTTTGCTCAGGTGGATCAATGAGTGGTGCTACTGCGGGTATAATTGGTGGAGTTGTTGCAGGTCTTTTGCTTCTTGCAGTACTTATCTTCTGTTGCTACAGAAACAAGAAGAAGGCCAAGTACACTGAAGGGTTAGACTTACATGTCCAATATTTGTCATTATTATATTTATAGTATATAGGTAATAGAACTCAGCTCACATACAATACAATCTTTTTTTTCTTTATACAGGTCTGTTGGAGAAATGGAATATCATGATGGGGACATACAGGACCCAGATGGAGGCCAAGAAGATAGGATGTCAAATCTTCAAGACAGAATCAGTGAACAAATCCAAAATCAGAAAAAGACAGGAATGGATAAACGAGATGAAGACATAGAGAGTACTGCTGAGAGTCACAAAAGTCGTCGCAGCCAGGATCGTCTTGACAACTATCAGGATCAAGATCACCATGACGATTATCGTGGTAGTCGAGATCGGCTTGACAACTATCAAGGTCGAGATCGCCATGACGACTATCGTGGTAGTCGAGATCGCCTTGGCGACTCAAGTCGAGATCACCATGCTGACTATCGTGGTAGTCGAGATCACCTTGACAACTATCAAGGTCGAGATCACCGTGACGACTATCGTGGTAGTCGAGATCACCTTGACAACTATCGTGGTAGTCGAGATCGTCTTGGCGACTCAAGTCGAGATCGTCAGGATGACTATCGCGGTAGTCGAGATCGCCTTGACGACTATCAGGGTCGAGATCGCCATAACGACTATCAGAGTAGGGATCGGCATGGCAATTATTGTGGTAGTCGAGAACGCCTTGACGATAGGGGTCATCGCCATGGCAGCCGTGACCATATTGATTACGTAGACAGTTGATATGAATAATAGTGGTGGCAACCTGCAGAGTCATATTGTGATTTCCTTTGCTTTATTTTGTATCTTCTCTTTTCAATTTTCAGAATAAAGATTTTTTTTTTCATATTAACCCATTAGTCTGGGAGTTTTGATTCTGTGCTGTTGCTTACACGTACCTTATTATTGAATAAGTAATACTGTAATACTAATTATGTTGTATTAATGCAATAATAATAATGCAATAATGTCAGAACCATAGACAGTAAAAATTAGGTCAGAACACTTGAACGCTCAGAGCTATTGATCACAGATTTATCGATAGATATACATATTATGTTCTTTTTTCTTTGCACTAGTATACAGGTTTATACATTTTATACTTTGCTTCTTTATTAAAGTAAAAATAAATATTGATTGATAAGTATCTCATTTGTCAAGTAAAGAGTTCACTCTATACTTGAATATTCACTTGCGCTCCTCATTCCTACTGTTCTGTAACTCGTGATGCAACACTGACATTTCCCCAGTGTGGGACGAATAAAGGATCTCTTGATCTTAATCATAATTATAGATAGGACAGTAATTTAGGCCAAATCAATGAAACGCTCAGAGAATATATTTTTCAGACACCATGCTTAATCTGGAGACCAAAAAAGTGAAGTTTTATTTCGGTCACTTGCACTATTAGCATGTGACAAACAGAATTGACAACAGTTTGGTTTCAACCATGAGGTTTGTTTTTCTTCTTCTCTTGATTGCACTTTGAATTCTACAGGAGAACCAAGAGCACGACACCACGCTCATCCTAGATCTATATTCTTTATTCTTATCATCTTTATTATCGTTATTGATATTAGGGGCCACTGCCTCAGGTGCTCAGTGCTGCCTCTGCGTGGTGCGCAGGCGTGCTGCAGCGTCCTGCTCAGTGCTGCCGCTGCGTGATGCGCAGGCGCACTGCAGTGTCCTGCTCAGTGCTGCCGCTGCGTGGTGCGCAGGCGCACTGCAGCGTCCTGCTCAGTGCTCGTTCATTCGCGTCTGTCCTCGCGCAGTGGTACGGTCCACAGGTCCCGTTACTTCAGGCTGTTTGCGGCTCGTCGGACCACGACATGATCGTCCACTGGATAAAGTGCACTTTACACTGAAGGAGATGGACGTTTCACTGCTGACAGTTCTGCTGGGAGCATCAGGTTGGTTTGGTTTCTTTTCTTTTTTGAGTTTCTTTGTCGGAGCAGCGCTCGACTTAATCCTGGCAGGTTCCATCGAAGTGAGCCTGCGTTTTGTTTTGATTGAATTAAACCAGCCATTCCCAAACTCAGTAACACCGAGGCCCCCTTAAAAATCTGACGGGTCTGCGTGGCCCCCCAAAATAATAACCAAGAAGACAACATTAAGAATAGGCTCTTCTGGTTATTTTATTTTGGGGAAATAGCCTCTGCTACAAACATTGTAATACAAAAATGATTACAGTGGATTATTCAAGTCAAATAATGAACACAAATATTTTAATATTACAAACAAAACATTATAAATTTAACTTTAAATAATTATATTTATTTTTTATTTTTTTTATGACCTCCCGCGGCCCCCCTGCAGTACCCTCGCGGCCCACCAGGGGGCCGCGGACCCCACTTTGGGAGACACTGAATTAAACAATAAACTCTACATGTAGCGCGTTGACGTCACGCGCGCGTTTTGATTTTTAGTAAACTTATGCATAATGAAAGAAATGATACAAATCAAAGCCTACACCAAAAAGTCATGTTTTGTCCAGGGCCAATAGTTATTGTGACTCTTTGGAGGTGTAGAGTGCTGACTGTTATGAAATTGTTGGTCGTGAAGATAGCGCCTGCTACTCTTATCTTCATTTAGTTTTGGATAGTATTGAGTCAATGTGAAGGAATGCATGACACAGTAAAGACAGGAAAATGAAGAGGAAAGGTCTGCCTGTTTCAGGAAATATGCACGTCCAGAAGTTGACCTGAGTTTGTGCGAACGTTGCCTGCCCAAAGATAATATGTGTTTTGGATTGTGGATCCAACCTGCTCATTAGCCTACAGTGACTGGTGAAGAATGGATCTGTGGCACTTGTTGCTGGTGCATACAGTGCCCTCATCACCATTAACGGTTTGAAATCTCTGCCTGTTAATTGGCCTGTTACACCCAGCTGGACTAGGTCTCAAGATCCCATTGGCCAAGAGTTTGTGACCCCCCTTTACTCCCACCATCCTCATTCTTCAAGTGGGACAGAGGGAGGGGGTTCTCTGTACAGCCTAAACAATAGACCCGTCCAAAAAAATGCAACCCAGTGAAGGTTAGAGTGGGAGGAATGTAGGAGTTGAGGTGTCTCATATATATTGGCTAAGAAAAACTGCTTTCTAATGTAATGGATAGATAGATCTAATGTTCATGCCTAAAGATAAGGTAATGGATGTTCCCTAGAGACCGCCGTTGGATTGTTTTTTTTCAAACTTCCTGAGAAAGAAAAATGTTTGTTCCTGCCCCACCTCAAATGGGTAAACTATCTGTGAATCAACAGAAAGCCCACAATGTAGTTCTTCTTTGTAGTTTTTTTGTACGTCACTGTCTTTCAGCATCCCCCCCAAACATAGAGACAGGAATTTGACCTTTCTGGCCCCAAACTGAGCCAAAAAAGGCCCCCCTATAGTGCTATCTGCTCAGGTAGAAAATCTCAAAACTCAAGAAAAGTTCAGTTTGAGCTGTGTCACAATTGTTTTAAAGATAATATATCACACAATAGGGGAGGAGTGATTGTGACAACGGACTAAATGACTATTAATTGAACAGTCCGTACAAAAAACAATAGAAAACCAACCAAATGTGACACAGGAAGGAACCTGGATCTGCGTCTCATCCTGTCCATAACGTCAGGTGGAAAACAGTCCCTTAAGAAATTAAAGGAAATGTTTGTATATGCTTTGTGTGTCAAGAAATTCACGTCCTGTTTCTATGGCAGCAAGATTATTATTTTTTGTTGACATAGAATCAGAATTATTTTTATTGCCATTGTGAGTGATAAGAAGAAGTCACAAACTAGGAAACAGCTTTGGCTCTCGGTGCAAACAAGTTAAAAAGTAAAAATAGAATTTATATATCAACAACATTCTGTACATGTTTGAGTATTATACTTCTATTACTCAATCCAATCACATTTTATAACACCAGTTTCCAAAGTGCTGCACAGAGATCAAAGTGCTGCACAATAAAAATCTGCAGTTTAGGCCGCTTTTTATGTATTAAAAAAATCATATTACGGATTATGAATGACAAAAAGTATGGGATGGATTTAGCTCAAACTTACTTTTTTCACCTATATTATATATTTGTAGCAGGATCTTTGGTATAATCTTTTCTATATCACACACAATTGTTGCAAGAGTAATGTCAGGGTATATGTATTGTAGATAGTCTTCCTTAACTCATTGGCTGCCATTGGCGTATATGTCTGAGACTGGTGATTTCTGTCAAACCTCCCGCTATTCAACTGGGGATTATAGGACAACATAACTAGCTACAAACAAACTTATTTTTGCTGATGAAAGTAGGCAATCCAGTCTTTCAGAATCTGGTTTCATATTTTACATAATCATAGCACATAATATTCTGTGGGTCTTGAGAATCAGTAAAATCATCAAAATAGCTGGCACTCAATGAGTTAAAGATGAAGTACCTGACTTTGAAATCACACAAAAAATAAGTACGAAAGTTCCTGTCTCAAAATGGTTCGGTTCTAGTTATAGTTGTCACATTGTCTGTATTTGTATGTATTTTTGACCTCTGTCACATCTTTAGATCAGCTTTGGACCAGCTTCACAGCCATTCAGCTCTCAGTGTGTGAAAGATTAAAGTTTTCTTATAGAATTTAATGTCGTCGTCTAATTTGTATGTAAAATGTTACTTAAACAAGACTCTTTCTCCTGGAACAAACAAATCTACAGCTTTAACTTCCATCCATCCATCCATTTTCTACCCTTTAATCCATTTCTGGGTCAGGGGGGTGGCAATCAGAGATGCCACCCAAGTCTCATAGCAGCCCCTCACTGACCCTCTGCAGGTGGTGAGTCCACAGGAGGACGGCTGCTCTCTGAGTGTGAGCATAGCCTTGATCTTTCAGTGGGGGCTTTTGGGCAAAGTGGGGTTAAGTGTCTTGCCCAAGGACACAACGACAGCAGTCATCAGTGGGAGTCGGTGGAGAAGGTGCAGAGGTGGGAATTGAACCCACGACCTTCTGGGCTTAAGGCCAATGCTCTACCAACTGAGCTACTGTCGCCCGCAACTTTAACTTAAATAATCTAATTGAAGGGTTGTTAACACAAATTATTTCTTTTGCAACACAGTGGTTTGAGCTTGCTTCATGAGTCAATTGGTGGACCCGGCTTCATTATATTTAGAACTATTTCTCATGCAAAAAATATGTCAAAAGCTTTAGAGTCATAGCCTTTCTGCATATGGTGACCGTGACTAATCTTCTTTACTAGTATGACTACAAAGTTGTCACAGGGGTGATAAACAAGAAGTCCCAAAATGCAAAACTGCAAAATAATGGATTTTATAAAAAGTAATAGAAATCAAGATTGAGCAAAAACACCACAAAAAGTAACCAAACCAGGAACAAGGACAAGAACTGAAACAGATGGAACCAGTGAAGGAACACACAGGGCTAAATACAAGACTGACGAGACACAGGTAATACATGTGAGAGCAGGGCAGGTACTCAGACAACAGGAAGCACAACCAAAGAACGATTTAACAAACTACAAAATAAAACAGGAAATAACCCTAAACCATGACAAAAGTGGGGAGATTATTGACAAAATATTTAATATCAAGATCATTTCTGTTGCATTGGCATAAAATCTAGTGAAGGGCAACAACCGATACGAGTAGTTATTGAGATTTATGAGATGAGAAGAATACAAACTCCAACGTTTAACTGAACCTTATGTTTATTTAACAAAACCAATAAGAAATAGACAAAAATAATATCTCCCACTGTGTAGACATTTACAGTCTGTGGTATAGACTCGCACTGGGTGTGGTGTAACAGTAGAAGCGGAGAGAGATAAATGCTGGAGTCTTTGGGGAGGACAGATCTAATATTGGATGATTTGTTGATTTCATGACGATTAAGTGTCCGGTTAGTTTTGAGCAAAATAATGTAAGCCAATCAGACAGTGCTTTGTTTAGTTCACACATACAGTACTTACATATAGACAAAAATAGGTGAGAAATTGGCTGATGTGAGGTATTGTTGATTATTTATCAAATGTATACATCTATTTATTTATGTATGGGGAAAAGTACGCAATCAACATGTGAAACACTACAACATTTATAGCCAAAGCTAATCTGCAATGTCCGTCCCTCGAAGGGCTTTTAACACAATTAAAAACACCTTTTACCTTGTCCCCCACCCCAACTCATCGATTTTCACACAACTGGCTTGTTTTAAAAGAAATGCTTCAGTTCATGTTTAAGACCAGCCCAGTTCAAGTTCAATTTAAGCTGAGGACTTAGAGTTCCAGAGCTTTGCCCCATACAGAGAAGACTGTTATTATTCTTTGGTCATCCGCCCCTTATGGACCAATGTGTTTATTATTATGTGTTACTATTATTGCATTTCTTAAGTTTGATTCTCTGATCTGTGTTGGCAAATGGTTTTGTAAAGTCCTCCAAATCTTAAGACGGAATGGAATTATTATGATTCATTTCTGTGGTGATTGGTTGGTACTATGTGATGATCATCTCTATCTCTTTCCCAGCCTACATATGCACCGCCGTCCACGTCTCCATGCGGGAGCAGCGGCAGTACGCCATGCTCTTCCAGCCCGTGGTTCTGCCCTGTCAGTTCCAGACGTCCTCCACACAGACGCCCGTGGTGCAGTGGTGGTACAAGTCCTTTTGCCGCGACCGCACCCAGGACTCTTTCTCTCTGCCCGACACGCTGGCCAAGACGACCTCCGACCTGGGCCCCAAGTCCCAGCTGGAGTGTTCGGACAGAACTCGAACCAGCCGGATAGTGGCCTCGGCACAGGGACCCTCCGTCACGCTGGCCGAGCATTACAAAGGAAGGGACATCGCCATAATTAACAGTAAGGCAGGGTTTTGATTTGAATGAGTGATAAATTTAGCTGCAAATGTCCTTTGACCCATACATGTGTCACTGTTTTGTTTCCTGTCCTCCCCTTTGTCTTTCTGGGCTCACAATCACAAAAGACTCCTTCAACAGGGCCTTATCACGGGAAACCACCTGCCCTCTATAACTTATATGTGCTGCAAGGTTTGAGTCAGAATTTATTGCGATATTAGGGGAGACATTATGAATCTAGTATATATGTTGGTTTCAAAGAAGTTCATTTCATCCCAAATATACAAATGTATACTATTTGTATATTTGGGATGAAAGAAACTTGTTTGAAACCGATTTGTTCATTTGTAAAAACAGATTAGTGCCAAGTAAAAAGATATTTGGAAGGCTTCGAGGGCTGGTGCTATGAGACTTGGGTGGTATCTCTGATTGCCACCCCCCTGACCCAGAAATGGATTAAAGGGTGGAAAATGGATGGATGGACAGTTCTATTTTAGTGTCATATACATATTTTAAGTTTTACCCCCGCACTGACCATAACAGGAGTTTAAGTTTCAAGTATTATTATTATTATTGTTATTATTATTATTATTCCTCCAGTTGTATTGCAAGTAAGTCATTTATACTTTTTTCTGACCTTCACTCACTTTTAATAAGTGATAAAACTTTGGTGAAAACTTTAAAGTCACTTTTAAAGTCACTTTAACCCTTTAGGCGCCAAAGTAGCCAAATTGCAACACAGCCTTCTTAATCCAGAACACTTTCTATACAGCGACCTAGCGTGCCACGGTCGTCTCTCTACATTTTTCTTGCATACTTTTTTTCTTTGTGTTTCCATGATTGATTATTGTAGTCCACAATCTCTTGTTAACTTACAGGGCGTCACCTTTTGTCTTTTATTAACACTCCTTTTCTCGTTGGCGCCTACAGGGTTAAAAGCCACTTTACTGCCCTTCACTGTCGTCACCTTACTGCACTGCTTAATGTATGTTGTAAATTGTGTGCTCCGTGTGCACTTGTTTGCATTGAGAGCCAAAGCAATTTTCTAGTCTGGGACTTCCTGTTACTTACATGGCAATAAAAATGATTCTGATTCTGACGTACAAATATGAACTAGAATGCTCAGAAGTGCAAAATGCCACATTTGTTTGTGTTGTCACAGAGGCAGACCTGCGTATCGGAGAGCTACAGTGGGGAGACAGCGGAGTGTATTTCTGTAAAGTGATCATCGCGGACGACGTGGAGGGCAAGAACGAGGCCCATCTGGAGCTTCTTGTACTGGGTAACAGCGTGTTTTTGCTATTCTATGTTTGTGTGCATTTAATTACAGGAGCTGTTTCAGGGGAATAGTTCTGCACAATCGTTTCAACCGCAAATGGTTTCAAATGTTCCCCATTGTGGGTCAAGTTTCTCTTATCATATCTTCTCTTATCAATCAGCCATGTCTTGTTTACCTCTAGCCAATTTTTTCCATCACGAATAATTAATCTGAGTTTTTCAGAACAACACACTACAATCTTAGATATTATTTAACTCCAAGGTAAAAACACTTAATTCGAGATGTGTGACGATATGGCCAAACAACTATGCAGGAATAGGAATGTTTTCCATTTACTTCACAATGAAACTCGTCACACTGGAAATCCCCGTGAAACGTTTCTCTGTGTATTTGAATATGCAAATGAGCTTAACAATTCAAACCATTTTGGAACTTTTCTGAACAAGTTTGAACAAGTGTTTTTCTTACTCTATTCTTATTCTTGGGTTGCCAATTTGTTTATTTAGCTGATTCTGGCTTTCATCTTTAAATATGTATTTAAATATATGTAGATAACAAGCATAGCAAGCATAGCATCATAATAGTCATACATAATGTGTGTACTTTTATTACATAGCTAAACCCCAGCAGGTGGATTGCCATGCGTTACACACAGTAAGATTATGGCAATGATAAATACTTTATTAGACCACTAGGAGTGCATGTTACAGACAGTACCTTTAATGTTACTATACTATTATCAGCAAACAAATACATATAGCAATATTTGAATAGTTTTGAGCTCATGTGCATATTCAACGTTCTTTTTAAAACAAACCTGGGCGGCACGGTGGCTGAGTGGATAGTACTCTCGCCTCTCTGCAAGAAGGTCCTGGGTTCGAATCCCGGTCGGACCAGGGCCTTTCTGAGTGGAGTTTGCATGTTCTCCCCTTGTCTGTGTAGGTTTCCTCCGGGTACTCCGGTTTCCCCTACCACTAAAAATATGTACAATAGGTCAGGCATGCACCTCCTGTACTGGCAACCCCGCTCCCATCTCTGTGTGGAGTGAGAGGACAAATGCCCAAAAAATAACAATTGTAAACCACTTTGAGACTCAGATCTGCAGTGAAAAGGTGGTATATAAATAAAGATTACTTACTTGTTAGACAAAAGAAAATTACTCTAATACTTTCTTTGGCACACATACAGAATCATGTGGAAATTAAATTATTTTCCCAGTTTTTATAGACTTTTATATGCCTGAATTGAGTGTTGATTTGGACACCTTTTAAAAAAGATCTATGGTGAAAAAAATACAAATCTCATAAATGCTTTTATAGTACAGAGCCAGGTATTGTGTCAGCTTTATGCGGGCAGACGCTGACTCACGTCACTGTATTCAAATGGCTTATGGTATATTCCCATTTAGCTCCTAATTACACGGTACATACAGTGTAAACAAACAACACCTAACTCGTCCCCTTTAAGATTGTAGCATACCAAACTTCCACTTTTGGAGCCCCTTTTGTTTCCAGGTGACATATAAACCAAACTGGAAGCCGTTGCTATCGCTGGTTTGATGTTATTCCGTTAAACAATGACCACTCGAGCAAGTTCGAAAAAGTAACCAAAGGACAAATCCTGCAGAACGGTGTGCTCAGAGATTAACTGTAGCGACTTATTGGACTGTGTTGTCCAACCATCCTCAGCTGTGCATTACTCTGATTATCAATGGTTCAATGGACAGGAAGAAAAGAGGTTGTTAGACAAGTGCACAGAACAAAGATAATCTAACTTGAAAATAGGACTTTACAAAACCGTCAGATTCGCCAACATAGATCAGAAATAAAAAAATGCAATGATAAAAAAAAAAAACACCATTGGTCCATAAGGGGCAGATGACCAAAGTCCAGAAATATTCATAAAAGTCCATAAATGTTGTTGAAGTGTCCTGGAACATCACCTCTGTCCTCAGACCATCCTGCATCGATAAGGAAAAACTCTAAAACTAAAAGTAGCTCAAGTTACATTAAAAGTCTGAAATTTGCTTTGTACACCAACTGATTCAGCATTTTATTTTCATTCCAAGCTTTTGGGCTCTGCTTTTGTTGAGCGCTCTAGATGTTTTTGTGCTGCATAGCTGTGTGGCTCTCTCAGGCTCCTCTCTGTTACTAAGCCTATGGTATGCACCTCAGGAGAAGGACGAGTTTATTTATCGTGGAGTTTTACCTAAGGCCTTTTCCTTACCCCACACTCAGCAAACACTGCCACTGCTCCTTCATCGCTGCAGTTAGAGGCATTAGAGAGAATGGTTATCCAGTCTTACTAAGAGAGAGCATAGTCCCTGTTAGTATAGACAGGTTGGTGACTATTTTAGTTGTAGTGTTAATTTCAAAGTTATAATTCATACATAATGAAACGGAACAAACTAGAGACAGATACACAGCTCAACCCAAAATACACACAGAGAAACACATGCACACACACACACACACTCAACAAACACACATGCACACATACACCTACCCACCTACACATACAACACACCTATAGACACACACACACACACACACAGACACACACTCACAACTGTCTGACCATAGACTTTCTTTCCAATACATTTTTTTTTACATATTATTGAACAGCATCATATGTAATTTGTTCCAAAGAGCGGTTCCACGCACTGAGATACGCATTCATTTTTGTTTTGTTTTTTTTGCTTCTTGAGAAACTATAATGTAGAGTAAATATGGTGAGCTATCTCTATCATGGAATCAGTTTTTCACATCAGGAGAGGAGGAGCAGAGAGACGCCCTGAACATTATTTAATCATTGCCTGATGATCTTTTCCACGTTTGTTTTATACAGTTGTTCTTGAAAGTTTGCACACCAGGTACAAATGTGGAAAACAAAAAAAGGACCATTTCTAGGAGATTATGAAGGATAAAGCCATCACTCATTGTTTCTTGTTGTGTGAACTGAAGCCATTGATTGCTAAACTATAATGACAACAGAAACCTCTCTTCTGTCGTAGTTAAAAGTTTCCATCCCCCAGTTCTTAACAGCATGTGTTTCCCCTTTAACATCGACGACAGCTTGGAGCGTTCTTTATCCTCTCTGATGGTAAAGCTGCCCACTCTTCTTGGCAAAAAGACAGTTCCTATATATTCCTGAGCTGGATTGCATGAACCGCAAATTTGAGAATTCCCCAGTTTGGCTCGATTATAGAATGATACATGCGACCACTAACAAGCAGCGGGGAAAAGGTCTTGTCATTCATATTGTTTCATATCTCCAAAATAAAGCCAAAACAATGGAACCTATGGCTGGGTCTGTGGACGTCAAGCACAGCTGCATATTTAGAAAACGTTACATGATTGTTCTGCACAATCAATTTGTTTTATAACTGTAAGATTTCTACGGCGTAACAGACGAGGCCTTTTTGACGCCAACTGCCCCAGATCAGTTGTCCTACTTTCCAAAGTTTCTCTCTTTGTTTGCACATGCATTGCTCCTTTGTGCATATTTTGTTTTGTGAGTTTCGTAACGCCCACTAAACCCCATGGAATTTTGTATAGGATTAACCAACGCTTTTAAAAATCAGTAAAATCTTTCTGTTGAACAACATTCATTCAAGAGTTTTAAAATAAAACTGGTGAAAAGACAGGTGCATTATATTCGATTAATTTCACTGTATTTTTATCGCCCTAAATCACAACAGCAGTCATCAGGGCAGGAGGACTTTACAAAGTTGTCAATTCGCAGCCACAAGTTCATTTGTTTCATTCAGATTCCATCATATTTATGGAATATATATATTTTTTCCAGCTCCCAGTCTAGATATGTGACAAAAATGTTGTATGTTGAGGTAAAATTTGATTAAAATTTAATCATTGCAATAGATAATACATTTTTAGTTTTTTTTCCTCTAACATTGGTATTTATTTATTTATTTTTTCTTTTTATTGGGACAATGCACATATACACAAACACTTCATGTGCCAGTTTTAGCTCCAAATCTTTTTGATGTTGATGATTTTTCTAGTTGCATTGACTCAATCTATAAATCCAAAACTTTGTGTGCTTTGGCCAGTTCACCCATATCTCTGTGTTTTCACTCATGCTGCAAGTACCTACGCTTTCGCACTAATACAAAAGTGATACACACATGCATTATGAAGCTTGACAGTGTAATGCATGAACGCTATGGGCCTCATTTATCAAGCCTCTGCTCACGTGCAAAACGAAAACCTAAATGCACATATCCTTTAGAACTAAACCAGGACCATTGCACCTGCGTTGATAAATGAGGCCCTTACAAATCTTTGCGTTAGCTGCTGCTGCTTCCTCACCTCTCCTCTCCTCTCTCTGCAGGCAGGACAGGGGAACAGAATGACCTCTTGCCTGAGTTTGATCTGGAGATTATGCCAGGTACGCCACCGCATGCTGCACCAAGCTTTCTCACACTCACTAACATTTACAAGAAAACAGCCAATACTAACCCAAACGAGCTGCGAGCCATTTCTCTGAATAGATTAAATAAACAGAACGGCCCATCACATTTATCAGTATATGTCACAAATGTGCTGCGTTGTAATTGTTTTCATTTTACTGTCGCCTTAATTGAGCGACACAACACAATACATTTTCTCCAGTTTTACAATAATGCTCATGCAGGATAAACGCAGGGGAAGTATTAAAGGTTGCTTGTATCAAAATCTTGGTTATTTTGTTCAAAGACGGACTAGTCAGGCCGTGAAATTATTTTCCATGGGTTTCTAAAATATTGTCAGCATTTGAAAGCTTTTAAATTGCCAATTATGACCGCAGAGGTTCACTGTATATACAGTATACATATTCTGTTGCACACTGTACGCAATGTGGAGCCCGACTTTTAATCATTGATAAGACCTTTTTGTGGAATGATAAATGAAATTGCTAAGCAGGGCAGGGCCTTGTTAGTATTGTGATGGGAGACTTTCTAGGAACACCAGGTGCCAGTTGGGCGGCTGTGGCTGTAAAAGGCTAAAGTGTTGTTATGTCCTTCGGCAAGACACTTCACCCACATTGCCTAGAATGAGTCTGGTGTGTGTGTGAATGGTTGGTGGTTTGGGGGAGCAATGGCACATACTCGTTGCCTTGCTTTGCCAGTGTGCCTCAGGGCAGCTGTATTAGTTTATCACCTCTGTGTATGGAGTGTTCAAAAAAGTGCTTTTTTAAAACCAATGCATTTTTACTATTAACATTATTATTATGATTATTAATATTATGATTATTATCTACAATGACAATCACTTAACACACTGTTTTTATCTATTCTTTACGTGAATATGTTTAATATATTTAATTGAATTCTTATTTTGAAGAAATGGGAAAATGGGATTAACAAGTCATTGTAATAGCCCCGTATAGTTGTAGCAGTAATGTAAAACAAAAAATAGAAACTATAAACAATAAACAAGGTACATAATTAAAACAGAAATTAACCATTTTGAAAAGAATCTGGATGAAGCAGATGCTTATTTGGCTCCGACACCTCTCACTCATTCAACCAAACCCAACACACACAATCTGTAAACCAATATGTCAACATGTTTGTACAGCCCTAATCAAAAGCAGGCGTGGGGGACTGTACATTGTTAGTTTTTAGATATTTTACGATCATTTCTCACATATTGGATGTTGGAGAATTTTGTTTTCCTCAAGATATAAATCCATCACTGCAAAAGGATAGTGTTGAATGTTACAGATCAGAAATGTGCCATGGTAACAACCCAAACAAATACAGCTGATTGATCCATACATCCCAGAAGAGATTTTGAGCAGTGTTCATGTTGTAGAGTGGGCGTTCGTGGGCTCGGTGGTCCTGGGAAGTGTCCTGTTGCTGCTGTTGTTGGGAATCTGCTGGTGCCAGTGTTGTCCTCACTCCTGCTGCTGCTACCTGAGCTGCTGCTGCTGCCCAGACACATGCTGCTGCCCCCGACACTGTAAGAACTCACATAGTACTAATTACTGACTGTTTAATTGTAAAATATTAGAACTATTGTTAGAACATGTGAGCTATAAGTCTTGTACTGGTATTAATTTCATATTCTTTCTTGATGTATCATGTCTTCTATCCTTTGTGTATTAGTGTATGAAGCTGGAAAGATGGCGAAATCTGCAAAGTCTGCCCCAATCCCTGTGTATCCCTATTACATCCCTGGAGTTCCTTCTGTGGCCCCGTCTGCCGTGCCTCTGGTTCCATCTCATCTGGAGCCAAAGCTGGTTTCTCTTCCGTCAGTGGAGGCTAATTTGGCAGGAGGTTGGTTTGGAGACTTCAGAACGTTGTCTTTGAAATGTGTGTGACTTTCATCTAACTTCATCTGCTAACTCAGTGTAATGCTAACTTCATTAGCTGTTGTCTGCCTTCATGTCGTTCATATTGTGTGTCCATGCATGGTCATGTGCTTGTGTGTTTGTCTGCACGCATCCACAGTGCACAGTGGCTACAGACTGAAAGCCACTCCGCACCAGGACTCAATGAAAGTCTTATACTACATAGAAAAGGAGATGGCTGAGTTTCCCTCTGCCAGGATGGCTTCACTGCAACGTAAGCCTGTAGAGGAAGCTTGTGTTATTAGTACGTGTGCTGCTATTTTGTGTATCTTTGTAGCTACGTTAACTATGTATCACTACTAAGTTTGTGGTTCTTTCCTCAAAATATGACTTACTAATTAATTTTTTCTCTATTGTTAACAGCCAGCAGCCTCTCTGAGCTGAGCTCCCTTCATGATGGGGGAAACAATGACTTCAGAAATACATATCAGAAAGTGCAGATGAAGGCTCTCCCTCCTATAGCTGACCTGGATGACCAGTCCATATCCAGGGTGGCTGCTCAGAGCCATAGGCACAAGTGGGACAGAGCAAACTCAGACGATATGTTAGATAACAGGTGATTAATACAAATCACAAACGTGCTTCTATTATTAGTCTGAGTCTGAACCAAAACTCTGTTTATTTTGCAGATGGAATCCTCGCTCGGAGCACATGCAAAGGAGAACTATTGGCAGACGAGGGCGCGCAGGCTCCCTGGATGAACTGGAGGAGTTTGCACGATCGTACAGCACACACTGTCATCGAGATAGAACATATGACCGAGACTATAGCCCACCTCGCCGCCCCTACAGAGACGAGGAAGAAGGCTGGAGAGGTGCCAGCCCCCTGCCTGTTCCACGGAAAAGATCTGACACATGGGACAGTGATCGTCCCAGTCGGCCATGTAAAAGCAGAGGCTACGATGACGCCTACCTCACCAGCGTGCTGGAGAACAAGGCCAGGGGTCGAGGGGACAGGGGCGCTGCGAGGGCTGATGAAGACAGTGACACTCCCTCTAAAGGCAGCTCCAGAGGAAAAGGCAGTGACAGTTACTACAGTAGGTCACCAAGCAACCGTCCAGAAGAGGAGGACCCTTTACCTCCGTACTCAGAGTGGGAGGCAGAGCGATACCGCAGGGCTGGGCTCAACACAGAGCGCTATCGGCCCATAGCGCCTGCAGGGACAGAGAGCTATAGAAGCTGTGAGCCAAGGCCCTTCAGTTACACAAGGCCACCTGCCGGGACGTCCCACACACTGCAGGGCAGCCGAGAGGACAGGGACAGAAACCGAAACCTGGTGAGTTACTTATAGCAACCATCCAAACTGCGCGGATACAAACCTGAAGTCACTTTCATTTTGTAACATGAGGCCAACGATAAAGAAACACTGGAATGTCAGTGATCCAAGCAATAGTTTGACTTACTCTTCACCAATTCACATGTTTGTGAGTAGTTTATACACTAACTAAAATATGCACAGAAAAAAGTCTTAATTCATTTTTTATCTGCCTGTACAGAATTGTAAATGTTAACTTCATTGGAACCTCACCTGCTGATGGAATGCTATGGCTTCTGTGTCCTTACCAGAGCGCTGCAGTGAGCAGAGACTCTCTCTTAGTGTGACCGTCCTGGACCTCCAGACTCCTCTGCAGTCCTCTCACTTAACCGTCCAGACTGCGCTATGAGCCACTTGAACTCACTGACAAAAGGTTCACATAAAACACTTCCATTGAGCGAGCCTTCATGTTGCATATCCTTTCTTGATGTGTGATGACAGCTGTGAATGCCACGACTGTTCCAGTGCCAACTTCAATGCAGCCTTTTACGTTCTACTTGTACTTTTCATGTCTCAGGATTTATGCTTTGTTTTACGTAAAGTATAAAACTGTATTTTATTTTTATATATATATAATTGCACTCTTTTTAAATAAATAATAAATGAATTAATGAAGTTGGATTCAAGTTGTTCACTGATGTTTTTAAATAAATGCAGGTTGTCAGGGTCTAAACCGCTGCAGGACTGACAGAAGTGCTATTATGTGAAGCCCTCTTGAAGTTTTCCAAAAGCCTCTTAGTTCAGCTCTTGATTGAGCCAGAAGCCATTCACAGCAGAGGGCAGATGCAAATATTGCCACAAAGAGTCCAAACATGAGTCAACAACAGAGCGTACCGCGTAAGAATCAATCTTTCACCAGTGAGACTAGAGTAATGGTGAATACATGTTGAGTATCATGTTTGCCTGAATAGATAACAATGGTTAATCGGTTAAACCTACACTGTCACATTTTTAAAATACAAATGAACAGAGACAGACATAGTACAAAAAACATGGCCATACAAAATAATAAAACATATCATATTAGCATCCATCTTGCACAGATCCACATAAAACAGCGTGAAAACTGAAGACAGAACTAAAAACGACTTTAGCTTAACATAAATACCCACAATAATAGATATGAAACATAAAATTACAGAAAATAACAAGTCAACAAGTTATTTCTGCCTTAAACTTATCTCTTAATTCTGTGCTATTAACCATGCACCTTTCGTCTCCTCGAGCTCTGAGCATGCACGGTGGATATCAGGTCCTCTGCACCAGGCCATAGCACCAGGCTGCACCATAGATCCATGGGCTGCACCTGTCTGTCTCTGGGCGGGGCTATGATGTCACCTGAAGCGGGAGGGGGAAGGGCTCTGCGCGACTCTCTCTGTTCTGTTCCTGAAAGATTGTTCTGTAAACAACAGTTTCATGAAAGAGAAACCATTGAGGAAGCAGATCCTGGTTTTGGATAATGCAGAGTAGAGGTATACTCCATAATCATCTGTAAGAGCCTGGCCTCAGCACCCTGGATCAGAGGGACTCGCCGCGAGAGGAGATAGGCCCCAGTCCCGTCGGAGGCGATGGGGAACTTGATGCTGTTGGTTCTTCTGCTGCTGCACCTGCCAACAGGTGAGGGCCCACACAAAGTGCTGTTATTTCACTTGAGGATGTGGTTTCTTCAGCCGACACTAACCAGGCTTTCATTTAAAGATGTTGTTTGTCGGTCGGAACCACATTTTAGTTAATTATTATCGACGAGCGTAAATAAAGCGAGGCCACGGGTGTCACGTGACCGGACAACAGTTATGTTGTAGCCGTAGGTATTACTATTACACTGTTGCGCGGACGAGGAACAGGCTACCTTTTATTATATCTTTTGTAATGCATGAATACAACCAACGTTATCCAGAGCAATACGTTTATCAAAGGGATGAAGCAATTTTTCCTGAAAAGTTACCATATCTTCTCCCGTCTTCTGTTGATTCCCCTATGAGCTGTCCCCATGAGATGATCTGTCTGAGTTACAAGAATGATTTCCGTATAAAAATATGGGTTGTAATTAAGGCCCTATTATGAGGATAATCCGTCCGTCCGTTTTCCTCCGCTTCATCCGTTGCCGGGTCGCGGGGGCAGCAGTCTAAGCAGAGACGCCCAGACTTCCCTATCCACACACACTTCCTCCAGCTCGTCCGGGGGGACCCCAAGGCGTTCCCAGGCCAGCTGAGAGATTATGAGGATAATCGATTATTTTAAATCACGAAAGGTCAGTGAATAACAAAGTTGTGTTACACATTAGGTTGTTTGATCAAAACATATTTTTTTATTTAATTTTGTAGCCATAGAACTATTTGAATAATGAAACCTCTTCTCAACATGTCAATAAAGGTTCAAAACGTGATTAATATTTTCCAAAATGATTCGACTATTTCCATAATCAGTTATTTTCAATTATCATGTACATGTTACGGTCTAATGGTCCCTTTAAAGCTTTCCATTTCACGCTGGTGTGTTTTTGTTGACAGCTGCTATTATGTCTTTAGTACTCTGCAGTTAAATACTTACAAATGTTAACCAGTCAAGTCACATTCTTTTCTCACACTCACGATGCGTGGAAGTGATGACAAACACACAGCACAGATGACCTGATTCAAAAATACATTATACACTATGTCCTGACTGTATTTTGTTGGGGCAGATGTCTGGTCCATCCAGGTGATTGTTCCTGAGACAGAGAGACACACCACTCTGTTTGCGTCTGTGATTCTGCGCTGTGACTATAGCACCTCCGCCAACCCTCAGGACGTCCTGGTGTCCTGGAAGTTCAAGTCCTTCTGCAAAGACCCAGTGCTGGAATACTACTCCACAGGTTGGGTTTTTGTGACATAACACTGAAAATAACTTAAATACACCATTTTGTTAGAAAGATGCAAAGAATTGACTTCCATCGACCATGTTTTCCATGTAGCCTATCAGGCAGCAATTCAGCTTGGACAGGACCCTTCCAATGACTGCCCTGACCGCCACCGTACTGTCCGCACTGTGATCCAAAAGAGAGGTTTAAACGAGCCTATGTTGGGGGCGGACTACAGAGAGAGAAAAATAACTATACAAAACAGTGAGTAGAGGCATTATTTAACAGTTGTCTTTCATATTATTGCCATAGAGCAAAGATTTTGAACTGTTTTAGTTTTTGACTATTGTAATGCCGCTCTGTGTTGCAGAGGCTGACCTGGTCATAACAGAAGTCATGTGGTGGGATAATGGAGTGTACTACTGCACTATTGATGCTCCTGGTGACACATCAGGGGACTCTGATCGTGAAGTCAAACTCATTGTGTATCGTAAGTTACTTTCAGCTTCTGTGAACCTTTAGGAGTGAAACATCAACATGATCATGACCTTTCAGATTGGCTGACGGTGCTGCTCATCATCATTGGTGCGCTCCTGTTGATCATCCTCTTCTGCGTCTGCTGCTGCCAGTGCTGCCCTCAGAAGTGCTGCTGCTATGTCCGCTGTCCCTGCTGTCCACAGACATGCTGCTGTCCTGAGAAAGGTACAACAACACATGCAGATACACATACCAAAATGACAAAAAAATACTAGGAATTCACAATAATCTCTTTTCAACATGGCAGTGGTGATGCAGCACAGAATGATACGAGATGCACAGAAGGCCATGGTCCCCTGGATGAACGGCCAGCCTATTTACGCTCCCATCAGCTCCAATGCCTCTGCTCAGGGCGTCCCGATCCTTTACTCAGGTGTGTCTCAAAGGTTTACTGCAGACACACGCTTATGCTGCTTTTAATCATGACTTGATCATTTCTGTTTAATTTAGGATCATACTCAGATTACCCTCAAAAACCAAATCTGGCTATGGCACCTATGCAATTTTCACCAATGGGCTTCCCAAACCACGGTCCTCCTCCTCTGGTGAATGGCAGCCTGCAGGGCAGTGTGCAGGAGACCAGTCAGGTCCTGGATTACCTTGAGAACCAGGTCAGAGGACTGGATATGTCTCCCCTGCCTCAGGTTATGGCACCACTACAGTCCCATCCTTTACAGCACCCTCCACCACCACTACAGTCCCGTCCTCCACCAGGCCCTCCACCTGTGCCCTATACCCCCGGTCCTCCGAGCATGCTGTCAGCTCTGGACGAGATGGGAGTGAGAGGAACGGAGAGGCGGGTGATCACTCTGCCTCCCATTATCCAGCGCAATCCCAGCTTCAGCTCTCCCAGAGGTGGTGCTGAGAGGGGCCTGCCTGGACCCAAACTCTCCAGTCAGTCTAGTGGGAGTACCAATCGCTCCGGTGTCCGTGGATACAGAGACACATCGCCCCCGCGGCGTGGGATCTTACGTGACTATAATGAAGACACGGCGTGGGACAACAGGCAAAACCGAGCCCCGCACAGGAGGAATGAGAGTGGCTCCTCCAGGAGCCATGGATCCAGACCTCACACACGCAGTCGAGATGACCTGATGGAGGAGCTGCAGAGCAGACCACGACGGCGAGAGCGGAGCTACTCTCCTCAGAGACACAAAAGCTCCTGGAGCTCCGATGAAGACTACAGCAGCAGGAGGAAGAAGAGAGGCAAAGAGAAGGACTGGCCGGAACAACCTCCCAGTTACTTCTCCATCGAGATGCAGCCAGGACACAGCAGAAGGAACTATGACCGGCTCTCTGTAAGCACATTAACCTAACATCAGGCATGTCTTTTGTCTGCTTTCATTTACTCTCTGTGTGTGGCCTGTGTGTGGCATGTGTGTGGCATGTAAGAAAGTGGAAAGGTCTTGACTCATAGATATAATCACTATTCATTATTTTACTTCTTTCACCTGTCTTCCCTTTTGCCTGGTTTGGATGTGGTGACTTGTTACATTATTGTTGCAATCTTTAACTTTCACTTTTTTCTTGTAGGATAGAAGCTCCCGTAGCAGCACGAGTGTAGTCATCTGAAACATTTCACTCTTTTTATTGTTTAACCTTTCACAAAAGAGACCCTGCAATAAAGGGACGTTTCTTGCTGTAATTGTATGCATTTCATTGTCTGTTGATGATTGTCATTGTCTGATAGGTCCATATTGACTGTGAACTGTTTGTGGATTTGCCCTGCCCTTTTTTGTTTTCTAAAGATAACCTTTAACCAAATTTAAAAATATAATGTAGATATATTTTTTCCAGACAACAATGGTTTATTTTTACTATTTATTAGTGTTTTGTGAAATACGTTGTTTTCTTACATTTACGTTTTTGACATGCTCTGTCATTTTTTTTAACTTAATTGTACTTTTACTTAGAAGTTAGTAACTGTGTAATAAAAAACAAAGTGTAATTTGAACCTGATTGAAGTGATTATTATTCTATTAAAGCAGCCATTCCCAAACTCAGTAACACCGAGGCCCCCTTAAAAATCTGACGGGTCTGCGTGGCCCCCCCAAAATAATAACCAAGAAGACAACATTAAGAATAGGCTCTTCTGGTTATTTTATTTTGGGGAAATAGCCTCTGCTACAAACATTGTAATACAAAAATGATTACAGTGGATTATTCAAGTCAAATAATGAACACAAATATTTTAATATTACAAACAAAAGATTATAAATTTAACATTAAATAATTTATTTTTTATTTTTTATGACCTCCCGCGGCCCCCCTGCAGTACCCTCGCGGCCCACCAGGGGGCCGCGGACCCCACTTTGGGAGACACTGTATTAAAGGATCAAAGATCAATTCATGTTATTACAAAGATACATCCCTCCAAGATCTTTTTTCATGGACTGTTTCCAATTTCTCCAGTCGGCAGAGAAGCCAAAACCACATGCTTTCATAGAAATTAGATATTGTCTGACGAAATAAGAACTGCAGAGAAGTTGCAAAGTTGCAAAGTCATGAACGAAATTAAATTGATCAGGAACAAAGCCAATTTAACACAACCTACTATGCAGTTGATTTCCGGTAGATGGCGCCACATATCAGACCACATCCTCACATTGGGTAATGTTTGGGTGGGATCATAGATGCCAATATAATATAATACATCAATAATTAATCAATCAATCTGTATGTGTAAAGAACCTTTCATACACAGGGAAACACAAAGCGCTTCACAGTCCACTTCACACAAGGCACAAATCATCACATAAAACAAACACCAAAATCACCATTCAAAACAAAAATAAAAATTACTGGTAATAAAAACTTTAAAACATTAAAATCACACAGGTAATTCACACAGATCATTTAAAACATTAAAATCACACAGGTTGAAACATGGAAATCAGGGGATTAAAAAAATATCCAGAGTGCATTAAAGATAAAGATAAAAATCCTTCAGTCGATAACATATACGTAGATAATAGATAATAATGATTCATAGATGTGGATGCCCCGCCCCTCTTCTGTCTGATTGGTTGTTCTAAAGCAGTAAACTGGGAAGTGAAACTGCCAATGTCAATGAAATCCTGGACCGTCTGCAGACCAACAACATCCTCAGTACACATCAGTGCCTCAGCTGCACTTTTCCTTCTCGTAATCTGAAGGTAAGGGTTTTACAGCATCGCACATGTTGATGTTAGCTCTGGCTGCAGCTCACAGACTAGCATGAGGGAGAGAAACAGCTTAGCACTGCACAGCACAAACATGGACTGTGCTATATCTGCATGCTATTGTCATGAACTGTGTTATGCACGTCAGTTGTGTCGTTATAAACAGGTTAAATGGACAACTATTAGCCAAAAAGATATTAGCCCAATATGCAAGCGTCCCCCAGCCTTGTTTACTGGAGCTGCCTCTTCTGAAATGAGCGGCCCGTCTGAGGTTTCCATGATGAGTGTGTTTGCACCGGCTTGACCTAGACATGCCTCTCATATCAGCTGTTTTGCTCTATGTGCGTGTACGGTGAAAGTAAGTACAGATTTGTTCATGTATATAGCGCCTTTCACAGATCAGAGTCACAGGCTTTACAATTTTTGTTGGTATTTGTCTCTCTCTCCACACATGGGAGTGGGATCTCCATACAGGAGGCGCATACCAGACGGTCCAGACATGTTCTTAGGGGGATCCGGAGCTCCCAGAGGACCCCTTTGCAGACCAGGGACCTTCTTGCTGCCAACCATTTGTGTGTATGTGTTCTGCAGGCACTATGAACTCCTTCACATGCCCAGCCAGAGCTGCCCTGGCCCTGTGCCGCCGCCCTGCAGGGGGCATGAAGGTGTTTGGGGGGTCCCCTGGTGCCTCTCCAGGGGCCTCTGCCAGTGATAAAGCATGTGTCCAGGCTGTGAGGGTTTGTCACTCTGGGACCAACCGCAGTGTCTTCACCAGGAAGAGGGGCTACGACATCACCAGAAACCCTCACCTGAACAAGGTGTGCGTCTGTTTATCTTGTTCTGTGTGAAGTGGTGCTTTTAGTTTTGGTATTTTTATCGGGCAAAACATTGGCGCTGACATTCTGTTGCAGCGGGTCTCAACCATTTGAACCATTTTCCTCTATCACATGATATCATATATATATTATCTCTTAGAGCAACACATTGTCAGATATTTAGTTATGCAATATGTTGTTCAAAGATACATTGTTACACCATTATTATAAATCAAAATATTTCAATGCAATTTAATTATTTGAGAAAATGTCTTTTGCCTCTCGCCTGGAAGTGTCCCATAATCTGGAAATCAGTACCAGTGGTTTCTACTCCAGGACTGGATCATCAGAGCAGACATCGCTCTAGGGATTTTTGGATCTAAAGCAATAGTCTTCCATAACCTTTTCATGCACAGTTAATTCATTCTAAACCAAATGTATTGCTGTTTGCGTTACTTGTATGCTTGTTCAATATAGCCATGTGTTGACAGTCAATACGATGAAGTCCCACATGCCCACAACTCGACTGTTCCCATTAGACTGACATGAAGCCACGTGTCTCTGCTCACAGTATGACAGCAACGCCTTGGCTCCTACTATTTACTGAACACGTTTATTTCAGGGTTTCATGCTTGAACCGTCAATAAGTTTCAATCATGCTATGTTAGGGTTCTTTAATTCATTTAATTCACTAAGGAAGAAAATTCAACAGTCCTGCTGAACAGTTAGACTCATGTAGACGTTTGTGCTTTCACATCTCAGTAAAGTTAGCATTATTAGTCCAAAATGCGTATTCATATTCTACTGTACTTCAAAAGTGCTATGCAATATTTAGGCTTTGATTTGTGTCCGATGATGCAAAAAAATAAAAATTAGTTCTTCTCAGTAGGAAGAACAAACTGAATGGGTTTTGGCTTACTTGCAGGGCAACTTCTCATAAAGCTGCCCTGTCATCAAATCCCGAACTTCCTGATGACTGTTCAGGAAGAGATAAGACTGTATGCGATATCACACTGTCCTCAACTACTTCATGGAACCACTGTTTTAATTCATAGATCTTGTTGGTTTATTTATCTCGATACATTTGTGACATTATAGCTTCCTTTTTTAAAGTTTTTTTCCCACTGTTTATGGGAGAACATTGCATAGGAAAACCACTTATCTATATCAAGACTGTAACTGACAATTATTATGGGAAAATCCATTTGTTGGTTGATTATAATTTAGATTTTATTTCTAATTAATTCCAAAATGTCAGTGAATATGGGACTAAAACAAAGCAGATGACCAGGAGAACATCTTCATAAAGATGACTTGTACACATTGGGTTATTTGATTTAAAAAACGCTGTCATTATTTGGGGGGTATTTTTAGTACGTGTATACCTCTTCCCATTACACTTTGAGATGTATTTTCTTTTTGTAATGGAACATGAATAATGTCATTAAGACATATTAGTTTGTTCTTAATGCATACTGCATGTCAGTTATAAAACATCTTATGTTAACATCTATGTAAGCTTCAATTACTACTCCTACTACTACATTCCCAATCTCTGTATTGGAAGGGTTTCCGCTTGTTCTGTACAGTTCCTTGTTCATGTTATAATCTAGAACAAAAGGAGTGTGCAGTGTTTAGGAAGAGAGCTGAGGAGGGGAGTGAGACTGCGCAGCCACGCCATTGGACAGAATAAATAGATTAAACAGCTCACTTTTTGGCACGGCGGCCAGCAGCACGACAGATGTGGCCAACGAGAACCAGACGACTCTAAGACATACAATCACTTGCGAAAGTATTCGGCCCCCTTGAACCTTTCAACATTTTGCCACATTTCAGGCTTCAAACAGAAAGATATTAAATTTTAATTTAATTTTTTAATTTTTTGAACAACAAGTGGGACACAATCGTGAAGTGGAACAACATTTATTGGATAATTTAAACTTTTTTTACAAATAAAAAACTGAAAAGTGGGGCGTGCAATATTATTCGGCCCCTTTACTGTCAGTGCAGCAAACTCACTCCAGAAGTTCAGAGAGGATCTTTGAATGATCCAATGTTGTCCTAAATGACTGATGATGATAAATAGAATGCACCTGTGTGTAATCAAGTCTCCGTATAAATGCACCTGCTCTTTGATAGTCTCAGGGTTCTGTTTAAAGCGCAGAGAGAACCATGAAGACAAAGGAACACACTAGGCAGGTCCGAGATACTGTTGTGGAGAAGTTTAAAGCCGGATTTGGATACAAAAAGATTTCCCAAGCTTTAAACATCTCAAGGAGCACTGTGCAAGCAATTATATTGAAATGGAAGGAGTATCAGACCACTGCAAATCTACCAAGACCCGGCCGTCCCTCCAAACTTTCATCTCAAGCAATGAGAAGACTGATCAGAGATGCAGCCAAGAGGCCCATGATCACTCTGGATGAACTGCAGATAACTACAGCTGAGGTGGGAGAGTCTGTCCATAGGACAACAATCAGTCGTGCACTGCACAAATCTGGCCTTTATGGAAGAGTGGCAAGAAGAAAGCCATTTCTCAAAGATATCCATAAAAAGTCTCGTTTAAAGTTTGTCACAAGCCACCTGGGAGACACACCAAACATGTGGAAGAAGGTGCTCTGGTCAGATGAAACCAAAAGCGAACTTTTTGGCCACAATGCAAAACGATATGTTTGGCGTAAAAGCAACACAGCTCATCACCCTGAACACACCATCCCCACTGTCAAACATGGTGGTGGCAGCATCATGCTTTGGGCCTGCTTTTCTTCAGCAGGGACAGGGAAGATGGCTAAAATTGATGGGAAGATGGATGGAGCCAAATACAGGACCATTCTGGAAGAAAACCTGTTGGAGTCTGCAAAAGACCTGAGACTGGGACGGAGATTTATCTTCCAACAGGACAATGATCCAAAACATAAAGCCAAATCTACAATGGAATGGTTCACAAATAGACGTATCCAGGTGTTAGAATGGCCAAGTCAAAGTCCAGACCTGAATCCAATCGAGAATCTGTGGAAAGAGCTGAAGACTGCTGTTCACAAACGCTCTCCATTCAACCTCACTGAGCTCGAGCTGTTTTGCAAGGAAGAATGGGAAAGTATTCCAGTCTCTCGATGTGCAAAACTGATAGACATACCCCAAGCGACTTGCAGCTGTAATTGCAGCAAAAGGTGGCGCTACAAAGTATTAGCGCAAGGGGCCGAATAATATTGCACGCCCCACTTTTCAGTTTTTTATTTGTTAAAAAAGTTTAAATTATCCAATAAATTTTGTTCCACTTCACGATTGTGTCCCACTTGTTGTTGATTCTTGACAAAAAAATTAATTTTTATATCTTTATGTTTGAAGCCTGAAATGTGGCAAAATGTTAAAAAGTTTCAAGGGGGGCGAATACTTTCGCAAGGCACTGTACCAAAGCATTGCATATCAAAGACAAAACCATGGTTACTTTGTTCATTAAAATCTAGAAAAGTGGAAAAGATGAGTCACATTTGAACCACATGACCGAGGATGACTCATGTAATCGGTGTGGTTGTTTTGGGCTGTTGTGTCTATATTCTGCTACTGTCCTCTGCTCACAGGGGATGGCGTTCACGCTGGAAGAGCGTCAGCAGCTGGGCATCCACGGCTTGTTGCCTCCCTGCTTTCTGTCCCAGGATGTTCAAGTCCTGCGTGTCATGAAGAGCTATGAGCTGCGCTCAAATTCACTCGACAAGTGTGAAGTCTACATTAGTTTATAATCTCTCTATTATACACACACAAGCTTTCATAAAAATGTATTTTCTCTTCCCAGATACATTTTGCTCATGACGCTGCAAGACAGAAATGAGAAACTTTTCTACCGCGTCCTGACTTCTGACATTGAGGAGTTCATGCCCATTGTGTACACTCCCACTGTGGGCCTGGCCTGCCAGCAGTACGGACTGGCCTTTAGGAGGCCGAGGTAAGGACTACGCTGCTGATTGCCTTTTAGCTCCTCCACTTTGCAGCTCCGTGGATCAATAATTCATGGAGGGTACAATGTATTTCAGTGTCGAAAGAAGCACAACTTTAAGCTCCCTCTGATATTTATCTGTGGTTAACACTGCGATGGCGTTTCGAGCTTCCAGCAGACAGGAATGTATTTCGGGGCTCAATGTTTGAGCTGTCTGAACATTTCCTCGCAGTAATGTTACTTGATCTGTAATATAATGAAGTCTACATGGCTTCAACAAGTAGATTTTAAACTCTTCACGGCTTGGGAAATGTTTATATTGCCCATAGTTTTGCAACCTTGTGCTGCAAGATTAATGATTCTACAATTTGTGGTTATTAAAGTTACATTTATTGTAAATTATTCCTTTTACTATTTATTATTTGTGATCGAGACGATTTAAATGGTTTGGTTTTCCTGCTGTATTATGAATGTGAGTTGGATAAATCACATCAATTGCGTGTAAATCTACAGAGGGCTTTTCATCACGATCCACGACAGAGGTCACATCGCTACCATGCTCAACTCCTGGCCTGAAGAAGACATAAAGGTACTGTCTCTTTAATCCACATTACAGATAGATGTACTGTGCTCCTCCTCGGTCACACATGTCTACTGATGTTTTCCTAGGCCATAGTAGTGACTGACGGCGAGCGTATCCTGGGCCTGGGGGACTTAGGCGGTTATGGAATGGGCATCCCTGTGGGGAAGCTGGCCCTGTACACCGCCTGCGGAGGGGTCTCACCTCAACAGTGCCTCCCTGTGCTCCTGGACGTTGGCACCGACAACCAGGTACAGTAAATGTCATTCCAGAACTGCACAATATACTTTTATGACTCACTGCAGTAGAGTCACTTATCTTCAGCTACGTGAGAAAAGACGTGGGAGTGCAGGACATTGCTGATACAGATTCTTTTGGTTTTCTTTGGCAGACACTTCTCGATGACCCCTTGTACATTGGACTAAAACACAAGAGGATTCGAGGCAAGGAATACGATGATCTGATTGAGGAGTTCATGCAGGCCGTGACAGATAAGTACGTGCAAAAGTAATCGTACGTTTATTATAACAATAAAGGAAGAGTATTATTTTTATTTTATTTTTTTATAACCGTACTAGAAAATCAGTCACCATCAGTCACTGTTTTCTCCTCTTTGCAGATATGGAATGAACTGTCTCATTCAGTTTGAGGATTTTGCCAATAGCAACGCATTTCGCATCCTCAACAAATACAGGAATCGATACTGTACCTTCAATGACGACATCCAAGGTGCTTTTCAGTGTTTTCAGCATAGACTGTACATTAGGAGTGGACTAGCAGTGCTGACGTCATCACCACGTTGTTTGCCAAATGCAGAAGAAGCCGATTTTAAGATAAGCTAGTTGGAGCAAATTACCTAAAACAGAAGTGTTGCTAATATAGTTGCTAAGGCAACTTGGAGTTTGCCCTGCAAATTAAGATATCTGATTACTATATTGAGTCATTATCAAAATATAGACACCATTATCATAGAGCTTTTAAATGCAAGTCAATCGGAGCCAGAGAAAGTAGGAGGAGAGCTTCATTGAGCTAGAGGGTCAACATTGTTCATTTTTATACAGTCTATGTTTTCAGCCCTAATCTCTTCCATAATTGAGGTCTTACAATATTAATTTATTTCAGGCACTGCCTCGGTGGCTGTGGCTGGGGTCCTGGCAGCTTTAAGGATTACAAAAAATACTCTTTTAGACCACAAGTTTGTGTTCCAAGGAGCAGGCGAGGTGAGCAGGCGGTTTCTTGGAGATTATGCTTCTACATCTTATTCCTGGTCATTAATCCTGTGCTGCTCTTAATGTGACCCAGGCTGCGATGGGGATTGCCCACCTGCTCATCATGGCCATGTCGAAGGAGGGAGTGAGCAGAGAAGACGCAGCCAAAAGAATATGGATGGTGGACTCTAAAGGTCTCATTGTGAAGGTGCAGCCATTTATTTTTGATATTCTGTGATCAAATGGAGAGTAATAAACTATCCATGTTTTGTGCTACAATAGGGAAGAGGAAACCTGAACCATGAAAAGGAGGAGTTTGCTCATGACCACCCACACGTGAAGACCCTGGAGGAGGTGGTGGAGACCATCAAGCCCACTGCCATCATAGGTCTGTGCCCTGTACCCTATAGCAGTGATGGTGTGTGCAGGTGTTGATTTGTACAGCTTTAAGGTTTTTATGAAGATACTTTTATTTCTCATTCAGTGGCTGAAAAACGACAATGCCTTTTAAAGGTGACATCATTACCGTTACTAAGTGCAAAATCAACTTTTTGAAATTCATGAGATGAACTAACCTACTCATTAGTCCTAAAACACTAATTGCACTTGTCAAATTGAACATCAATTATTGTCTGTGTTCTTACATCAAAAGCAATCCTTTTTAACAACAACTTTTAAATGTTTCAATTGACCTATAATTCAAGAATTTCTCCTGGCATTCATTTTCCAAGATACATTTCTGTTATGATTTTCTGTTCTGATATGTTCTAAAGGATCTTTTGGTGTGAATATTATTTTCTGCTTTGCAGGTGTTGCAGCCATTCCAGGAGCCTTCACTGAGAAGATCATCAAAGACATGGCTTCGTTCAATGAAAGGCCGATCATTTTTGCTCTGAGTAACCCCACCAGCAAAGCAGAGTGCACGGCCGAGCAGTGCTACACCCTCACAGAGGTACTGGGACGGAACACTCCCACTACAAGTTATATTTTAACTTCTCCTCCTCTGTGTTTAGGGTAGAGGTATTTTTGCCAGTGGAAGTCCCTTTAATAAGGTCACTCTGGCTGATGGACGCACCTTCTACCCCGGTCAGGGCAATAACGCCTATGTGTTTCCTGGAGTGGCTCTGGGGGTTATTGCCTGTGGCGTGCGCCACATAAGCGAGGACATCTTCCTCACAACAGCAGAGGTTTACAACCGTTTATCAGTGAACACTGTGGAGTAGAGGCATATTCTTACCTTTGTTCGACTCCCAGGCCATCGCTGACATGGTGACGGAGGAAAACCTGGCTGAAGGCAGACTGTATCCTCCTCTGAACACCATCAGAGAAGTTTCTTTTAAGATTGCTGTTAAGGTAAACCCAATGACCCAGACAATAAAGTAATTAAGATAACACTATTATATGATGGAATCATTTTGCTTCTAGTCAACCTTGAAAGTGGTCATTGTTTTTGTTTGTAACACAATTGTTATAGTTTATTTGTGTGTTTCTCCACAGCTCATAAACTATGCATATAAACACAACATGGCGTCCGTTCACCCGGAGCCAAAGGACAAGGAGGCGTTTGTGCTCTCCCACATCTACAGTCCTGATTATGACTCCTTCACTCTGGACAGCTACTCCTGGCCTGAGGAAGCCATGAATGTCCAGGACGTCTGATCCATTGTTGATTGTTGTGTAGCTCCAGCAAAAAGATCATATTGGCAATAGGACAGCTGGGAGGTTTGGGAATGTTTTTTTTTCTTTTTACTTTATATGATGTTAAGTAACTGCATATCAAATTGTATGCATCGCATCTTAGGCTTGTCTAGGGTGGTATTTATCAAATGGGAGGCTCAAAGATTCTCCATAGTCTATTTTCCCAAGGAATTTACCGTGTTTGCGGTGCCTCTAAAACGGTAACCAAGTTATCACTGCCCATTTTTGTCTTTTAAAGCTTATGTTAAGAGTCCATGGCTGACACATCCCTTGTCAATGAACCTAAATGTGTCAACTTGATCAAAACACTCCAAGAATTATGTGTGGACTGGACCCTGTTAGATGTAAGACGTTTACTCAGAGGCCTTTATGTGGTGTGACTGTGCAGAGGGTTGTAAAATGTCCTGTTTCATTTTGTACCAATACTATTTTGTAGTGTTCAGCCAGAGTTACTGAGATATACAATTATTAACATTTTCTTAATGTATTTTATCCCATCTCCAGTGTTGTTCTATGCTGGATTTTTCATGCAAATGTGGCTTTTAAAGGGAACAGGTTTTAAATAAACATGTTGAAATCGAATCTTTGGATTTGTGGAACTCTCACTGACTATTATACTGTAACCTTATCTGAAAACTAGAGTCGGTCAAGACTGCCCTCTTCAGGTGAGACTCTGTATTGCATTGTGGTCCAAAGAAAGAAAATAACTAGAAATGGTACAATGGCTGAAGCCATTGTGAGTGGCTGCATAGATGTTGGAAGGGTTAGGGATGAAGAAGGAAGGAGAAAAAGAAGAAAGAAAAGGGTAGAAGAGGAAAGAAGGAAGAGGAGGAGGAAGGTGAAGAGGAAGAAGTGAAGATGAAGTAAGAAATGTGTTGTAAAGTGCTAAATGTGTTGTAAGGTGTTGTAATGTATCTGTGGTAATCAATTGTTAGTGTGGTAATGTGTTGTACTGGTCCAATGTAAGTCTATGGGAAAAAGTGCTTTAACTTATGTTAATATCTGAAAAAGTGCTGAAGGTGGAAGTGTGAAAAGTAATAGCCATAATGAAGAAGAAGAAGAAACTAGCATCCCCTGTTTATTTAGCTGGTCACTCAGAACTGATAGTTCACAACTTTATAAATTCCTTGGCATGAGAACACCGAGCTACAAAGAATTCAAACATTAAACAATTAGAAATCTTACACCTACAGTGAGTCAAACAAACGCTTACTTTGTTACCATATGCCTTATTTATTAACTTGACCCTCTGGTTACCATGGTTACCTAAGGTTTGTGGAAAAAACCTTTAAGACATGATTGAACATCTGCTATCACATAAAAGAGAGGGCCGTGCTCCTGTATAAGTAACACTTTTGTGACTATGAAGGTACAGGTGCATGATAGCATTTCCATCCACAGCCATGGAGTCAACAAATACAAACATTTTTGTTGTGGAATGTTGTCATCCCACATCGTTATTGTAGTTGGATCAGGAATTGTGTATAGCTCAACTTCTGTAAGAGATTTTGCCGAATGCAGCCATATCCGAGACATATTTCAAGCCAGAAAACATCTGCAGTGTTTGAACGGAAACCGGAAATGGAAATACAAAAACAGGAAGTAAACCAGAAATGCAAAAAAAGGGTCGAGCAAGTGGGGCGGCTCGATTGACGGCTGGCTGGTGCAGTGGCTGCTACGTGCGTGTCGCACGATTCGGAGTGACAGGCGGGTTGAGCGGTTGACGGTCTCCGGCTGGTGAAATTAAACTGGCGCCAACTTTAATTTGGCTCCTTTTGTACTTTTCCTGTGGCACATTGACTTTAAAGTACTGCACTTTTCTTGGTGGTGTCTCTCCTGCTGCATGGGAAGACTTAGGCTATATCCACACGAAGACAAAACGCTTATAATTTCAGAAACTTTTTCTGTAAACACGGAGTTAGCTCAGTAAATGTGTGCGTCCATATGAATGTAGTCAATACGCCTGAAAACGCTGTGAAGCTATGCCAGACCTGTTGGTGGCGCTGTGACGCAATGACGGGATCAAGCCCAAACTTCCGTGGGCATGCGCGGAATTTTGTAAACAGACAACATGGCGAGTGGGCGAGCTGGTACTACATTAGTATGGACGGACGATGAGGTTGAACTGTTGCTTCGGGTCGCACTGGATTACAAAACCAACAAGCTACATTGTTGTTGTCATTATTTTCTGAGTGCGGCGCATGCGTGCTTTAACAAGAGGCGGGGCGATGACGCAAGCGTCTCAGATACATTGCGGAGAGGCAGTAACCACGGAGCGGCATATACGGAGTTTTGAAATCTTTCCACTCTGGGACCTACTTTCAAAAATGTTCGTTTACACCCCCCCAAAACGCCGGCCTCGTATGGACGATACACTGGATTGATAAAGTATTTTTGCGTTTAGGCCTGAGCTTGACTTCGTGTGGACAGGGCCTTAAAGGGGGTGGTTCGGGGGGTGGAGGGAAAGAGGGGGGAAAACGAACCAGGTCTGGTAGTAGTGGGAGCCGTGAGAGAGAAGTAGCCAAAATGGTGAGGCGGGCTGAGAATGAAGATGAAGGCTTTAAAATAATCCTTAAATTTAAAGACGAATTGAGAAAAGTCCCCAACCCTCTTAGGCTATCCTCAGAGATTCGTGACAAAATTGGAGAAATCTTGCATGCCAAAATCTTGTCTAATGGGAATGTGTTCTTATTGTGTAAAACCGAAGCCCAGAGGAAGAAGGCACTCCTGATAAAGGAGCTGGATAAACGGGCTGTACAAGGCTTGGTGCCAGGGTCAAATCTACTTTCTGACCAGGGAGCGAAAGGGGTCGTTTATATTGACACAGATGTCTCAGAAGATGACATTTTTAAAAACCTGAAAGGGGGGGAAGTTTTGGGAGTAAAGAGGTTCAAAACCAGGAGACAGGGAGAAGAGAGGGACAGCACTGCTGTGCTCATTTTGTTTGGAGAAGAGGTCATGCCGCAGAGAGTTACTCTTGGGTTTATGGCATTTCAGGTTAAACCATATGTGCGCCCGCCTTTGCGTTGCTATAAATGTCAGAGATTTGGGCATGTCGCTGCAGTGTGTAGAGGGGAGAAAAGGTGTGGAAAGTGCGGTGGCGGTCATGATTATTCAGAGTGCACAAACAGTGAAGTGAAGTGCTGTAATTGTGGGGGCAACCATGTGGCGGCGTACAGGGGATGTGGGGTACATGTCAAAGCCCAAGAAGTGGAGACAATTAAAAAGACTGAGAATATCTCCTATGCTGAGGCTGTCAGGAGAGTCAAAGAGACAGGCCAGGAGGGGCAGAAGGCTCAAAGTGAAAGGTTAAACCAGTCAGGTGGTCAAGTCTCGGATGATTGTTTTGTGGTGCGTAAGGCAGAGGTGTGGACTCGAGTCATGTGACTTGGACTCGAGTCAGACTCGAGTCATGATTTTGATGACTTCAGACTCGACTTGACCAAATATAAAAAGACTTGCAACTCGACTTGGACTTTAACATCAATGACTCTGACTTTCACTTGGACTTGCGCCAATTGACTTGTAAAGACTTGCGTAACCCGGGCCATTTTTACCTTTCTCCGCATCTCTCTTTCTATCTATGCCGTCTCTGAAGAAACAAAGCCTCGCGGTAGTTGTAGCGCTCGCGCGAGAGTTCGAACGTGAGTTCTCCGCAGTTCGCGCAGCAACACTTCCCTAAACAAGCGGACTGCATTCACCGGTGGGTGTGTTGTCGTAGGGGAGCTGGAAATGAGCGAGCTGCAGGTATTTATCGCGACCTAACGTCATATTTTGTTCTACAAACCGTAATTGATATGCTTTCACTACAGGCGCCTCATACAATTGAATCGACGCAGTTGTCACACTGTGTGCCGTGTTTTAAAGAGGAACTGGTGAGTCAAACTAGCGCTAGCCTGCGCTGCTCTGTTGGCTCTTTCTTATATTTTTCTGTGTGGGCGCCGAGGCCTATTATTATGAGTATGTTTTTGCTGTGCTCCTCCTGCTAAAGTTTGCATACATTAGATAGTTGTTTTGATTATGTGCACTAAGCTAGATTAATATTTGCACTATTGTTTATGGTGCATTGATATGAGAATCAGTGCTTTGACTGATTGAATTAATTTATATGAGACATTTTATTATGTAATGATATATTGGTAATTATGAGATATTGCTAATGCTGGTCCAGTTGATGGCGAGCTGCCCCAGGTCCAAAGCCTAGACCCCTCATACTACCCCTATTCTACAGTAGGACATTTGGAACAATAACCACTACGGACATTAAACTGATCATATAGATACAGGTCCTAGCCCAATACTCATATTCATATATGCTGCACTTGCTACTTCCCATTAAAAACCCCAAAGATAAAAAGTATGTTGACACGGACTGCTCTGATTTTATGTGTGGTCTGTGCATGTGTAACTGAGCCTGCATCTGGCACAACATCCAATTAGATCACGTAGATAGTTTTGATTTATCAGCAGCCAACGACATGGAACAAACTGTTAGTCCATGGGTCAGAGACCAACGAGAATGCACCAGCAAAATGATTCCTAACATTATTTTGTTTGCCTACAAAAGTACGTGGAGACCAACAAGAAACAAATCGCGGTCAAAAAGACTCGAGAGGACTCGAAAGTCAAACCGTAGGACTTGGGACTGACTTGAGATTTGTTGGCCTTTGACTTGGACTCGACTCGGGACTTGCCTGTCTTGACTCGTGACTTGAGGGCAATGAATTGAGACTGACTTGTGACTTGCTAAACAATGACTTTGTCCCACCTCTGGCGTAAGGTGGCGTTCTTTGCCTTTTTAGTGGAAGTCTTATGGGCAGCAAGACAGGTGGACACGCCATCTGGTATAAAGCAATGATTGCAAAAGAGGCAGGTAGGTTTTTGGGTACGGAAGTGTCCCCAGAGCATTTGAATCTTGCGCACGCACGTAGATGATCACAAGGAGGAGGGGCCAGTCAGAG